AAGGATTAGCTGTTGTGGATTGCTCTTGGGCACGCTTGGATGATGTACCGTTTGTGAAGCTGCGTTGCACTGCTCCTCGCCTCTGTATGAGCTTTAGTTCTTCAATCAATTAGCTTACTTGAAGTATCTGATTTAAAGTATAATTTGTGGGTACACACAACCAGGAATGTCCCACATGTCTACTAAAAAATAAATATATATGTGCGGACATACTGATTTATCTATATATATATATATATATACATGTAGATTTTTGGATTTTTATAGTAGTTGAAATGTGAAGAGCCATATATATGATAATTATAAAAACATTAAATATGAGGGTACATATTTCATATACCACAGTGTAAGCCTCTGAAGTCTCACCCACACTTATTCTTTGTTTTTGGAGTGTGTGTGAGTTACTCATAAAATAGAGAAAATACAAATACACTAGTATCATAGCAAAAGATGAAACTGAAAAAGTACCGACTGTTAGTGACTAGGAAGGAGAGAAGGATTGAACAAAATTGCAAAAGAATGGTTATTTAGTTTTCTTTATTGTTATGTAGTTTCTTAAACATGACTGGTTTGGCTCCAAGATCAAAGCTTGATATGAGTGTCTTGAAAAATGCCATCACATTTGTGGAAGTGGGTGTGACACCGAGCTCTCTCACCATAGACTCATTCTAAGGACAAAGATCATTTTGGTGTGATCATTCCTTGTAGATGTTATAGTTAGTGGATGGGGACATTTGGGACCTGCCATGACAGTGTTTTGACCAGCTGCATACAATTAGCAGTTTTAGAATGGCTGTTGTAAGCAGGAACACAAATAAAGTAGCTCACAGAGCTGCTATGCAAGGCTTGCAGGCTGAGCAACCCTTTATGTACAGTCTTTCTTATGAATAGAATTTCATAGATAGGAAGGCTGCAGTATCTTGATTAATTTTGGTTTCTTAATCTTGATGTATTTGTCTGTATTAATGTTTTTATGCTCTTTGTGGATTACTTGCCCACTTTACTGTACAGTCTTTCTTATGAAATAGAATTTCATATTTTCATTTTAAAAAATGTGCTAATGCTACTAGTCTAAACGCATAACAACCTTGCTTCTCATTTTTATATGGTAATGCCTATGATAATTATGTTATATGGTGTTATTATGGGTCACAAAATTTACTGCACTTATGGTACTGCTATGCATGCATGGAGTTGAATTTCCGTGTTCGACAGTTTTCTTCTTACCATGTCTCTAAAATTTACAAATCATGTAATTGCAGTGCCCTGGCTTGTAGCAGCAAATCCAGTAAATTATGGTCGACCCTGTCAACTATCTTGTGTGGAGGCATTATCTGCAGCTTTATTCATATGGTATTAAAAACTCTTTGCTTTACCTTGCAGAGTGAGAATTTTGTTTATTGCTGATGTCTTTTTGGACCTTACACCAGTGCAATCTGTCATGCCTGTTTACATATTTTTGTAATTGTATGAGAGATATTAAAGATCTATGACTTCTATGCTTTCCCATAATAATAAAAGTATCTAAGGCTGTTGCGCTACTGCAGTACAACCTACTGACCCAAGTAGGCCCAACCTAATCAAGGCTTAGGTTTGGAGCCTTTTTTCTCCAATGCCTTTGGTATGCTTTAAAGGGTGCTGATGAACTTATTTCTCCATTTGGCCCAACAGTTTGATATGTTATCTGCCAGACATGCAGTTGAATATTTTCAAATGTTTGTTTTTATTTTTTATATGATTTCACAGTGGGGAAGAAGAAACTGCAAATTTGTTGCTTGGAAAGTTCAAATGGGGTCATGGTTTCCTGTCCCTCAACAGGTATGGGTTTAGTTCATTTGTTGAATTGTTTATTTACTTTTGCATAATATGAACATCAGAATTCATATTCCAGCCAAGAAATTCGAGCTATGTCAGTTGAAACCCATAGCGGACTTAGAATATGTAAACCCGATTCACAAAATGAAGTCTAACTTTCAATGACACGGGTCCAGCATCATATCTTAAACATATGGTTAAGTGAAGAAAATCCATCTAAAGCCCATTTTGTGTTTTGAACTTTCACATTGACCTGGATTGTCATTTCGTTCTGATTTGTTTGCTCGGTTAAAAAGGAAAATTCCATACAATTCTAGATTGACTAGCGTTTTCTAACGAGATTAGTGACTGAAATTCAACTATATCCGACTGCTTAAAGTTCATAATGACCACCCAGTATCATGGTGGTATCTCAGTAATCTCCAAATTATTTTCCATAGTATATTGAGATTACTCTCAATCTTTATCAAACTACACAATTATTCTTGACTTTTATGTCTCTAACAGTGTTCAACCATTGGCATTTTAAACCGATGCAGGGAACTTCTAAAGGCATATTCTAAATGTGAAAATAGTGCTGATATTATTTCAGTCCAAAATGATTGGCTTTCACAAAATAGTCAACTTCCGAAGGTTCCTGCAGAAGTGAAAGGTAATTTTCACTCGTAAACAACATAATAGATACTCTTTACATTATACGGGGCTGGTTCATCTGTTGTTGCAACTTCTGTCCCATTAGATTTCAGGGTGCATTTTTTTTAATCCTTTACATTTTCATGGAGTCTTCTGTTTTGCTCCATCATCTTATCCATCTTAACATCCAGCTGGTGGGTGGGGAAGGGCCATACCTTTTTGTGGCACATATATTCACAAGACTTAGGGCGATCTGTGTGTGCATTCTATCGAACGAGGGTGATCTTTAAAGAGCCATCTTTGTTGAGAAAGTTATGCGAGTCTCACCATATGTTTGCTTTTTTCTGTTACAGGAGCGGACGAGTCATCCCTCAGTGAAGATGAGGGCTCTTATGATTCCGACGATGGACTTCCACCACTGGAAAGGAATATGAATCATTTAGACATACAGGAAAGTGATGATGAAAGTGAGTAACGAAGGGAAAATGTTATATTTCCAGTGTGATTTAATATGTAAAAATGCTCTAAAAGACTTTTTGTAGCTGACTATACAAATATATCTAATCAGCACGTGATTTTGGCTTTTGGTATGTGCTGAGGTTTGTCATTAATTATTGTAATTTCAATTCTTTTTACGTTTATGGCCATGTTTGTCAATTGCAATGCAAAAGTTGTTGCCACTATCCACGCTACACACTCATACACTCCCATGTTTTAGAAGTGATATACAATTTCTCTTACTCACTTTGGGCTTGTATGGGAGTGCTTCTTTCCAAAGCGCTTATGCTAGTAGTGCTTATGTCAGTAGCGTTTCTACAAAGTGGCAGTTTGTCGTTTGGATGTCACATTTAAAAGTGCTTTTATACTACATAAAAGGGCTTTTGATATTTTGTTGAGTGTTTGGTTGATACAGTAAAAACACTTTTAAAAGTACTTTAAAAAAATTTAAAGAATCTCAAAATATTATAATAAATATAGAATATGAAAGTACTTTAAAAAAATTTAAAGAATCTCAAAATATTATAATAAATATAGAAAATAAAAATTCATAGGATCCCAAAATAAAAATACGACTTAAAAAAGTATGAACTTCACCAAGTATAACTTTTAATCATTATGTTGTTAAATCATAATCCTTCACAAGGTCCGCTTCAGTTGAACTCTGTAATTTTCCCCATGCTTAACCTGTAACCCTATGTAGGTTTGAATGTATTGTTTCATTAGTTAGTGGGTTCAAAGTAACAGGACAGCCCAGCCCTTGACAAAATGCAACTTCTCTATGGACATAATTTTAACAGTTTTCTCTGTGTGGCCAAATATTGACTACCATGCACCTGTGCATCCATACCCTACTCAATGTGCATTAGTGCAAGTTCTCTGTTTCCAACCGTAGTTTAGGTCCTGTTGGATATGCCTCTCGTTATTATCTCATGTATGTTTTTCTGTTTGTTTTAGTGTAGAGCTGGCACGGCGTGAGATGGACAGAAGGGAAAGAAGACAGAGGTCGGTCTGAGGCTCGATTGTTGCTGCCTTAACTCTTGGTACCACAGCCTTGGCATACTCTTATATCTCGTCTGTTGGGCTTTTCGCAGGTAGTGTTTTGGTTTTAATAGGAGAGAAAAAAAAACAGAAACAAAGGGTATTTTGGCATTTAAAAAAAATAAATATGGGTACTTTCAGCATTTTAAAAGTTTCATTAAAGGGAGCCAAGTCCTTCCCGTGTTTTTGTCCTGCAACGCTTTTAAGAAGAAGCACCTCTTAAGTGCTTCTTCCAAAACCACTCCAAGTGCTTTTGGATCTCACCCAAAGCGCTTTTGCAATTTTTGCCAAACACCATTTTTAAAAGACAGAAGCGCTTTCACCTATTTAGAAGCGCTTTTCTCTGCTCCTAAAGCACTCCCAAATAAGCCCTTTGTTTGGAGTGGATCACTTCACTTTTTGGATTGGGGCAGTCCGGCCCTGTGAGGTATTAAAGCCCAAACCCTATCTAGTCACGTAGATTCCATGAACTTTTTAAGACAACATAGCAATATTTTGTACAAGACACAAGACAAGGTCATCATTTTATGTTTCGGATTAACCCTTAATAGATTTCTTTAAAAATAAAAATTTACCAACCTGTAGAGGTCAAGTATGGGCCAGAAAGGGGTGAAGGGTGTATGCTAGGTTCAATACCCCTGCAATAAAAAATAAAATAAAATGAAGTCTTAAAATTCAAACTTATTAGTGTTGCTACTTTCCTCGTCACACAGAAGTTGGTAGAAAACTGGGGTTTAATATGACTGGTTGATACGATATCACTTGAAAAAAATTTCTTTTCCACATAATTTACCAGCCATGATTTTGTACAGCTTTAATCACCTTACGCAACATGCTCCAGTCAAATGGTGAAACCGGAAAACAGAAGCACAATAAAACTCAAATATGGCAACCAATGCTAATGAGAATAAATTATCCGATCCCAAATCGCATCCCTGTCCGACCAAGAAAGGGGGTGGAAACATTAATTTTCTGTTAGTTTTTACAAACTTTTACGACAAGCAGAAATTCATTCACTGTTCTTTAGCTCTTTTCCTTGCCAGATAGCGTTCTTTCGCTGCAGTTAGGGCATCTTCACTTCTTTTATGATGGTTACTCTTTGGTTGGTTTTCTGGTGGCTGTTCAACTGACGAGTTTTCCTGTGCTAACGTGTTTGAAGCTTGCTTTTCATCAGAGGGCTCAACACTACTTTTTGAAATAGTTGAAGTTTCCTCTTGATGCCCCTCTATCACCTCTGGAGAATCTACTAGATCCGATGCTGCAATTGCTCTGTCTTCATGTTTCTCTGGCTTGTCCATTTTGACCTGCTTCTCTAGCTGCCTCTCTTTCAAACTGTCAGACTCCAATCGCTCCGATGCTACAGCAATTGATCTGTCTTCATGTTTCTCTAGCTTGCTTAATTCAGCCTGCTTCGCTAGCTTCCTTGACTTGGCATCTTCTGCCCCAAAAGCAACATTTTTTCCTAGGTTGAAGTAAAAATCAGTCAAGTCTTTCTTCTTGGTAACATCATCTTTCTCCTCACGAAGTTGACGCAGTCGTTCTTCCTCCATCCATTTTGCCTGCTCTGCAAGTTTCCTTTTGTAAGCACTTGTAACAAATTTGTCCTTGTCTGCATAGAGGTGATCCTCTTGGGTTCTCTCTTTAGCAAGTTTTCTCTCATATACTATTTCATGCTCTCGGTTTCGTTCTTCTGCTTTTTTCATTAAATACTGAATATATCTTGGCTTTCTCTCTTCACGATCTTGAGCACGAGGTTGGATAGCTTTCTGTTTCATCTCATCATAAACTCCATCGTAGTCGAACACCGATGGGTCCTGCTCCAGCGCCTTCCTCTGCTGCTCCTCAATATCCTTGAGAGACTTGTTCTTGGAAGCATGGCGAGAAATTTCTTTCTCAACGTCATTGTCATCATCATCGCCAAAACCGAGAGGTTTAGGGAGAGGAGGCCTTGTCGGCTGCTTCTTCTGCTGCGGCCTAAGGTTCAACCCATACCTACTCATTTTTTTTTGCCTTTCCTGTGTGATGAGTCGAGTCGGTAGGAGTAGGAAGCACTGCTTCTAAATTCCAATCTACAAAGCAGTTAATTTAGCTTCAACTAATTTAGTAGAAAGTATGTTGGCATTAAAGAGCTGTAAAAGTATACACAAACCAGGAAAGCATAGTAATCCAAAATTATAAAGTATTCAGATGAGCTTTCCTAACTGCATAAGGATTCTAATTAACTTTCATAGTTGTAAAAGGTCAACTGCATAAGAATTCTAATTAACCTCCTCCTTTTTTAAAAATATTTTTTTTTACTTCATTCACTAATTTTACAAGATTTATAACAACAAAAAACAACTGAAAAAGTAGTAAAAAAAACCACATATCACAATTTTTATGCACACCACAAATTATTTCTCATAAAAAAAGTTGCCACCCAGTTGCCTATCATAACAATGAATCAGAGAACATGAATGTCCACTAAAGTTGCAATAAACAGGAGAACTTGTAAGCAAATAGCACTCTAGGGTTTCACATCATTTTCAACTCTCAAACAGAAAATCCATCAAATAATACACAATCGAATCAATCAAAACCTCAATTTCACCATGCATACGAAAATCAGGGCATGCCCAAATCACCATTTTCACGAAAAAAGAAAGAAGAACCCAAAAGAGAGAGCAATCTGAATTACAAAACCCCAACCAATTTAATCGATTCAAATATCACTGAAACATAAATAAATAAATTAAAAAAAATACTCACAGGAGGTGGCGGAATCAGGGGCGCCAATCGCAAATTCGTTTCGTCTGTTCCTTCACAGAGACGACGAGACTGCAAATCCCATCAGATTTGGGAAAGAAGGTGATAAAAAAGGTTATTTTAGTGAGCCTGGGCACGATGAACAAGCCCAGTTAAGGCCCAGGTTCTATTAATGAGCCCACATGGGCCTGAGTTCTCTAACTTCAGCCTCATCCTCTATCCAATCAGACACCTCAGAGCCACCACGTAGGATACGTGACCCAAGGGTATCTCCGGAAACCCGGTAACAAAAATATCACATTTTTAGATGAAAGCCCACTTCGCCTCGTTTTCTTACCTCCTCCTTCGATAACACAAACAAAAAAGAAACTAAAGAAGCAAAATAGGAACCCTAGAAAACCAAAAATCAAATTTCCCAAAACGAAAGAGAAAAGAAGAAAGAAATCGTTTCTGTTGTTTCCGTTTTCCCTCTCTCGCATACTTGTTTTTCACATTTTTTTGTTTCTCTTTCTCTTTTTTGGTTTGTTTTCGTTTATTTTCAGGAAACGAGAAAATTCACACCGACTCAAGCGCCGGGTCTTTGTTCCATTGGGAGAGCTCTATAAAGATTTAGCCTTGTCAATCTATTTTCTGGGTTTTCTTCATAGATGGTGATGTTTTCTCTGTTTGCTTCTCTAATGGTGGGTTTTGTGTTGTAAATTTAGGGTTTTCAATTTGTCCACTCCCTTTTTTGTGGGCCTTTTGATTCTCTCCTCAAGGCTATCAAGCAAGCGTTCATTCCTGTGAGTCTTGTTATTTTAATCTTTTCGTTTTGTGACGTGTGAATGTGTAATGCATTTTCGTTTGGTTTTTTTTGTTTTTTTTTGTGTTTTTTTCTTTATGGCCTTTGTTTCTAGTTTATCTGTTTTGTTGGATTTGGGGCTTTGCCAAAGTTTTGAATTCAGGATTTCGTATTTGGTTTTTTTTTCTTCATTAATTATAAGCTTATCATTTAGTTTTCTCGATGAATTATGACATAGAGCCTCTATAGAATCTATAGAATTTATTATCATGTATTACCTTCAAATGTTTTTCCTTTTCTCTGCATGACAAGTATTTCTTGATGGATATTTTTTTTTTTATCAAGCATGTTGGTAGATTATGGTCTCTTTGCTAAGTTCATGCATCCGTGTTAATTTACTATGATTGTTTAGTATAATGTATTGGTCATTATTTTGTTTTTATTTGTTCATATTATTTGCATGGAATTAGTAATTTGTATTTTCTTGTCATTTTTTGACGGAAGTATTATTTTTTATAGAGGAAAATTTAACTTTTATTGTAATGCCAAAATTGTCGATAACAATTTAACTTTTATAGAGAACAATTTTTCACAGTTTATTTAGCAAGAAGCTTATGGTATGCAGAAATTGTCGAGACCTCGAGACTTTCATTCTTATTGGGGAAATTGGCCAAATAGTATACTTGGGAATTCAAAATTTTCTTCTATGTTATTTTCCAACCTTTATGCGTATGTTAGCTTCCTTAAATAGTTAAGTGGAAATATCTGTATCATTGCATTTTTTGAATGTGATTGCTTCTTGTTGGGTACTTGGTGGCTGCATTTTTTTAGTATTAATGTATTATTTTCCCTTGTTTTTTTTTTTTTTTTTTTTTTTTTTTTTTTTTTTTTTGTGTTTTGTTTTACTTTTGATCAGAATTGAAGGTGAGGTTTTAGTTGAACGAAGATGTCATCACCATATCCAATTCTCGATAATCGACCAATTGATCAATGGAAGGTTACAGAGTTAAAAGAGGAGCTCAAGAAGCGGAAATTGACAACCAAGGGTTTGAAGGATGATTTGATAAAGCGGTTGGATGAAGCAATACGAATTGAAAGGGCAAATAATGGTCTTACTGGTGATCCCCAACCTGTTGTTGGGGTGAAAGTTGTAGAGCCACGTTCAGGTTCTAGAACACCTAAAAGTATTGGTTCTGGTGGACGTAAAAGGACTGAAAAAGTTGATGTTCCAGTTCAGATTGACAACCGCGCAGCAACTTTGGATCAAGGGAATATTCAAGAAGGTTATATTTTGGTGGATAAAAATGCATGTGCTATTGTTGAAGAGGAGCTGGGTCAATCGACTACTGTGGAAACCACTGTGGAAACCAGTGTTACGGTCACTGAGAGTGTGGTAACTGAGGAAGTAGTAGTTGTGCAAGATTCACAGAACACTGAAGCCAATAAGGGGAATGGGAATTCAAAGCCCCTACTGGAGAATGAGTATGCAAAGCCCCTGCTTGAGAATGAGGACCCAAAGCGCCTTCTTGAGAATGAGGATCCAAAGCCCCAGCTTGAGAATGAGGACCCAAAGCCCCGGCTTGAGAATGAGGATCCAGAGCCCCAGCTTGAGAATGAGGATCCAAAGCCCCATCTAGAGAATGATGATCCAGAGCCCCAGCTGGAGAATGTTGATCTAAAGCCCCAGCTGGAGAACGAGGCTCAAAAGCCCCAGTTGGAGATTGAGGATCTAAAGCCCCAGCTGGAAAATGAGGGTTTAGAGCCTACAGCCAAGGATGACATGCTCGGCTCTTCTGCTCCAAACCACCAGGTATCTGAGGTCAGCACTTTAGGGTCTGAAGTAAAATATGATTCTATTTCTACTGATTCTGTGTCAATTAATGAAACGATTGAACTAAAGGATAATATAATTGATCATGTCAAATTAGAATTAGATATTGTTAAGCCGGAGATGGTGGACCCATCATCCAGCACTGTTGTTCCAGTCAGTGGTGATTCACATCCAATGGATGTTGACGAGCCACTTGAGGACAAGGCATCTCTTGGAGAGAAAGATGACAACATTACAAATGCAGACATTAGCAAGAAAAATGATAATGCGGATTTGGGGTACTCAGAAATATTAAATTTAGAGAGAAGTTCTGGAGATGATTCTATGGAAGAAGATGTGTTGGACAGTAAACAAATTGATTCAAAATATAGTTCTGACGATGTGGGAGATATTGGTGAGAAAAATGAAGTTCCTATTGTGAATGAGGAAAGTCGTGCTGGTATTGTGGGAGATGATATTGCCACAGACAAAAATGATGTAAGTGTTGAGAACAAGAATCATCCAGCTCTTCCTGCTGAGAAAAGAAAGCTTAATGGTAAGCATTGCAGCCAGTGTTTCTTGGTACTATTATATTTTTCAACCCATCTGTTACATTACTAACTGTGTAAACATCTGTGTGAGTTGGGATCCATAAAGTTTATGCATTTGGCTTCGGAAACATATATTATCATCATGCAATTTCGAGCTATCTGTGGTGCATACATGTAATAAGGTCATTTGTATATCACAAAGAACACATTTTTCTTTAGGAGTAGGGATTAATACTACCCACCCATTTATGACTTTTAATAAATAGTCAAATAGTCTCCTTAGTTTTAGTTGTTTCTTTATGTAATAAATAGGGTCTTGGAATACTAATGAACTACCTAAGAATACAAGGACATCAATGTTTTATAGGAATTCTACTATTATTAATGTTTTGTTGGAATTTTGGAAATGTCTTTAAGGACAAGTGTGAGAGTCATTCTTAGTGTATAAAGGGACAGATAACTTTGTTATGAATATAATCAGTTTCTGAATGTACCTTGATTCCCGTTAGAAATTTTAGGCTTTGATGTTCTGCCTTTTACTTATTGTGTAAGGGGACTATACCTACTTTCGGCCACTTTATTTCACTGATCCTATTTTCCTTTGTTTTTTGACGCATATTTTTTAGGTATTGCTATTTTGTAAGTTTTGATTACTTTTTGTTCCCCACATCTGCATGATTCCTGTACTTGTTTGAAATAATATCATATTTTTGGCTCTGTACATTGTTTTTTTTTATCTTTTCCCCTTTAGCCATTAAAGAATCTGGTATTAGTATGCCCTTTTTATTGGATAATTTCCCTTGCAGATCAAGCAGCTGTTGGAAGCAATGAGCCTGTAAAGAGGCGCAGGTGGAACTCTGAAAACCTTAAAGTTCCAGAGCTGCAAAGCCCTCTTCAAACACCTTCAGTCACACCCAAGGATACTTTCCAGACCCCCAGTTTGAAGCGTAGCTTTTCAAGATCAAACTCTTCAATGAGTGAGGATGCCCCCAAGGAACGTGTTGGTGAGTTATTGTTCTTTTCTTGTATCTGATAATGTCCAGCAACATATGTTTTGATTCCTTATATCTTTGTTTGTTGCAGTTCCACCATCGCAGAAGCCTCCAACTAATTCCCTTAGAATTGATCGTTTTCTGCGACCTTTCACCTTGAAAGCTGTGCAAGAACTTTTAGGCAAAACTGGGAAGGTTACTGATTTCTGGATGGACCACATCAAGACTCATTGCTATGTTACTGTAAGACTGACTCTCTCTCTCTCTCTCTCTCTTATATAGAATGAAACTCATCCCTTCCTCATGAAATTACTGTGTTTATGCAGTATTCATCAGCCGAAGAAGCCTTGGAGACACGGAATGCTGTGTATAACCTACAGTGGCCTCCCAATGGTGGGCGTCTTTTAGTGGCCGAGTTTGTTGATCCCCAGGAAGTGCAAACACGGGTTCAGATTCCTCAGACTCCTACTACACCCATCAGCAGCGGTCCTGCTGTTCCTGTTGCCCCATCCACCTCACAGCCACAGCCTTCACCACGTCAACCTAGGCAGCAGCAGCAGCAGCTGCCACCACCGCCTTCTCTTCCACCTCCACCACCTTTGACTGCCCCTTCCTCAGCAAGAGAACGGCTTCCTTTGCCTCCCCCACCTCCTCTACTGGAGAAACTTGATACACCGATTGTCACTTTGGACGATCTCTTTCGAAAAACCAAGTCAACTCCTCGAATCTATTACTTACCTTTGTCGGAAGAACAAGTGGCTGAAAAACTTGCAGCACAGGGCAAAAATGCCAAGTAGCAGGAGCATCGCCACAGTCCATCCATGGCTGCTGTTCAGATTTTCTTTTCAGTCAGTCAGTATGTTAGATGTAGGGAAGTGTCTTGTAATTGCATGTTTAATGGATTTTTGTTATTATGAAATCTTGTTGATGGTTGAGAGGGCCTGAGACCTAGTGTTTTTCTATAGTAGTATTAGAACCCTTATAGACTCAGCCTTGTTTATTGGCTTGTGGATCCATTTGTATCTTCGTTTTCTATGGAAGTAGAGTTCCAATTTCACTTTACTTTAAACTGATGGAGCCTAAATTATATTGATGAATCTGGATTTTGAATTTTGGAAAATGTGTTTAGGGATGTTGCTTCCTAGGGTAATTAGGGTTGCAGGATAAACTTTTTGGAATGAGAGCTGAGCACAACATACAAACTTAAGAAAAAAAAATCAGAAACTCATCCATCATTTAGACCACCTGTGATATATACCATTTATATTAGATTTAATTTCAAGTATTAATTTTAATTTAGGTGCATAGGCCCGTGGCATGCTCATTCATGCGTTGCGTGTAAGAGTTGTTTTTTTTTTTTTTTTTTTGTTTCGGGTTAAATTTTTTTATTTTTATAATTATTTTTAGTTAGAGTGAATTAACAAAATGCCTTTAAATTTAACGGAAGCTTTAATGGAGTTAGACATAGATGGTGGATTGCAACACTCTACAAAGTTCAGGTGGTTAAAAATAAAAATTACAAGTTTAGGTGGTATTAGCGCACAAATCTAAAAGTTCAAGTGGCATTTATGCAAATTTCCCAATCCTTAATGGAGCATTCCCTATTCTAAAAGTTTAAGTGGCATTTATGCAAATTTCCCAATCCTTAATGGAGCATTCCCTATTCGTATATGATTAATGAGAAAAAACATGGACCATATATGAAAAGAGAAATAACTATTCATTTAGCTTATTAGACGTTTTAGGTCAATTGGCTAGAGCACTGAATCCACCTCCTTGTACCGAAGTTCAAGTCTTCTCCTCGTAGATTAGAGAGTAATTTAGACTTTTAAAATAAAAATAAACAAAATAGATGATTTTAGTTTATGAGGGTGTTTAGACTAAATGGTGTGCTAAATGTTTGTTTTGGATCCAATGAGAGCCAAATCCTTAATCTTAAGAGCAGCTCCAGCGAGGGAGCCCAACCCGAGTCTGGGGTGAAAAAAAAAATGGCGCTCCAGCGGACAGCCCAGGGACGGGGGAGGTGTGGGACCCACCAACTTGGGCTGGCCCGAAGGCAACTTCCGCCCGAGGTCCAAAACGAGGGGGGTGACGTCAGCTCGACGTCAGGCTAACGTCGACACGCGGTAATCAATTTTTTTTTACCGTTGGCGCGTGCAATGCAGCGTGCGCTGACGTTAGCGCGACGCAGGTCCAACGGCTGGAAGCCACGTGGCACGCCCCCAGCGCTCCAATTTGTTTCCACAGCCTTCATCCAACGGCTGGCGTTTTTTCAGCAATAAAATTATGAAAAAAAAAAAAATCGAAATTTTGTTAAAAAAAATACTTTAAAATTCTGATTTTTTTTTCCTATAAATACCTATAAATACCCTTCACTTTCAACACCAATTCTCATACATTTTATTCTACTTCTACTATTACTCAACATTTTATTCACTCTTCACTCAACATTTTCATCTCTTTCACCTTGTATTTTTATTTCTTATTTTATGGCTTCTTCTATCGAAACCGAAGGGGCGTGGAGCACCATGGAAGATGTTTCTTTGTGTGAGGCTTGGCTCCGAGTTTGTCATTGTCCCGTGACAGGCAATGAGATGAAATTTTTCCATATGTGGAAAAAAATTCATGCCGAATTTTGCGATTGGCAAAAGTGATGAACTTGTATAGAAGTGGGGAAAATCGTACTAACGAGGTAAGTATTTTGTAATTTTCGTTTTATTAAGTTTAATGTCCTAATATATATATGTTGTTAATATTTATTGCATTTTCAGTATTTTATTAATATTTCTTGCATTTTAAATATTTTGTTAATATTTCTTGCATTTTCAATATGTTGTTAATATTTCTTGCATTTCCAATTGTTTCTTCATATTTCTTGCACTTCCAATTTATTTGTAAGGTTAATTGCATTTCCATTATTTTTATTTTGTTACTTCCATATCCAATATATTCTAAATATTTCTTGCATTTCCATTGTTTTGTTAAATAGCTTATTCAAGCACAAATGTGGTTCGATGTAACTGGGGGTGGCAAAAAAAGTTTCACCCATCATGAATGTTGGGATGTGGTGAAATATTGTAAACGCTTCATAATTATTCCCACGGGTCCCGACGTTGTGTTAAACGAGACGCCTCTCCGTGATTCAACGACATCGGATTCACCTCTCGATTTCCCTATGAGTGAAGACTCACCCATCCAAAAGGAACCGAGGCCCATTGGCCGAAAGGCTGCGAAGGCAAAGAAAACGGGTAATTCAAGCAACCATAATTCAAAATTTTTGGAGGAAATTGCAAGGCAGAACACCATAAGAATTGAAATGGAGCAGAAACGCCAAGATATGGAGGTGGCAATTCAAGCCGAGTGTGCACGAGAAAATGTGTATTTGCGCAAAAAAGATATGCAGAAGACGGATCGGGAAACCATGGCGATGGATATAAACCATATGTCCCCTGAAACAAAACAATATTGGAAGCTAGAATGAAGGGATGTTATGAGAAGAAGACTTTTCCAGGATGATGGGCCTAGCAGCACGGATTGGTTAAATGATCAAAACCATTAAATTTGTTGGCATACCTTTTATGTATTTTTATTTTTCATGTTTTGTATTCAAGTTGTTGTACTTCATGTATTTTATTTTAGTAGTAGTAATTCTTAATGACTTGTATTGGATTTCTTTATTTAATAAACAAAGCATTCAATAAAAGACCATTTTATTCAACATATTCCATACATCAAACAAAACATAATTAAAATTAAAAAAAATCTACAAACAAGGCACAATAATAAATAAATAAACAACACAACCAAACCATAAGCAATAAAAAACAACACACCCAAACCATAAGAAAAAAAAACAACACAACCAAACCATAAGTAAATAAAACATAGCCAAAGAATCTATGCTCCATCATTCATCTTCATTCCCTCTCACCGCCCATAGATGCTCCATCAAGTCAAGTTGACGCCTTTCATGAATATACGAAGATTGCATCTCTGTATATCGATCTATCATCCGAGTCATGAAACAATCGTCCCTCACCAACGGCTCTGGCTCAAACAGTTCTCCATTTGGCCCCATGGGCCTTTCATAAATCCGGCTCAAGGCTGTGTTCATTGGATCCGGTTCGTAGACCTCTCCAGCATCATAATCGTACTCATCATCCACAATCATATTATGGAGGATGATGCAAGTCATCATAATGCTTCGGAGGATCTCCTCATCAAACATACGGGCCGCACCTCGAATAATCAACCACCGAGCTTGAAGGATGCCAAAACACCTTTCGACATCTTTCCTGTATCCTTCTTGATAAGTAGCAAATAATTTTTGCTTATGGGATCGGGGATTCGGAATGGATTTGACAAATGTGGTCCACCTTGGGTAGATACCGTCAGCTAGATAATACCCCATCTGGTAGACTGTATTGTTGACTTGATAGGTAATATTGGGGCCTTGGCTTCTCAAAACATCGTTGAAGACCGGAGATTGACCCAAGACGTTGAGGTCATTTTGGGCTCCGGCAACTCTGAAGAAGGCATGCCAAACCCATGTGTCGAAGCCAACAACGGCTTCCAGGATGATACTTTTTTGGCCTTTTCTATTTCCGTAATCACCTTGCAAGGCAATTGGGCAATTCTTTCATTGCCAATGCATGCAGTCGATGCTACCAATCATTCCTGGAAATCCTCGAGCTTCGGCTTTTTGTAGAAGCCGTTGGAGGTCCCTGGGAGTAGGTCTACGCAGGTAGTCCCTAGTGTACAGATTTTCAACTGCATCACAAAATCTTACCAAAGCCTCCAACGTAGTGGACTTCCCCATTCGGGCAACCTCATCCACCTGATCAGCAGATGCTCCATACGCCAATATTCGTATAACAGCTGTAAGCTTTTGCTCCGGAAGAAGCCCCAAAACCCCAGCAGCATCACACTTTTGAACAAAGTATGCATCATAATTGCAAATATCATGCATGACTTTATTGAACAAATTGCATTCTAAATCGCCTTCGAAAATCAACATCAGAGTACAAAGCAGTTGGGATAAAATAATATTCCAAAAGATTCTTACCCCAAGAATGCCTATGTCTATCTACATTCCGGCGACGGCCGACTTGTGAACCACGGCGGCGACCTTGATTCTCTTCCTCTTCCATTGCCACTGCTATGAGAACTTGTTCATCGACTTGTCTCTGCAATTCATTGATTTCATCGGCTCTACGGTTTCTCTCCTTTCTTTCTTGCTTATGCCTCTCCAAGCATCTCCTATATTCTTCCATTGAGAATGAATGAAGTATGAATTCTAAACTCTAAGAAATGAAAATATAGAAAGATGTGGTGTGAGAGGTATGAGCTGAGCCTCTGGTTTTATAGAAAAATTTGGCAATATAGAGATGCCACGTGGCTTGATTTGATTGGATGAAAATCTTATATGAAATTTGAAATTTATTCGAAATTTGAACCCAAATTTATCTGAAATTTGAATTTTGAAATTCATTCGAAATTTGAACCAAAAATTTATCTGAAATTTGAATTTTGAAATTCATCTGAAATTTGAACCCAAAAATCTTATTCGGAAATTTTATCCGATTATGAATAGTCTTGACACGTAGGAACCCGGAAATCTTATCCGAAAATATTATCCAAATTAATTATTGAGGTAAAAAAATTTGTGAATAAAACAAAAAAATGAATAGTAATTTCCCTTAGAAAGGGCAACGTGTGGAAACACAAAATACTATTTGCAAGGGCAACCACTATTTACGTGAATAGTAGCTGCCCTAGCTTCCCCCTTGGCTATGGCTAAGAGCACTTCCAACAGTTGGAATTTTGGCCAGGGGGGGGAGGGGGTAGGGCTAGATACTATTCACGGGAATAGTGTCTGCCCTTGCAAAAAGTAAATTGCACTTCCAGCAGTTGCCATGGCAAGGGGGGGATACTATTCAATTTTTTTGTTTTTTTCACAAATTTGTTTACCTAAACAATTAATTTGGACAATATTTTCGGATGAGATTTTTTGATAAAATATTCGGATAAGATTTTCATATAAGATTTCCGGTTTCGAATTTCAGATAAATTTTTTTGAGATAAATTTCGAGTAGAAAGAGAATAATTAAACTTGAAAGTGAAAAAAATTTAGAGTTGAAAGTGAAAAATTATTGAGTAGAAAGTGAATAATTAAACTTGAAAGTGAAAAAAATTTAGAGTTGAAAGTGAAAAAATATTGAGTAGAAAGTGAATAATTAAACTTGAAAGTGAAAAACATTTAGAGTTGAAAGTGAAAAAATATTGAGTAGAAAGTGAATAATTAAACTTGAAAGTGAAAAAATTTAGAGTTGAAAGTGAAAAAATTATTGAGTAGAAAGTGAATAATTAAACTTGAAAGTGAAAAAAATTTAGAGTTGAAAGTGAAAAAATTATTGAGTAGAAAGTGAATAATTAAACTTGAAAGTGAAAAAAATTTAGAGTTGAAAGTGAAAAAATATTGAGTAGAAAGTGAATAATTAAACTTGAAAGTGAAAAAAATTTAGAGTTGAAAGTGAAAAAATTATTGAGTAGAAAGTGAATTTGTTGTTAAAAGTGAAGAGTATGGATTGGTATTTATAGAAAAAAATTCAGTATTTTTTGGGGTTTTTAAAAAATTTTTACGATTTTTTTTCATAATTTTTTGCCTTGAAAAATTCCAAGCCGTTGGATTGGATGAAAATTCGAAAATCGGAAGGACCAGATCGCGCCATGTGGCAGCAGAAAGAAAAAAAAATAAAATTGCACCTGCTGACGTCACGCTGACGTCAGCCTGCCTTCGAGCTGCTGCTCGGGCAGCCCCTGCCTTCTGGCCAGCCCAGGCAAGTGGACCCCACACTATCCGGGCCAGCACTTGTTGCTGGAATGTCATTTTGGGCTCTCCCCCCCCAGCCCGAGCCCGAGTGGGCTGCTGGAACTGCTCTAAGAGCAAATGGGTGGAGTTGCTCTAAAGAGAGAAGTGGACAAAGATGGACGAAAGATGAAATCATCCAAAAAAAAAAAAAAAAAAAAAAAAACTATAGTATTGTGTATAAAAAGAAACAAAATAAAATTGGGGTAAATCTGCAGATCCGTTTTAGTTCACGCTGGGTTTTAGACTAAAAAAAAAATAAAAAAAATAAAAAAAAACATTGAGTTACGCCCTCAAAACTGTTTGCGCCAATGGCCCCCCAAAACTGAAAAAACCTCTTTTTTATCTGCAACTCTCTCTCTCTCTCTCTCGATCGATGTTAGAAGCGTTTCTCTTTGCCACTTCCCTGCAACAGAGAATAGAAAACCGTTTCTAGGGTTTGGCAGATTCAACAATTCTTCTCTTTCATCAATCGCACTTGAATCTCACATACAGACTCTCTCTCTCCAAGCAATCATCACATTCTTTAATTTGCTCAACGTCGTCGTATTGCTGGTCCAAGTACTTTCTGAAGTCTTATTCTCCATTTCTTTACATTTGCTCCAATCTTGTTGCTGCCTTCCGCTAATTGGAGCTGCTTCGTTCTTGATTTTGCGGTTCAAGTTCAAAAGTTTACGAGGTTTTATTTGAAGTGTCCTGCAAAGGGTTTTAGCTTTTTTGAATTTTGAAGTTTCTTTTTTGTTTTTCTTGTTTTAGCCCTGGTAAAGAACAGTGCTTTAGGGTATCTTGTTGTATATATTTTTCTGGTGGGGTGGGTGGTGAGAACGCATTCTTGAGGGAGGATATGAATAGTGTATTCAGTGAGCAGATACTTGCAGACAAGCTTTCGAAGCTCAACAGCACCCAGCAATGCATTGAAAGTATCCTTTTCTGTCAATAAATTGGAAAGTTCTTTATACCTTTTAATCTTTGGTTACATTCTTGGGTGCTTGTGTAATTGGGACTAGGTAGCGGGTATGGGCCCGGATGGTAGCTACATCTCTGCTGTGAGGAAAATGGATTTATAAGGTTGTATCTAAATTTCTCTGAATGACACTTGATTTTTGCTCTAATCGATGAACAGTTGTCACATGTTGTGTAATTGGTAATTTGGCTTTTCATGGTCTGGTTTTCTGTTTGGATTATGCTTTACTTGACGGGGATAAAATTCGAATTATCTCTCTTTTGACGTAGTTTGCTAAAACGGGACATGGAAAGGTTAGCTGATTTTAAACTTTGAGTTGCTTCTATAGAAACCAATAAAGGTACATTCCAAACTTTATTGCTTGTGTGCTGTCGATTGGTTGAAGGAGATGGCTTGATTTGACTGTTTTTACCATTTTGCTTCCTTTGTCAAGTTCAGCATTTTCAATGTTGTAAAGAGTACCCTTTTCTTTCTTAACGAAAGTTTGTTAGCTAATATGGTACTTATGAATTCATGATTAAATTTTGCTTTAAAAAATAGGGGAAAACAATAGAATTTAACTTTCCATAATTGTGGAAGAAGTCTATTGAATGGTTGATGAACCCTAACTGGGAACTAAGTGATGGTTTGCTCCTTGGAGGAGTAGGTGCACAACACCATTCATTTAATTCTATGAGTACCATCAATCTGCATATCAAGCTGGTTTGGAATGTTTTCAAATGTTGGCTAGATGACAGTGCATGCACAAGATATGTATGATTGAAGCCCAATTTGAATAACCTTTTGGCCTATTGCTCATTTATTTATTTATTGGTTTCAATTTTTAAACATTTTTTTATAAAAAATTTCATTGAAGGTTGAGTTTAAAGTTAAAAAAAGGTGCAGGAGTCTACTACTTGTTAACTTGAATGCATTCTGAAGCATTATTGTTTAATGTATATGGTAAAACCCTGTTTCCTTGACTTTATAATAAGCTTTGTCACATTGGTGTATATTTCACCGAAGCAAAGCAGAACTGGTTGTTGCAACATGGGATAAACAATTCCATAATGCACAGATGGCTCAGAAAGTTCCGCTCTTGTATCTTGCAAATGACATCCTACAGAACAGTAAGCGTAAAGGAAATGAGTTTGTTACTGAATTTTGGAAGGTTCTTCCAGCTGCACTCAAAGTTGTTATTGAGGAAGGTGATGATCATGGAAAGACTGTTGTCTCTAGATTAGTAAGTTCCTCCTTCATTTATTTTGTTTCAGTTAGCAAATCCAGCAACTGATAGCATGAACTTATAGCCACTAATTGAAAATGTGTGTTATACTAATGACAAATTTAGAGTTAGATATTGCTGTCACAATTTTTTAATTTCAATCTTGAATATTTTTCAAGGAAATTGTTATTAGCACTCCAAAATAGTCACCCTGCACAGCTCCCTCCCTTATTTTTTTCATTAGTGAGGAGTGCCAATAACATCTTCCTTTTTTTAACCATAAGTAGGCGGACAAGTAATAGGTTTTGGGTATTTAACATATATCTGTTTGAACTTTTAACATAAATATTCTTCTCTCCCTCTTTACCTGGTCCAAAGAATGCTAGCTGACTCTACTTATATTTTAATTATATTTTAATCATGTGCATCAGTCTAACTGTAAGAATTTTTGATCGACTGGTTTATTAATTCCTTCTATGATGTACAAAATGGCTCAACTTGGTTTGCCATCTCTTACAAATTTTTTAGGTTGGAATATGGGAAGAGAGGCGAGTATTTGGGTCTCGTGCCCGGAGCCTCAAAGAACTAATGCTTGGGGAAGAAGTGCCTCCACCCTTGGAATTCAACGGCAAGAAGCGCTCACGTTCAGTCAGAATTGTAAAAAGAGATTCACGCTCTATCAGAACGGTGAGCATAAGAGCCTCTGTTATAGTTCCTTTCCCATTTTGCTTGATTTTATTTCTATGTGACTACCATCGCTGCAGAACTAAGTCTTTTGTTCAACTTAATACATGTTCTGCTCCTGTATTTCTACTTATTTGAGTGATTGCTAACTTCATAATATTTGGAAACCAGAAACTTTCCATTGGTGGTCCAGCTGAGAAGATCGTATCTGCATTTCACTCAGTGATCAGTGAACATCCCACTGAAGATGCTGAGATGAGTAAATGCAAATCTGCAGTTCATCGTGTAAGGAAGTTGGAGAAAGATGTTGACATAGCCTGTACTAATGGTAAAGTATCTTTGGTTATGACTAGAAATCATTTTTGCTCTTTCAGAATTACGTCCTTTTGCATAAGGGCATTTAAGTCTTGCCCGATTTCCAAAATTGTGGCCTCTTAACCTAATTTTCTTTTATCTTCAGCAAAGGATCCAAAGCGGAAAACTTTATCAAAAGAACTAGAGGAGGAAGAAAATCTTTTGAAGCAATGTATTGAAAAACTTAAATTAGTTGAAGCAAGTAGAGTAGCGCTTGTATCTCAATTAAAAGAAGCTCTGCATGAACAGGTATTGAATCAAGCCATTTAAAAAAAAAATTGTTCATCAGGTTTCTAGTTTGAAAACACGCAAATAAGGAAGCATGTTGTGCTTCCTTCAACAAGAAGCTTTTCATGTTGTACGCATCTGCTAACTTTCTGGAAACTTTGTCAGGAATCTGAACTGGAGAATGTTCGGACTCATATGCAGGTATGTCTCTAATGATTGAATCTTTCAATAAATTCTTCTTGTTGTTTGTTTGTTTGTATGTTTTTTTTTCCTGCTTTTTTTTAAAGTTTTATGGGATGGAGTGTTTGCATGTTATAAATTTTTTCCTTTGATCATCATGCCATAGTGTTTACTGGAAGATTGTTGGATAGTTATGTTGCACATTGTATTTTCATGATTTAGAATGCTATATTGCCTCTTCTTTGGTAAATTGTAAGGTAACATCCACTTGGCCACCGGAAACTGTTACAAGAAGGGGTGCCAAAATTTTGTCATTTAACATCCAAACCAAACGAGTTACTCTCCTCTTCCACAGACAGGTGCAAGTTTCTGGGAAGACCAAAATGAAAACAGGATACAACCTTCTCATCATTATCCTTTTGGATTAAGTGTCTTACTTGGGCAAGAGACACCCCGAATGATATAGTGTCAGTGGAGAAGGGGAGTGGCTATTGATCTTTGGTTTTCTCTGTTATTTTTCCCCTCATGGTTTAATTTCCTTCTGTTTTTGTTAGTTACTAAAGTTGAACCCAGATCTGCGTTGTCCCCTAACCAAAGGCCGCTGGGAGCTAGCTCACATCTTTAGGACTTAAGAAGATGAAGTTAGTTATTTAAACCTAACATCAAGGGATTTTGTGAAATTTTGTAATTACAAATGTTGGTTTGCTTGACGACTGATAAACTAGAGAACAGAGTAGAGAAGGAATGCAATTTCTGCCTTAACTGAACTTAAAAAACTTCACATTTTTTGCTGCAAAGGACCCACTAGTGTAGTGGTTTGGAGCATTTGCTCTCCCAGGAAAGGTCCTGGGTTCGAGTCCTAGCATCCGTGTGGTGTGTGTGAGTTTAGTATGTTATCGTCCCTCTCAATAGGAAGGTCTTCAAAAAACGTTTTTTGAATTTTCTTGGAATATACATTCAGGTGTGAATTGGGTTGAACAATCACTAGTCAGACAGAAACTCCACATTGTGTCCTGTCCATATATTTAGGGTAGTGTGGGTAACGCATAAGTGGGCATGCACTAACCTGCTTTGACATACCAAATTGCTACCCATGGTCAGAGCTGTTGCAACGCTTCTTAATTTTCATGTTGGTTTGATTATTAGTGAACTGTTAGTTGATGAGTCAATGTAATTTTTTTCAAAATACATGCAAGTTGGTGCTAAAAATTGAGGGCAGATGTGGTAGCTGTTAAAACTGTTGCTGTGCTTGAGAAATGGCTTTAATTTCCATTACAGCAGAAGTTGCTGAATTGGGGAAATTATCAAAGCATGTATAAGTGAAAGCTAAAAAAATAAAAAAAATAAAAAAGTTGTCTTAACAAACCTTGAGATTTGGTTCTGAGCCTCTTACGAGACTTTTGCTGGAGGAGTGCTATTGGTTAGTGCAAGTTCAGGACATTTGTTCTTTTGTCAATACCATTCATTATAATGGAAGTCCAGTATTCTTATAAGCATATAATGGGCTTTCCATTACAGTGGCTTGCCTTCAATATTAGACGACTTAGTGTTATATACTGTAAGTAGATCAACTATGGAGGAGAATTTTGGCATTGGGACTTTTGTGTGTCATGATGACCAGCTCTCCTGTGACTGTTGTTACGGTTCTGAGAAAGACTTTGTTGTTGCATGACCCTACACTAGGTCAGAGCATGTTTAGTTGGTCATGGACAAATATGTATGCTGTCTAGTCCAATTGTATCATCTCAAATTTTCAGTGAACTTTGTGCTAATAGATGCATTCAATTCCCACTCTTAATATCATACTTGCAAGTGTTGCATTGATCTCAAGCTAGTTTTTAATTCTTTCATTGTGATTATGAGATCATGCAAAATAAATTATCTAGTACATCAAAGCATTTGACATGATGATATAAAATTGTTGTGATAAGTTCCAAGTCTACTATCTTTTGTCCCCATAATTTATTGGACCTTGATAATTTGATATGTGTGTCTTGTTGTGTTGTGTCAAGTAAAGAATACGAGTCTTTCTCTTGAAGTCATTAGTTCTCTATTTGTCTGCAGTTGTTACAGATATAAGGATCACTATTATTTAGCTTCATTATAGTAACATTTGACCAATGGATCATCTGACTGCTAAGCTGATATATTTTGACAAGTGTAGGTAGCACAGGCACAGGCAGAAGAAGCCACGAACATGCGAAATCGACTCAATGATGAAGATTATGTATTTAAACCATCAAGTGCGACTAGTCCACCGACTGATGGAAATTCTAAAGGGGGACAAACACCTAGGAAATCAGCTGCCGCCATTGCAGCTTTGGTTGCAGACAAGCTTGCTGCTTCTAGTTCTTCTCAATTGATTATGACTTCTGTTCTTTCTACTTTCGCTGCTGAAGAAGCGAAGAATGCTGGTCTGACAAAGCCCTCCACGTCTTCAAATTCATTCACATCCATGCCCAAGAGTTCGGGGACTGATTCAATGTCCAAACCTGAAATGTCCATGCCAGTTTCAGATGCCAATGTTTTTATGTCAGCACAGCCGCCTGCTGTGCCGCAAAACCATGCATACCAATCAGCGTTGGTTCCCCAACCTCAGAATCAAGCCCCCACCTCTCAAGGTCAATTTCACATGCTTCCAAACCCACCCTCCCAACAATATTTACAGCCAGCAGGAGGGGTCATGAGCTCATATGGTTATGGGAGCATTCCACCTTTGCCTCTAGGACCACCACCTCCCCCGCCTCATATGGTGAGTCCAATGGTGCCTTTGAACCAACAGCCATTGCAAATGAATCAACAGGCTGTACAAATTACCCAGCAGCAACCAATACCCTTAACTCAGCAACCTCCAGCTCCTAGTTTCCGGCCACTTCAGCCACCCGGAATGGTGTATTACGGTCATCCTCATAATTCTCAGTGAATTTGAATTATTTAGGTAGACAGTATAACCAATGTGAAATTTGAATTACCTAGGTAGGAAGTATAACCAATGTGAAATTTTGAGGAAAAAGCATTTTGTGCCGAGATCAAAAGTTTTGTTTATTCATTTGGGCCTTTCTTTTCGTTTCTTCTGAGATCAGCAATTTGGCTCTTATTTTTGGGGTCAACATTTTCTCTTTTAGGATCCAATATAAATTTAATCAGTCGGATAAACGTCCATATCATTTTTCCAACAATATTTTGGATGTTTCACTAAAACACCCAAAATGAGGGCTGAAATTATAAAAAAATCCAACACCCAAAACACTTTATAAACACACCCAAAACCCATCATTACACACACTCAAAACACATTTATAAACACACTCAAAAAATATACAATTGTTGATTTTGAGGTTAATTTTGGGTGTGTTTCTATGTTTAAATAGTGTTTGTGTTTTTTTATAAATACATGTTTAGGATTGGATTTATTTATAAATTTGTATAATTATTATAGCCAAACGTCGTAGTTGAAGGTTACTCCAAGCTTATATTAGAAATGATCAAGAAGCACACCCGGCCCAGGCCCAGGTTCCTACCCATTGTAGCAAAGCAACTGCATATCTCGAAATTGTTTGTAGTTGAAAGTTGGAGGACCTTAAATCTTCTCTGTACAGGTAGAAGAAAAAGAGATTCTGAACAGATTTGAAGAATTTGATCAAATATAGCTCATTTGCATACCATCCTATTTAAATCTCCATGATTATCTTTCCACAAACACAACTTAAACTAGGCAGTGAAATAATCAAATGCAATCATGAACCGATTGCTAGGCATTGGCCAAGTTCTTTTGCCAAATATAACATTATTCATATGCACTATTGCGGTCAAGGAAGATACATAAATCACACATGAAATATTTTTCACTTGTAACCTGTTACATTATTAACGAACATAGTGCTTTCTTCATGTATAAGGCGATCTTGATACATGTATTTTGAGCACACAGACAAAACTATTAGGAAACAAAACCATAAAGAATGCAGGAGCTCAACATTTCATTGCTTTCTTCATGACAAAATCCCTTACGAACAGTGGCAGATGATACAAGATTGCGAAAATGGTAGAGTGGTGGCCATAGGAGAACCAAGCTAGTGGATTCTCCTTCAGAACGGCAGCCGCAGTCCTTTTTGCAAACTCTTCGGCAGAGGTTGAATGGATTCCTTGTGACATAGTTGCTCTAGCACGGATTGCTGCTTCAAAAGGTTTATATAATTTCCATTCAGGCATCTGGTTGTAGCCGGCTAAAGCAGAATTTCCAAGATTTGACCTAATAGCTCCAGGTACAACAGTGATTACATTGATCCCAAAGTGCCTGAGTTCCAATCTAATAAACATGGATATTTTGTGGATAATTAGTAATCATAAAAAGGGAAAAGAAAACAATCAAAGATGACAAAGCCGTACAGAATTAGTAAATTTAAGTGGCATGTCAACCAGCAAGAATTTTAAGAAAAGTATATCTGACATTCCCACAACCAGATGTTAGATGGGGCAGAGATCATTCCTTTGCAAAAACAAAACATTAATTACAATCTATGTTGTTCCTAGTCTTAAACTTGTACACCCATCATTTTGATTGAATTGCATGCTGAAATCAATACAACAAAATTTTAGACAAAATAATCATTTAAGAAATCATGTTCTTTCTTGGCCTTCCATTTAAAACAAATGGCTAGGAATTTAGGAAATTTCCTTTTGTCACGTATCTTCTAACATTTTCAACAAGAATTTTGTTGATGCTGCTTATTCCTTTCATAAGAAGAGTTCAAGCATGCTAGTCACTTCCTAACATTGAAATAACTCAGAAGAGTTTTATCCAAGCACCAAGATTTCAATTTTTATGAGATGAAAGGGGGAACACTAGTAGATACGAACCAGAGTATTCTTTTGATGTAATTAGATATGAACCAAAGTTTAAACTGAGCATTAAACAGGTATGTAATACGAACCACAAGCGATATGGGGATGCACAAACCTTAAAGAATCAGAAAGTGCCTGAAGAGCAGCTTTGGATGCTGTGTAAGCACCAGCCCATGGTCCAGGGGCCAAAACAGTAACACTTCCAAGATTTACAATCTTTCCCTTTTTCCTTGATGCCATGTGAGGGACAACAGCTTGTATCAACCTCATGGAACCTTAAACCATGGTCACAAAAAAGTACATATGCAATCAATCATCTTGAGAACAAACAAAGGAAAATGCTAAGGAAGACAAATCCAAAGGAAAATGCTAAGGAAGACAAATGAAAAATGTGCTGGCATCACTGCATGAGACGATCGAATATAAATGAAATTTATAAAATCATTCTGAAAGCCTACGTAGAAGATACTGCCCAAGTGCTTCATTGCATTAGAAGACCAGTTAAGCTCCAGTGCCACATTTAGTAAGGAAACAAAGGTTGACAAACTAATGACAAAATTCCTGTTTTTTACAGAACCTCTGCAAAGCTTTAATAAGTTAATTAATCCAATACTATTCGATCGAAAAAATTCTGAGGATGCGGTCAATCAGTAATTGCCTCTAGGGTGTATTGTGGTGCCTTCAAATTTTTGCCGAGTTTCTGTGGTTTTCAGTAGAGAGTGTGAGAGACATAGGGTTTGTTTATTTTTGCCAAGTTTCTCAAATTGGGCATATGCTCAAATTAGAATGAGAAAAATGAAAACTGATATCTTATAGGTAAAGGCTCACATGCGTAAGAGAATGATATGCAGCAAATTTTAGACCAAACAAGCCACTGGGTAACAGACCTGCTTAGCAGTTAATAAAGGAAAGTTTTGGTCCCCACACAAGTGGATTTGTTTGGATTTGTCAATTGCCACTTTACCCTCAACAGCAATTTGAGCTAAAACCCATGTAGCTATACATAGAAAAGCAGGCAACAAACCAACAAACAACACAAACAGTATGACAAGCAAAAAGAAATCACCATTAGCAAGTAGACTAATGTTAACGACAAAACTGGAAACAATGGAACCAAAAGAGAATATACTGAAAGAGAGTAAAGAGTGTCCTTTCAATACCAAAAACATTGGTATTAAAAGTGCTTTGCAGAGCAGAGAGAGGGACTTCTGCAAGTGGACCAACACATTGAATCCCAGCATTGTTGACCAGCACATCAATTCGGCCGTACTTCTCCAAAACACTAGACACAACATGATCCACACTCTCATCTGAAACCACATCCAGCTCTTGTAAAAAGAACCTTGGGTCCTCCTGAAGGTCAGCCATGGAGCTCAGTGACCTGCTCGTAGCCACCACCAGACAGTCCTCCGCAGCAAACGCACGTGCCAGGGCGTGGCCTATGCCTCCTTGAGAGCACCCACTGATCAGAACCACTTGCTGCCCGCAGAATTCCATCTGGGTTTTTCTGGGATCGATCTTGTTTTGAAGGTGTTTGATGAAAATGGAAGCTCAAAGCGGAAGTGGGTCTTTTGTTAATTACGAAGAGATTGGTTTAATAAGCACGCATTTAATACACGTGTAGGTACCAAATTGGATTAAATCCAAGAGAAATCTCTCCAAATCCACATTCAGTGAACCAGTTGGATTATTTATTTTTTTGTTAAGTTTAATCAAATCACGTGATTTGGCCTAAAACAAATTAAAACCTTTGGACCATGCCTCATAACGAAATTAATACCCTTGAACCATATCTTAGACCAGAATTAATACCTTTAAACCATATTTGGGTTTTAAAGGAAATTTTCCCCTATATATATTTTTTTGTAAGGGAAACTTTCCGGGTAAATGTAAAGCGATAAAGCACATGTTAACTATATTAGAATTAACAATTGCGTATTAACACATATGAGTTTGGTCAGTTGACTACAATACTATAATCGTCAGTTAGAATAATGTATCATTGTTTTAACTAAAAGTCTACTAAAGAAACAAAGAAATAAAAGACGAGAAGGAAAGCTTACTTAGGAATTGTTTGCTGGAAAATTTAGAAGGAAAATGAAAAACTCGAGGAGATTGCAGAATGCACTTTGAGTTTTTCTTCTCAATTTTTATTTTGCCTACGCTAAAGGAAAGAATTATGATGAAGAATCTTGCTTTTCAGAAAAATAGGTGTAGTGTAGTTGTTGTTGGTTAAAGTTGACTTTTCTCGAAATTAATTATATGTCTTTGTAGTCTCCGAACTTCACTTTCGTTAGCAGTATTAGTCATGTGTTACTTTTTTTTTATATCAAATTTAGGTGCAAAACAATAACTCTGCGTTCTTTCTAATGGAGAAAACATATATATATATATATATATATATGTATTCTTTAAGAGCATCTCCACCCACAAGGGCTAAGTCTAAGGCAAGGGCAAGCAAGGGCTGCCACTATTCACGTGAATAGTGTCAGCCTTTGCATTTGTGGTTCCACCCACAAGGGCAAAGTCTAGGGCAAGTCTAAGGCAATTACTATTCATTGTACTTTATTTTCTATTTTTTTATAGTTTAAACCATTAATTTTGATAATCTTTTGTAATTAAATTTTCGGATAAGATTTTCACCCTCTAAAATTGTGCCACGTCTGATGTAGAACAAATGTCAGATTTTATCGCTTGAGCTAGAAAAAGGACGTAGTGGGAATTTGGGTATTTTTAAAAAAAAATTCAGATTTTTTTCGATTTTTTTTGCAATTTTTTTAGCCAAAAAAACGAGGACCGTCGGATTTCTGGAAAAATTCCATTGGAGAGTCCCCGTCGCGCCACGTGGCACCCGCCCGTTGGAGCTGTCAGTGGCTGACGTCAGCGCTGGCGTCACGCTGACGCCAGCGCACGGTAAGTCAAATTTTTTTTACCGTTGGCGCGTGAATTACACGTGCCAACGGTAAAAAAAAATTGAATTACCGTGCGCTGGCGTCAGCGTGACGCCAGCGCTGACGTCACCAACTCGGGCTTCAGCCCAGGCAAGACTTGCCCTTGGGCTTCCTCGGGCTCGTGGGACCCGCCACCAAACTGGGCTACGGGCCCTGCGCTGGAGTGAACTCGGGCTGCGTCGGGCAGCCTTTCCCCCCTAGCCCGACCTGCGCTGGAGATGCTCTAAAAGTTGAGGTTTTCAGTTCAGTCAACAATCAGCATGACCATGACCATGACCATGGCGTATTTGTGATGGGAGAGAATTTCCGGTCAAATTTGAGCTGTCAGTCAAATCCAACTGAGCCATGCTCTTGAGCTTTGAATTTCACTTATTTAATTTCCAGCATTATGCAGTTAAAGTTAATCTACCTTTGGTTCCAGATATATGGGGTTGGGATTGGTATATATTTGTTAATTTAAAGTGGTCAGGGACTTACATCTGATTGATTATTTGATATATACTTTCCTTCTTTCTTTTTTTTCCTCTCATTAAAACATTAAAACCAATTAAATTGTTAACAACAAAAAAAGCCATCAAATTAGAAGAACGAAACATTTCCTTGAACTTAGACCCGATTTGCATTTTGGTCATCGAATTCGCAAAATGGCTACTTCATCAACTCTATTTTCGTTAGCAATGTTGATCCTGTCATCAAATTTGTTAAATTTAGAGGTAAAATTTTCACTTCAAATCCAGCTTACCCACCACCACTTTGTACCCAAATCCACCATTTCCAACACCATAAGGACAAAGAACAAATAATAAAGAACAAAACCCATTTGCCTTATGTTGAGGTTTTTTTATTTACACCAATCAGAGATCGAAGTTCAGCCACTACTTTTCTTTTTTCTTTTCAAAATCTTAAAATCCAACTATACCTTTCACAATAAATTTTTCTCATCAGACCCAACCCACCGTCCACCACCAACGACCATTCTCCCTCACCTCACCTGCCCTCTCCCACACCACGACATATTCCCTACCTAGGCCCAACAAGTATTTCCACTCAACCAATCCCCCACCACATATGCCCTCCAACTCAATCTCCTCAATCTTGACCAGATCAACTGAAAAAAAAATTGAAAAAATTGAAAAAAAAAGGAGGGTGAATGTAAAAATATGTTTATGCCCGTTAGAAAGAACGTAAACAACTGCTTTGTCCCTAAATTGGACATAAAAACTAACACAGGACAAACATCAGTAACAAAAGTGAAGTTAAGGGACTATATTAGGCATTTTGTGAATTCAAGAATCAAAACGCAAATTAGGTTTGAGTTTAAGGACCAAAATGCAAATTCACACTTTAAACTTGATGGGACATGATCAATTCAATCATTAACAATTTTAATTTTAATTACAAGTTACAATATAACATGCAAGACTTGGGACAAATTTTTTTGAAATCTAATCTAATCATATTTTATTTTATATTATATTATATATCATTGCATTGTATTGTTTTACTTAAAAAGATTTGGGACAAATTTTGAACCACATGGGACAAATTTTGAACCATATGGGACAAATTGGTGTAAGTGGGTGCTCAAAAGTTTTAATGAAGTTTCAAGTAGGGAAAAAAATTACACACATGCCAAATGAAAAAGTAGGCAGAAGGTTGGTGGTGTTGGGAACTGGGACGTATATGATATGGACATATTTATAGAGAGAGAAGTATCGCAACCGATGTGCTCGCTCGCACATACACATGTTTATGTACCTATATATATACATATTATTTGTTGGTCTGATATATATACATATTAATGACTCCTTATATGGTAACGACACCATACCCTTGTGGTTTTACCTAGCAATTTTGGGAATTGAATTAATTAATACCACAGGCTTAAATTCACCTAGCACAAGTTCTGTGGTGTCCATGCAACGTGGCAGTATGTGTCAGATTTTGCAACCATGCATTGCTTCTCCTCAGCCAAATTCAAAATCCTCATATGGTAACATAGAAGACGTCCAAAGCCAACCAACTTTCTCATCACTCTGCCATTTAAGGTTTTCCCCTTTTTCTTCTCAAATTAATATGATTTTTCCTTTTTAGCCTCGATTTCTTTTTTTATCTTTATATCAATTTCATTTAGCTAGGGAGCCTAATGTCAACGAGCAGCAGTTCAATGCAAAGGAGCTCCCATGGAAACCTCACAAAAGTTTTCAAGTGCAAAAGCTGTGTGCTGATCTTGATGGACAACGACGAAGAACGTACGGCCAGATTCATCAGGCTTGGGGAATTTGTGATTAATCTCGTCATGGCATCAATGGACCGAGCTTTGGTGACGTGCGTTTGCATGGTGAATCAGCTTCAATGGCCGATAGCAAAGGACTCTCCTATCATCCGCGTTGGGCAAAGGTTCTTTGTGTTGGGCTTTCCAGGGCTCTTGTAAGGCCTTCAGTTCGTTTCTTGCTGCGAGCCTCACGTCATTGATAATCTTGAAAGGGTTTTCATCAAGTTTGGCCACTACAATGATCTTAATCACAAAGGAACTGGTAACTCCATCACTTTCCTCTCTCTCTCTCTCTCTCTCTCTCTCTCTCTCTCTCTCTCTCTCTCTCTCTCTCCTTTTATTGTATTTTTGGGTTTAGTTAATTAGTGTCTTGTACTTTGAAAAAGTTGCTTCAGTTAATATGGTAATTGGTAAACACAAGTTAAACGCAGCTCATCACTTTGTTCTATTCATTTATAACGACTCTTTTTAATGAATTTTAAATTCAGAAAAAGACAGATTTAAGTTTGCTCAAGAAGTGGTAGGCAATGCAACAATGGACAAATAAATACTGTATTTTCAATAGAAAATTCGGTATAAGTCCAATTCTTATGACAAAATTTGGGTGCAATCCACACATTTGTTGTTAGTAATTCAAGTCCTCTGACTTTTGTGCTATGTAGGATTACTTACCTTCTTTTAATTTCTAAAGATTATATTTTATTTTCTTAATTTTTTAATTTATGTTGTGCTTCCAATTTTGCCCCTAAGATAGAAATCTGATAACCTAAAAGCCAGCAAAATATCAAAAATCGCGTTAAACAATCTTCAGATGCCAAGAATAGAAAGAATCGCAGAAATCGTATCTTCCACAATCAAATATGGCCCTGTCAAGCCGATTTCTGCAGATTTCATGCTTCTTAATTGTCGAGGGTTTTGGGTTTCATTTTAAAGTTGAATTTGCCTTTCGACTTCTTCAATTGTAGCCGGTGGCGTTTGGGGATTCTCATCTTGCTTCTCCATCAATTGCAGTGTATGTGTTCCAGATATGTTGTATATTTACCTTTTTTGTAGGTGAAAACCTTTGACGTTAACAAAACCTGATTCTTGAACGAATTTGTATATGTAACTACTGCTTCCTGAACCAATTTCTTTTTGTTTTCGTTTTCTAATTAAGGACCCCAACTATGTATTTGACGATAACTAAACCTGCTTCCTGAACGAATTTCATATTCTCTCTCATGGGAATTGGTCCTCCACCTATACCATAGGAAGAAGATGAAGAAACCAGTTCATCTTGTACTATGTTCCTTGTATTCCACACAATGAATTTCGTTTTCATTCACACCAAATACTAAGATGGACACGCTGTTGTTGAAGAAGTAGTGGTAGTTATCAAGTATAAGATTAGCAATATTGATAAAGTTAGAAGTACAACTTATAACGAGCTTATAAGCCAATGGGGTATTATTTCTGTCCTTTTCCTGTTGTTGTTTGTTCTGTTTGATTTGTATTACAGTTCAGTAAGTCAGTGTACTTTGATTTATTATTTTTCTGCTTTAGCACTTTGGTTTATGTATCTAATCTACTCTTGGCTCTTTTGTTACATAATTTATTTTGTTCCTTTTATTCCACACAACGAATTCATTTTCTTTTCCTTATTTTCATTTTCTTGTCATTTTTTGATTGAGATTGAGAGTTTACTTCATAGTTAATATATGACATAAATTGATTAACAGAATGATTGAGATTGAGAGAGAAGGAAGATCGAAGGTTGAAGGATCTAGAAGCTAATATTCTCCCGCGAGAGCACGAGTTATACTCAACGAGTGCTTAAGGAATCTGTTCCTCCTACTTTTCAATCCACCGAAGCCTTCCAAACAACCATGGTTGTAAGCAAGAAAAAAAGGGGCAAGACTGCTGTGATGGCCCAATCCATGATAGGCTAGGACCACCACGATGCCGTGGCTCCGAGATAATCCAACACCACAACCGAGACTATGACACGCCCTCACGGCACTACAATCGCCATTGCTCCTCCTCCTATCGGTCTCGCGACCGGGAACACCATCTTGACGTGCGCCGCCACACTACAACATCAAGGCCCCTCGACTGGAACCACCGTGCCACCTGCCGGACTAGTAGCTCGGACCACTGCACCGGCCTCTACTGTTGTCGCACCATCTCAAGGCCCTGTGGCTGGATCTAGCCACCTTCATGGAACCACCACTGAGCATGGTGGAACCTCCTATCAGGGTGGGCTCACTACCACCACCGACTTTGATCCAATCTTGGAGCAACTTTAGTCATTCCCTTCATTGCCTCCGCGCTCGATGCATGCTCCCTCATACAGCTCTAATGAAACCTTAGCTTTTGTGCAATTGGGCTCCACACACTTCTCTCCTCCCAATCCATGAAGTCAAGTAGACCTTAATTTGAGAGTTGGCCAGCTAACTCAGAGAATGGACGACCAAAACAATTTAATGAGGCAGCTCCTCAACCAAATAAACTTGGCTCAAAACTTTGGCCTTGGACAATAGGGCGAAGAGAGAAGGATGGACAAACGAGCCGATAGGCTGTTCGATAGGTACCAAGCAGGTTGAGCAAGAGTAAGTAGACAAGGAGATGGACAACAACGCGATCAGCTTGCCTACATGTCGCAAGCATCTGCGAGCCACACTCAGAGTAGACGAAGTCACCCATCCAGATTGAGTTTAAGGATCAGCATGCGAGAAAGGCTGGGCCCACAACTTGACATCCGTGCTCGCTTGGGCCAATAGGGAAATGTTCATGAAGGGCTGAGCTCCTAGGAAGGGCGACCTGACAACCATTGCAATGAGGATCGTAAAGAAAGGTGCTCCGCTGCCTACTCACATAGAAATATTCCCGAAATTCTAGGCTTGCAGGGAGGTCAACTTGATAACCCTCACAATGAGGACCATGAAGAAAGGCGCTCTGCTACTCGTTCTCGAAGAACCAATTCTCATCACCAAGTTACAAAAAATTCCTCGCAAGCGCAGTCCACCAACACTCCGCCTAGGTAGTGCAACCGAGAAGGTCGACCCTTGCAAACCAACGAAGAAGTCAATCATCATCACCCAAATCGTGAAGGTTATTAACGTGACTGATTAGCCATGTGTACGGAAGACGTTGAGAAGCTTGTAAATAACCGACTTCGAGACTTCAAGATTAGCGGAAATTTCGAAGATGCACTACATGTGGAGGTAGACTGAGCAACATCCCCACCTTTCACCGTCGAAATCAAGCAGGTTGCTTCCTCAAAAAGATTCTCAATGCCCTCGTTCACATGCTTTAAAGGGGATTCCAATCCCGAAAGTCATCAGAATCATTTCAAGAGCCTTATGATCCTCTACAAAGCTGAAGACGCGCTAATGTGCAAGGTGTTTGCAATGACTTTGCAGGGAGCAGCTTAGGACTGGTTACATACCCTGTCATCCGGATCGATCAACAACTTCAAAGAGCTTGCTTATGTCTTCACCAAAGAGTACACTTCTTATCGGACGATTAAGAAGAACCCTGGCCACCTGTACAACCTGCGCAAGAAGCCCAATGAATCACTTCGAGATTACATCAAGAGATTCAAAGTAGAAAAGGCCAACATTATAGGGTGCGATGACCGAATCGCATCCTCTGCATTCAAGAAAGGTCTTCCAGCTGAACACGACTTATATCGCGAGCAGACTATCACTCCCAGCCAGACTCTGGTAGAGGTCTTCGCGACCGTCGAACGCTACGCGCTTTGGGATGATGATTGAATCTCGGCGAAGAAGTCCACCGAGCAGGAAGAAAGTGACAAGCTTGGCAACAAAGACGAAGACAAACGCAGGTCGCGCCCACAAGGAGAAGCTACGACAAAGGAGAACTACACCAAGTTCTCCATCACTATAAATCAAATTTTAGCCCAAGTGAAGGACAAACCTTGGGTAAAAAGACCGCCACCCTTGAAAGGAGATCCGAACAAGAGAGATACCAAAAAATATTGTGCTTTCCAAGCAACGCACGGGCACAATATGAATAATTACTTTGCTTGGAAAATGCACCTCAAAGAACTTGTGAGAGAAGATCACTGCACGGAGTTCATCGCGAAGCAGGCCATCTAGCAGGTTGAGGACAACGATACTGCCAAGGAGCCAACCCAGAAGGTCATAAGGATTAACACAATCCTAGCCGACTATGAGGAGTCTGGGCTGACTAGCAAAGAAAAGAAAAGGAAGATCAAACAGGCCATTGTGATCTCCCAGGTCTCCACTAGTCTCCCACTGGTAGAAGACGATCCCATGATCGGCTTCCAAATGAAAGATCTAATCGGCCTTGATCTACCACACAACGATGTCTTTGTCATCAGCATTCAAATCGCTTAGGCCATGGTCGACTGAATCCATTCAAAAGAGGGCAAGGTAGGCAGTGTAGCCAACATCTTACAATTGGCAGTCATCCACAGATGGGCTTGGAGACAAAGATCAGTAAATCAGCCAAGTCGCTGACTGGCTTCAATGGTGCAATAACGGTTACCGTGGGCACGGTAGATCTCGATGTCTACTCCCCACCTATAATCAACTTGCAAACGTTCATGGTCATTGATGAAGTCTCACCCTATAATGGAAGTCTGGGCAGAACATACATAGGCAAGATCAAGGTCATCACCTCAACCACACATCAGAAAATTCGCTACCCAATCCCTGAGGCGGTGTCGGCCAGATCAACAGCGATTAGGCAGTGGTGAGGAAATGCTCAGCTCAAGGGTACAAGAAAAACAAGCAAACACAGTTTCTCCCTATGTATCAAGCAGATCTAAAGGGAGTAGAACAAGCAGAGGAGAAAGCAGATCCCGTTCCTAACAGCCGAGCATACCAGAAAGGAAAAAGAATAACTATTCCCCAATAGTAATAAAAGAATCAGGACCAAGTCAAGGGAATCCGTCCGGAGGTCTATTCGAAAGAAGGATGGAAGCCCAAAAAGGACGTCGAGCTAGTACCCCTTGATCCTGACAAGCCAGAGAGAAAAGTGCAGATTGGCTCGAGCCTAAGCCAGGAGGAAAAAGCAGAGCTTGCAGCCTTCCTCAAGAACAACAAAGACGTATTTGCATGGTCGCCATCTGACATGCGAGGCATCGAACCCCAGATCATCTGCCATCGCCTACACGTCAACCCAGCTATCAAGCCGATAGCACAGAAGAGACGCAATTTCGCCCCCGAGCGGGTTGCCATCATTGAAGCCGAGATTGACAAGCTCCTAGCTGCAGGTTTCATTGAAGAAGTCTCCTATGTAGAATGGCTCGCGAACGTTGTTCTAGTAGCAAAGAAAGATAAAGGCCTGCGGAGAGTGTGCGTCAACTACACTGACCTCAACAAGGCATGCCTTAAAGACAACTTTCCATTGCCAAGAATTGATCAGCTCGTCGTTTCAACTTCCGACAATCAATTGCTAAGCTTCATAGACGCCTACTCCGGCTACAATCAAATCATGATGCATGAAGACAATAAGGCAAAGACCTTCTTCATCATCGAAAGAGGTACTTACTACTATAAATTCATGCCCTTTGGGTTGAAGAATGCCGGAGCAACCTACCAAAGGCTAGTGAACAAAATTTTCAAGGAGCAAATCGACAAGACTTTACCTTCGTGCTTAACCGGTTATACCAAATTCACCTTTGTGCATCTTGCTGCCTACTGAAGCTAGAAATTATGATCTCAAATCTTCAAATTTTCACATCCTTCCTTCTTTTTATGGTTTACCTAATGAAGATCCATTAGCCCATATTAAGGAATTCTACAATGTTGTGAGTGGTTTACCTTTGCAAGGAGTGAGCGAAGCAAATATGAGGATAAGGGTTTTTCCTTACACATTGAAAGATAGAGCAAAGGGTTGGCTAATGACTTTAGCACCTAGTTCGCTCACCACTTGGGATGCCGTAGCTAAGAAATTTTTGGAGAAGTTTTTCTCTACTAAAAAGACAGCTACTTTGATAGGGCAAATATTTAACTTTAAACAAGATGATGGAGAACCCTTCAATGAATGTTAGGAGCATTTCAAAGGGTTGTTGCTGCAATGTCCACATCATAGGTTACCTCTTTACTTACAAAATGCAAATTTTTTATGATGGACTAACCCAAACATGCCAATCGACTATTGATAATGCAGCAGGTGGAGCTTTGAAGAAAAAAAAAGCTCAAGAGTCATATAACATTTATGTGATGTTGGGATCTAATGCTCAACAGACAAGATACAAGAGGTAAACGAGTTGGAGTGTGTGAAATGAGTTCTAATAATGATCTTGCCTTGCAAGTGGCTAGTTTGGAAAAGAAGCTCGATTCTGTGCTCAATGTGGTGCCTAAGATAGCTGAGGTGTGTGCCATTTGCAACATACCAAGTCATCCTACTTATCAATGCTCAGCTAGTAAGGCTTATCTCGAATTCATTCAAAGGCAAGTGAATCTCATGAATTCTTACAATCAGAGGTCGAGGAATGACCCATTCTCTAATACATATAACCCTAGTTGGAGAGATCATCCCAATCTCTCATGGACGAATAACAATCAATTTCAAAATTTCCAACCAAAGCCTGCCACTACACTTAAAGATAGGGTCAAAATGCTAGCTCAAAACACCATTCAATTCCAGCAAACTACCAATAGTACTCTCCAACAACATTCAGCTACTCTAACCAAAATGGAGACACAATTAGGTCAGGTTGCTGATGTGTTGAGTCAAAGAGAACCCGGGAAATTTCCAAGCCAACCGGTGAAACTTCAAAGGAACCAAGAGCAAGCCAAAGCGGTCATAACACTTAGAAGTGGTAAGGTTATTAATAATGGAGTTGGCAATGAAGTTACTAATGAATTTGATCATGTGAATGCAAATCCCACTCAAGAAGTGAATGAGAAACCGAATGACGATCCAAGCAATGCTACTTCTTTGTCCTCCAAATTTTTACAAGACTAAAAAACCTTACACTCCTCCCATCCCATTTCCTGGAATACTTGCCAAAAGCAAGCAAGATAAGTCATTTAAAGAAAATTTTGATATTTTAAGTAAAATGAATGTTAATTTACCTTTGCTTGATGTCATTAGGAATATGCCAGTGTATGGGAAATTTTTCAAGAAGCTAAATACTTATAAGAGGAAGTAAAGACCTAATGAGAAGGTGATGGTGTCTGAAAATGTGAGTGATGTGCTTCAAAGAAAGTTCCCACAAAAACTCAAGGATCCGGGTAGTTTTTCTATCAATATCACCATTGGAGACAACCTAATTGAAAAGGCTATGCTTGACTTGGGGGCTAGCATCAATTTAATGCCCTATTCAGTGTGCCTTCAATTAGGTTTGGGGGATTTGAAGGCAACAACTATTTCATTGAAACTTGCTGATCGATCAGTGAAATATCCAAAAGGTATAGTGGAAGATATCTTAGTTCAGGTTGACAAACTAATTTTTCCTGTTGATTTTGTAGTGTTGGACATGGAAGAGGCTCCTATACATGATCGTGAGTTACCTATTTTGCTTGGGAGACCCTTTATGGCCACGGCAAAGACTATCATAGATGTGCAAAATGGTCTCCTCACCATGACCATGCTAGGAGAAACTGTACAATTCAAAGTGTTTGAATCTCTTTCTCAACCTTCTAGTTCAATTGATTATTGTTTGATTAATGTGCTTGATTCACTTGTTTTCTCTAAGTTTTTGCTGGCACAATCCAATGATCCATTACAATGTATTTTGAGTCAATCTCGAAATGACTTTGATGAAGAATCTGCACTCATGGAGATGGTGGCTGCCTTGGAAGCATTAAAACCATATCCCTCTACTCTTTCACCTCTTATAGAGCCATTAGAACCATTTGCCACACATCTAATCCCTTTTGTTGTTAAACCTCCAAAACTTGAGCTTAAACCACTTCCATCACATCTAAAATATGCTTACCTAGCTAAGTTTGAAACTCTCCCAATTATCATAGCATCTGACCTCACCCCTTTGGAAGAAGATAAGCTAATTAGGGTGCTAAAAGAGTTCAAATAAGCCATTGGTTGATCTATTGCAGATATCAAGAGAATAAGCCCTACCATGTGCATGCATCGAATTTTATTTGAGGAGGGAGCGAAACCAACTCGTGAACCACAAAGAAGGCTCAATCCACACATGAAGGAAGTAGTGAGAGCTGAAGTGTTGAAGTTGCTAGATGTGGGTATCATATACCTGATCTCTGATAGCAAATGGGTCAGCGCTGTTCAAGTAGTGCCTAAGAGGATTGGAATCACAATGGTAAAAAATGAGCACAAAGAGCTTGTTCAAACAAGACCTGCAGCTAGTTGGCGTGTTGGCACCTATTACAGGAAGTTGAATTCGGACACTAGAAAAATTATTTTCCTATGCCTTTTATTGATCAAATGCTTGAGGGATTAGCTCGTCACGAATATTATTGTTTTCTTGATGGATATTCAGGTTATAATCAAATTGCGATTGATCCAGAAGATCAAGAGAAGACTACATTCACTTGTCCTTTTGGCACTTTTGCATATAGGAGGATGCCTTTTGGCCTTTGCAATGCCCCAACAACATTCCAAAGATGTATGCTGGCAATCTTTTCAGATATGATTGAGAGATTTATTGAGGTATTCATGGATGATTTTTCAGTTTTTTGTTCTTCTTTTGATAATTGTCTTAACCATCTCTCTCTAGTGCTTCAAAGATGTCAGGAAACAAATTTGATTCTCCTTTGGGAAAAGTGTCAATTTATGGTGTAACAAGGTGTTATGCTGGGGCATGTAATATTCAGCAAGGGTATTGAAGTTGAAAAAGTAAAAATTGACATCATCTCAAATATGGCAACCCCTACTTCAGTGAAGGAAGTGAGAAGCTTTCTAGGACATGTTGGTTTTTATTGTCGTTTCATTAAGGATTTTTCCAAGATCATTCATCCATTATGCAATCTTTTGGCCAAAGATGATGTATTTCACTTTGATAAAGATTGTATGAATACATTTAATACCTTGAAACGTGAACTAACCTCTACTCCTATCATTATGGCACCAGATTGGTCTTTGCCTTTTGAGTTATTGTGTGACGCCTCTGACTATGCTATTGGTGCTGTTTTAGGTCAAAAAGTAAATAAGCTGCCACACATAATCTACTATGCAAGTCGGATATTAAACGATGCTCAACTCAATTACTTTACAACTTAGAAGGAGTTGCTTGCTATTGTTTTTGCTTTAGAGAAATTTCGTTCTTATCTTGTTGGCTCTAAAGTTATTGTTTACTCTGATCATGCAACTCTTAGGTTTTTGTTGACCAAGAAAGATGCTAAACCACGTTTGATCATATGGTTACTCTTGTTACAAGAGTTTGACCTAGAAATTCAAGACAATAAAGGGAGTGAAAATGTTGTTGCTGATCACTTGTCACGCCTTGTTGATGAAAACCATGGAGATGGACAAATTTTGCCTCTCAACGAATCATTCCCGGATGAACAACTCTTTGTTATTCAAGATAAAGAGCCATGATATGCTGATTTTGTCAACTATCTTGCTTCTTGTGTAATTAGAGATGATTTGACTTTTCAGGAGAGAAAGACGTTCTTTTCAATGGTGAAACACTACATGTGGGATGAGCCCTATTTGTTCAAGTGTTGCCCTGACCAAATCATTCGAAGATGTGTTCCGAAGAGTAAGCAGCAAAGCATACTAACATTCAGTCATGCATTGGCATGCAGAGGTTATTTCAGTGCCAAAAAGATAGCTTTAAAGGTTTTACAATCTGGTTTCTTTTGGCCTACATTGTTTAAAGATGCTTTTGATTTTTGCTTAAAGTGTGATAGGTGTCAAAAAATGGGGAGCATCAGTTGCAGGAATGAAATGCCGTTAAACAACATTTTAGTGGTAAAGCTGTTTGATGTGTGGGGAATTGACTTCATGAGACCATTCCTATCTTCTTTTGGATACATATACATACTAGTGGCAGCAGATTATGTATCAAAATGGGTTGAGGCAACAGCTACACGAACTAATGATCACAAAGTTGTTTTGAATTTTCTCAAAGATATGATTTTCACTAGGTTTGGAACTCCGAGAGCTATCATTAGGGATGGTGGTAGCCACTTCTGCAACAAACCTTTCGAGGCATTGATGAAGAAGTTCAACATCACACATAAAGTGGCAACTCCATACCATCCTCAAACCTCTGGACAAGTGGAAATCATCAATAGAGAGATAAAGAACATATTGCTGAAAATTGTCAGCCCTACAAGGATTGGTCCCTAAGGTTGAATGATGCACTTTGGGCCTATCGAACAGTGTACAAGATCCCAATTGGAATGAGCCCTTGTCGACTGGTGTTTGGAAAGGCATGTCATTTGCCAATGGAGGTAGAGCACCGTGCATATTGGGCCATAAAGAAGTTCAATTTTGATATCAAATAAGCTGGTACAGTGAGGAAGCATTAACTCAATGAGTTGGAAGAGCTCATAAATGAATCATATGAGAATGCTAGGATCTACAAAGAACGAACCAAGCTCTACCATGACAAAGCAATTCTTAGGAATGAGTTTCAACCAGGTATGAAAGTACTTTTGTATGACTCATGTTTGCGACTTTTTCCAAATAAATTGAAGTCTATATGGGTTGGACTATTCAAAGTGCTTCAAGTATTTCCCCATGGAGCTATGGAGATAGAAAACATCAAGAATGTCACCCGTTTTAAGGTCAATGGACAACGTTTCAAGCCTTAGTTGAAGAATGTTTCATAGGAGCAGGTTTATGTCGTTATGGATTCTCTCAAGTTTATGATAACTTAGACACACTACCATGTCTTGCCTAGACATTAAATAAAGCGCTTGCTAGGAGGCAACCTAGTTGGGTTTGTGTTCTTCCCTTTTATTTGTGTTAGTTTTTAGTTTTTATTTTATTTCATTCCATGCAACTATGCCAATTTGCATTGCATCCATTCCATTCATTTTTTTTAAGCATCGAGGACAATGCTTAGTTTAGGTTTTGGGGTGTGAGATTTTCGTTTGTTTTTAGTTTTGGTTAAAGTTTGTTTTTGCTTACTAATGTGAATGTATATGAGCTGTTACTCTTGGACTCATGGTGGTTAAAGTATTGTGCTCAAATTCTGGAAGAAGAATTGTGGAGACTACCCTAGTGAGTGATTTTGAGCCTATTTACTTCTTTGAGAGGGTTTAAAGTGTTTGTACTCCTATCTTTTTGCTTCAATTTCATTTCAAATGATCTCATTATTTTTGCTTGATTGAACGCTAAGAATTGTTCTCTTTCTTAGATACCATGTGTTTGGTAACACTCATGAATGAACTCATTGAGACGATCTTAGGCTATGCATGTCTTAACCACCAAAAGTCCTAATTTCTTACCTTTATGTGTGTGCCATTACCCCGTTTTGAAGCCAATCACTTTTAGCCATTTTCTCACATTTTTCCCCCATATCCTTTTATCTCAATATGAGATATTTAGCCCACTACAGCTATACCTTATAGTTTGGGGAATACCAAAGTTATGAAGACAAAGATAATTCGAGCTCTACATCAAGAAAGTGGCGTGTATCGAGGTATGTGTGCTGGAATTGTAAAAAAGAAAGAAAGAAAAGAAACAAAGTTTTAGAAAAATAAAAGAAAAGAAAAAGAATCAAAGAGGATGTAATATCTAAATCCTTCCATTATCGCACGTGTCTTGGATGCCACGAACAAACAACAAAGATCAATTCAAAAGGAGAGCTTGCTGCTTTCACAAGGAAGACACTTTGGTATGCCCCATGCTTTAGTATTTCCTAACCTTTCTTTCATAGCCCCTGACCTAAGCCTTACACTACAAACCTTGTGAAAGACCTAACTGATCTTTGAGGATGTATTCATGGGTGCTGCTAAGTATGTGTTCTATCCATATTATTAGTGTTTGATTCCTTTCATGATTCCTTTCATATTTCATATGTGAGGATTTTGATTCCCTTATACATAACTTCACTCACATATGTTTGAGGAGAGACCATACCTTAGGATCTAAGTGAAAATTTGAGTGATATCTGTGAGGACTAGAGTTGAGGCGATTTCTATCTTTGGCATTTGAGTATGGTGTCTTTGAAGTCATGGGACATTTGATATGATTCTTTGAAGTGGGAGACTATTGGTTCGAATGTATGACTAAGCTTTCATTGGTTCTTATTAGTTTGCTATAAGTATACTTTAACCAATTTGCTTGCAAGTATGCAGATGTTTGTGGGCGTCATCACTGTAAACCCTTAGGAGACACAACTCCTCCTACTAGGGAACCTAGGGGTTTAAAGGCTTGTTGCACATGCTCAGTGCAATCGTTTAGCCATCAAAAGTGGTCTAGTTAGATTTTATTGTTCTGTGTGTTTTTTAGTTTCAGTTTTGCTCAAGGACTAGCAAAAATCAGGTTTAGGGGTATTTGATAACTCATATATTTATACATTTATACCATCCATTTCTAGTCTATTTGTGATGTTTTTCAGTTAAACTTGTTGTGTTTTACCCTATTTTGTGTTAGTATGCAGTTGCATATACTTTATGATCAAGTTGAAGGCAAAAGAAATGAAAACATGCCATTTTTGGAGCTAACCCTTACTCAAACGTGGAAACAAGTTTCATGACCTGTTTTGAAGTCCAAATAAAGAATTCAAAGCGAACCTGACTTGTTTGAAGACTAAGAGCAGAATGGGAAAGCAAGGAGGATTACTAGCCAGATTTGGAGGTGCCAAATAAGACAAAAACGTGCACAATAAAGGTTAATTTGTTAGGATCTCTTTGGAATATCGTGCAGCTTCTTCTACCCCCATAAAAACTTGCATTTTAGCCACTTTTACAAACCCTATTTATTCTGGACGAACTTCACAACCCTTGACCCTTTTTGTTTTTCTCTCCTTTCATGCACACTTAAACCCTAGCCATTCCATATATTTCCACCATCAGGACTCATCGCAGCAGGCTGTTCTTGGAAAAGTTCAACATCAGAATTGGTTCAAGAGTTTCATCTCTTGAGTTTATTTTCACTCATGTTGTTTATTTTCGTTTTAATCTCTGTGAACATGATGTGTAACTAAATTCATAGCTAGGGATTTCAATGTAGCCTTGCAACATTGATCCATGTTTCTAAGTTAAAGTATTAAGTTCATCAATCTGCTTATTGTTTCATTCACTGAATCTATTGTTAAATTTGTTTGTCAATTTTAATGTTTGATCACCATTAGGGTTGCGTACAGATTATCTGGACAAGGTTAAACATCATGCCTAATCTTGGTAGACATGTAAATGAATGAAGAGATTGCTATGCAAACATCCTGCCGTGTATTTTCTTTGGTTCTTTAACGTTTTCTTGCATGCTAATGACTTTTAACTTGGAACCAAAGTTGAACATCCCAATTAGGTTGCATATTAGGAGAATTTGATCAAAACCACACATCATATGGCTGATCATATTTATGTAAAACAAACTCTGGAAACAGGTTGATAGTTGAATACAGTTTAACTTTATAAACATGGAATTGGTTTTGCAATGGTGAATTCAAAATCCCTGGTCCCATCTTTATTCTTTCTACATCAAAATATCATTCATTGCTACATTCTTTTTGGATTTTAAGTTATTTTTCATTTACAACACAAAAACTACTTTCAATTTGTCACTTTCATCTTTTTTAGTTAGGGTTCTTTCAAAACTAGTGGCTTATAGAGGTCCAATCAGTCCCCGTGGTTCGACACCCTTACTTGTACCATTATACTAACCATATATTGGCACTTGGAAGGAATACAACATGGGTTGGCGAGCCTAGGACACCTAATTCAGATGCTTCATCTCGGTCGAACACCTTGATCAGCCAAGAATCGAAGAAATAGAGCCAATCGACTCAATGCAGATTGATGAAGACCTAGCTGGCAAGACCCCATCATCGACTATTTGGTCAATGAAAATCTACCAACGGATAAGTCTGAAGTTAGGAAGGTCAAGTAGAAAGCGGCGAGATACTACATGCAAGGCGACAAGCTCATTCGCAGATCATACTCCGGCCCTCATCTCACCTGCATAAAATACCCTCAAACACTTGAGGTCCTCTACAAAATTCCCGACAGCAAGTGTGGCATCCACTCTAGGGGTTGGTCACTGGCTTAGAAGGCTCTAAACATAGGCTATTTCTGGCCTACCATGCGCTATGACTCCACTAAATATGCCAAAAGATGTGATCATTGCCAACTGTACAAACCAGTTCCTAACCTACTTGTCGAAATCTACCATCCACAAAATAGTTCGTGGCCATTCATGCAATGGGTCATTGACTTAGTAGGTCTTGTGCCACCGGCCCCTGCCAAGAAAGACATGATGATCATCACCACTGATTACTTTGCTAAATGGATTGAGGCCGAAGTTTTATCCTCTACTAAAGAAGCCGATGTGGAACGATTTATCTAGAGAAATATTATCTGCCGGTTTAGTTGCACTAGTTACCAACAATGGCTCACAATTCATCGGCAAACAGATCACCGCATTCTTCAAAAAATATGGCATCAAGCAGCATCTATCTACCCCGAGATATCCTCAGGGCAAAGGCTAGGCCAAGGCATCCAACAAAATAATATTGGATTATCTAAAGAAGAGATTAGAAGGCACCGAAGGGAAATGGGTAGATGAGCTCCCTAGAGTGCTATGGGATTATCGCACCACCAAGCGGAGATCAACTGGCGAAATCCCGTTTTCCTTCACATATGGAACTAAAGCAATCATTCATGCTCACGTCACTGTCCCCTCCATAGGCAATGAAGTGAGGAGTATTGAGCAGAAGAGGCTCAGACTTGACTTACTTGAAGGTGAGTGCTAGAAGGCCATTGTCCGAATTGCATCTTATCAACAATGGTTGAAGTCTTACTACAATAAAATAGCCAAGATCAAACAGTTTAAACCAGGCAACCTTGTGCTAAGAAAGACCTTCATCACTACACAAAGACAAGTGTCCAAAAAGTTGAAACCCAATTAGGAAGGCCCTTACGTGATCAGCTGGTCCGGGGGCAGAGGAAGTTATACACTTGACACCATGGCAGGGAAGAAGATTCCACTATAATGGAATGTCTACCACCTACAAAGATATTATCCATGACTCTTCCTCCTACCTGCTCAGTCCTCAGCAGATGACTGAGTCCTGCACATTTCTGAAGAAGAGAAGCAACTATTGCAAATTCCAAAATGTGCCACAAAAAAAGACAGTTGCTCATAAGCAACATTCTTCGGGAGACGCAAGGCGACAACCATAAGCGTCCTTCAAGAGACACAGCCTGCAAAGAAGCATCATTCGAAAGACCCAGGGTGTGCCAGGAATTTCCTAAGGAAGGTATCTAGGTTCCTATTCGTTTCCTAAGGGGGGGGCAGGATAGTCATACAATTTTCCACAAGCAGCGTCCTAAGGGAGACGCAGGGCAACGACTAGAAGCATCTTTCGGTAGACCTAGCCTGCAAAGAAGCTACTTAAGCGTTCTCCAAAAAATGCAGAATACGCCTGGAGTAACCCAAGAGGGACCTTGGCTTTTGCCTATATCCTAAGGGAAATGTACATCCAAGACACTAGCTGGTTATTCAAGTTGTTCACAAGACAATATGCAAACTGAAGTTGAAAAAATAATAACTGAAATTTCCATAGCAAAGTGACTGACCGGCCAAGTTCAAAACAAAAAGAAGATAGTCAAACAAGACCAATTATTATAAACAAAAAGCTGACTACAAAAGCTGAAAACAAATAAATGAGTCTTCATCTACTCCGAAACACCAACAGGATATCCCTAATCTGCAGCCTCTTCAACGTCCACCTGATCAGCCATGCTCTCAGCAGCTCCGCATGCCTGATCTATGACGCCTATCACCACCTCATCAGCTTCATCCTCCTCTGCTCCATCCTCTTCAGCCACCTGCTCTTCAGCTCCTTCCATGTTCACAGCATTAACCTGCTCACTTTGCACAGGGAGCAAGTCAGGACAGAGCATCTCCAATGGCATAGAAGGGATAATTTCCATTTGCGCAGTCCAATTAGCCCAGCTTGTACACATCCATGGTAGCTTCGGACTTGGATTCTTCAGCAGACTTGTGATAGGCGCGAAATCTAGGCAAGAGCTTATCATAACTAAGAGAGATGTCAGCATTCTTGCTCTTAAGATGAAAGTAAGCATATTTTTGACTAGCCAAGTCAGCAGCAGAAGAGCTAAGCTCAGAATCCTTCTCAACAAAGGAACTCTTCAGCGCAGATATCATCGTCCTCAAATCAGACGTCTTATTCTCATAACGGGTCTGCTCGGTAGAAAGCTTGCTAATCAGTTCGGCATCCTTCTTCTCCAAATCATTAAGCTGAGCAGAAGAGGGGGTAACAGCAGACGACTTCCAAATAGTCTTAACAACAAAAACTAGTCCTTTTTGAAGCAGACGCAATGTTGCTTCCCTTTGTTTTTCCAATGAAAGACTTGAAAAAGTACCAAGATCGCCAGCCTGACGAATTTGATCAACTAGCTCAGCACAAGCGGATGAACTTGATAGAAAGTGCATCTTGACCAGAACAGACACGCTTGCATCCCCTGCAGGGCTGGACTTGTCTGCCTTTGGATCAGCTACTGACATTGTAGAAGAATCTTTCACCCTTGCAGATGACTCTCTTACTTTCCTGGCCTCTGCCAACCTCACTTCCAAAGGAATTGGCAATAACGAATCAACTCCACGCTTGACTGCTCGTTACTCAACATCTGGATCATGATGGTTGGATGGATGATCAAACCTCCCAGATCGACCTTCACTCTTTGACTAGTGCAAACGACTTGAACTTCGGAGAGGAATATCTACATCTCTTTGTCTCTCAACAGGTGAACTATATCACGCACGGACTTCTTCACAGAGCAGATCACGATCTCCAAACTCATTAGCAAGAGGCTTAAGGGGAACATCCCTAATGTTGCGCATATTGCCAATCTTCTTGCTATCTACACCAACGAGATGTTTGACCCTAGCAGATGACAAGGGAACAACTGCTACTTGGGTCTTCTCAGCAGAAGGGAGCTTTGGCTTCTTCCTCAATGGAGACACATTCCTCTCTTATGAAGAAGTAGCTTGAGTTCTCGAAGACTTGACATCAGCCTTCCTCTTTGAAGGGAGTTCAACAGAACACTCCTCATATCCAGCAGGTAGATCATTAGGATCTAGACCATTCTGCTTCAATCTCTTAACATCTTGGGTAGAAGGCAGACTATCAACTTCCTCCCAATCCTCGCTTAGCAACCACTAGCAGCCACTGCCGTTCCAACCGTCTTCGACTGCTAGTGATGACGACAACTAGCCTAGTCCCACCCAGCTGGTACTCGCCATTAAAAAGAGAAGACAAAGAAAAAAAATACATGCTCGACTTACCTTGGGATGCACGGTAACTCCTCTTTTCGACAAGCAGTACAAATTCTCTAAGATCTTTCTCAAGCTAGAAAGTAGAGAAGTTAAGTTTGCGATGTAAGAAAGAGTGAAGATAAGCCCTGTATTTATACAAGTTGAACAACCTGGGTCAAGAAGGAATCGCAAGCTCATTCTTATTGGGAATCCAACTCCAAGAATAGTCAAAAGCCTACTCTAATTGGGAATCCAATCTGCAAAGGGAGTCCAACTCACAGAAGAAAGTCCAGACAAAGTTGAAGAGCCCGAAAAATAATTTCATCTCCTCCATGCCACACAAGCGCCATGCAGAAGCTGGGGGGGCATTTGTGGGAGCAAATATTTTCGCCTCCAATCACAACATGCCACGTGGAAAAGAAGATTATCCCTTAAATTAATTAATTGAACCAATTGATTTGTCCAATTAATTAATACGGATAATATCTTAATTATAGGATATTATCTTCATTTAATGAGATAATATCATTAATTCATATATTATCCTAATAAGGAGATATAATCAAGCCCGACTCAATCTCTATGAATTTGGGTAAAGAATAAACTCCTCATACTAAGAGTTTATTCTCTACGAAACCCTACCTCTGAGGTTCCTTTAAATAGATAACTTCATTCATCATTCAAGGTACTTCGAAAAACTTACTCTTAATACCCGAAGCTCTCTCCCTTTCCACTCTCCATATTTTCTCCACACGGCTCCAGCCGGCCGGTTCACACCATACATATAACTCCATACCCTTTTGTTAGCTATTGTTTTACTACAAACACTCAAACTAACTTAGGCATCTGAGGGCTTTTGGCCAACACCCCCAGGGTGTGGTCTATTTACTCTAGTCTTTTGTATAGGGATCGAGGAAGAGAATGAAGGAAGATCGAAGGTTGAAGGATCTAGAAGTGAATATTCTCCCGTGAGATTATCTGCACAAACAACAGCAGCAGAACACCATAGAAACAAAAGTCAAGATGATGGCTTGGCTTAAGCTTCCATATATGTGTTTACTAATCTTAGTGATGTTGTTGAGATATCATGGATCGTTGCATCTGGAAGTTACCATTTGTTGACGGAGAGCCGTTCGATTTTGGATCAGTTGGGGCCGGGGTTTAAGGTTTGGAGGTTGAGTAGGAAGGGGATTGTGTTTTTCATGGAAGAACTAGCTTTCGCTTCAGCGCTTGAAGAAATCAACCAACAAAATTAGTGACAAGATAGAGACTTGAACTTGAAAGAAGCACCCTTTCTATTATTATTATAATTCATATGATAGAGGCTATTATATTACTCAAGAACTGAAACACATCATTGTGGAATTCAACTTGAGGATTGTTATCATGAATAGTGGGAAAAAAAAAACTCATGATGTATCATTTTGGAAAATATGCTGCTCATCAAAGGCGGAATTATCAATTTTCAACAGGTGCACTATCTAAAATTTTTAAAGTTTAATAGTCTATTTATTTTTTTTTTTTTTTTTTTTTTTTTTTTTTTTTGTTGTTTTTACAATTTCTATAGTTTTTATTTATTTATTTGGGAAATAAAAGTAGAGTTTTTCTATTTAAACCATCACTTCTCTTTGTTCACCCTATGTTCTAAGTTCATCCCAACTTCCGATTCAAATTTTCACAATTTCTAAGAAAACCTCACTATCTTCCCAAACTACCCTTAAATACACACCCAGCAGAAAAAATAAAAAATAAAAGAGTTTTTCTATTTAAACCCCACACTTTTCTTTGTTTACTCCAATACTTAAATCATTAAACAATATTTGTAGTGTCGTTTTCACAAGGTTGTTTTTATCATGTGATTAGATCATATGGGAAATTGTGGTTTGTTTGGTTTCGTTTTCTGATGACAATGAAAACCAATGACCACAACATCTTATTTTATTTTTTACCCAACGAAAAAAGGTCAATTATCAAACATTATTAAACCAACCCTTGTATTAAATTAATAAATAGTGCATAGTTAAATGCTTATTACTATGAGGGTGTACCTATCTAGCTTCACCCATGAATATTCAAACATATTTGATCTAAATTTACGTAGCTAAAGTTAAGAAAAAGAGGTGTGTGATAGGGTTTGAACCTTAGACTACTGACATACAAATTATAGAAAAGTTGATATAGATCCAAATTCTCATTGAGGAGTTAGGTTTAATCCTCGGATTTGGTGACTTTGATCTAAGTCCGTTCATTTTTGTGCCACATAGGATTACATTCCTTTTTAATATTTTCTGATGTAATATTTTTATCTATTTGTTTCGAAAATCATTTTTTGTTCCAAATGTTGTCCCTTACGACTTGAACGGGATCATAGTCATTTATGTCATAATAATTAGCTATTTACAACGTTTGGCATTGAATGGAAAATGAAAATATAGCAAACATATCCCAAAAATCAAGTTTTTACCTACATTCATGCTCTTTCGAACTCTAAATGTTTTGACAAAGGAAAAAAAGCATTTGTTTGCGGTGTAGGTGTATTGTCTTATTGTCTTATTGCCTATTGCATAGGTATATATGTGTTTTTTTTCTCTTCATATTTTCGACAATATGTAATTTATGTTCTAATTTTTATAGGTAACATAAAATTTTATTTGTTTATTTTTGTATCTGACTTATAGGTAGTCTTCTAATTTATGTTCATAATTTATAGGTAGTCTTGTAATTATGTTCCTAACTTATAGGTAACACGATTTATCAAGGAAATAATTCAAAATTTAAATTCTGAAATGCAATTACAAGGAAATAATGCATTAATTTTATATTTCCAATGTGTTCTCTGTATTTACATCAAAGGGTAAAATCGACACAACAAAAAAAGTAATAAATGTTAAAGGACCTACATCTAAAACAAAAAACGCGTGGATTAAACACAATGACAACTAATCGTTTTGGACATAGATCTAAGAAGCCCTACAAGTTAAGACCTTTTTTTTAACGGGACTAGACTCCCTTAGCAAAGGATACTTCATGATTAAAACTTCATAAAAGTTTACAAAACCCAATAGGTCGGAGGAAAATAAAACTACTGTGACAAAACATCTAATAGTAAGGGATCAATAAATATCAAGATGCACATCAAATGAACCGATAAGCTCTTTCCAATTGTCAATGTGATCTCGATATGGACTATACCAATCAAATGCTTTGAGGTTGGAAATATCAAGCCAACGATTGATAACAAGTGGCATAGGATGGTGTGGTTGCAAGTGTAGCTGTCAAAATAAAATAAAGTTGTCAAATTTATAATTAAAACAACAAACAAATTTCTTGAGGTAAAACTTCCAGCTATAAATAGAAAAAATTTATAATAATATATAATATATCTTTTGGCCTTACCAAGCTTTTAGACATATCCACCAACAAGTTGTTTTCTTCCTTGCTTAACCGTCCTGCATATGAATGCCCTTCAAGATACTTAGCAGAATGATGATTATGAACTCCCATACAACCTCAACTTTCCACTCATCCCTAGGACCAATATTTAACCCCTTCAGCTAAAACGAGCAACAATACTTCTTTGTACCAATGCTTTTTTTTTTTTTTTTTTTGTTTTTCATTGGTTGTTCGTTATCTAAATTTACATTAGGCTTTTGAATATATTGCCCACTTCTCTCACAACCTAAAGTAAGTCTAGCTCTTCATTATATTTTTCCCAACTCCATCAGACCTTTTAATGACAACTACTATGCCATTTTCGTCCTTGCGCACGACTCCAATTAAGCAATGCTTCTCGACTATTAAATATCTATATAAAAGCATAAATGGTAGTTATAAAGGATTATCAATCACTCATAAGTTACAACATCATAATAATAGTTTATTTACCTCATCAGTTGTGAATTGTTTAGTTGTGTCCAAAACACTTTCTGTCCTGGGACCATGGCTTGGAGTTGGCTCCCCAAAAAAAACACATCTCAACAATTCAATATATATATATATATATATATATATTCATAAAAACATATTATGATCAAACAATATAATATTAGTCCCATAAGGATTACTATGCTTAGTTATATCAACCAGAAATTCCAATCACACACAGTAATTTTAATTAATAGCCTCACAATACAAGCCAGTGTAATGATAGAAAGAATTTATAAATTAACTATTAGCGACTTCTGGTCCTACGAATGGTGAGCACATGCAAGGTAACAAAATAAACAGATTAAAAAAATAATAATTACAAATGGGCATTAGTTAACAAATTCATTTAAGTTGAGTTATGCTGCATTCCTGCTGTAGACCACATTAGAATTCCAAGAGATTTTCTCAAACCCAACAAATGATACATGAATCTTAATGAAATCCCAATGAAAATAGAAAAATAAGATTGAAACTGGAACAAGACAAGTCAAACCTGCAAGCAGGGATACACCCAGGATTTCAAACTTGACTGAGCTAAATTTACCTTACATATAAACATACTAAGTGGATAGAAAACTCGATAGTACGATATAATTTCATTGATAACAAAAAATTAATAATACATCTACTCAAAAGGGGGACATAATGAGCCTTACCTCTCAAATAACACTATATAAGTTGCACCTTTCGAGTCTTCATAGAATTAAAATCATTAATTATCGATTAATTATCTATATTATCAGCAAATTCTCTTTCAATGTGAAGTAACATACAATCAGCAAGAAATTCATCACCTATCTTGTTTCGAAGCCGATTTTTCATCATTCTGATTCAAGAAAATGCTCGTTTTGTTGTTGCTGTAGAAACAGGAAGAGTTAGCACCAAATGAATCAATTTGTCAATCAAGTAGTACATTTGTGCTAATTGTTAGAATACTCAGACTATGATCTGATTAATTTGGATTATTGGTAGATAGAGCTCTGGATCTTTTTAAGAAAAGAAACCACAGAGAACTTGGAGAAGAAGATAGGAAAATTGAGTATGTTCTTTCACTTACTCACGCACAAGCTGTGCAGCAAAATATAACTGTTGAAAGTAGAATATTCCCTTTTTACATCATCCAAATCTAGCCATCAATTTCACTATCCTATGAGATAGCAACACATGGCAGAATTCGTTACTACAACTAAGAATACATCTTAGCTGTCCGTTGGACTGTGATCCAATGGTTCACAATTAATTCAATACAATTAAATCAAGTAACACAAATACTCAACTAACACACTTATACTTTAACACCCCCTTCTAAGTGTTTAGCTGAAATGACTCCAAGCTTGCTCCTTAGATATTCAAACTGATCCCTTGCCAAAGCCTTAGTAAAGATATATGCATTCTGCTCTCCAGTTCTACAGTATAACAAATCAATCTCACCATTTTGCAAAGCATCTTGGATGAAATGAAATATTCTGTTAATATGCCTTGTCTTGTGATGATGTACTGGATTCTTTGTTATTGCTATTGCTGAAGTGTTATCACATAAAATTGGAGTAGCTTCAACTTGTTCCTCACCAAAATCAGATAGAACAAACCTCAGCCAGACTGCTTGTGCAGTAGCTTCTGCTACACTAACATATTCTGCCTCTGCAGTGGATAGGGCTACACTGCTTTGCTTGACTGATGCCCAAGAGAAAACACCTGATGCAAGATGAAAAGCATAGCCAGAAGTACTCCTCATATCATCTTCACATCCTGACCAATCACTATCACAATATCCAACAAGCATTGCTTCTTTTCCCTTCTCATATGCTATGCCATAGTCAAGAGTGCCTTGAATGTATCTAAGTACTCTCTTGGCAGTCCCCCTATGCTTTCTTGTAGGTCCATGCATATATCTAGCTAAGAGACTTGCAGCAAACATGATATCTGGCCTTGTTGCTATCAGGTATAATAAGCTTCCAACTATCTGTCTGTACACCCTTTCATCAGTCTGTTCACTTCCATCCTCCTTTGATAATTTCTCATTCATAGCAAGTGGAGTCGCAACCACTTTACAATCTTTAAAACCAAACTTGTCCAATAATGTTCTTGCATATTTTTTCTGATGCAAGAAGATGTAGGACTTAGTTTGTATCATACTTAAACCCAAAAAATGGTGCAGTAACCCGAGATCAGTCATTTCATATTTCTTCATCATTTCAGTTTTAAAACTCATCACCAACTCTTCTGAACTTCATGTGTAGATAATATCATCTGCATATAGAGAAAGTATGAGAATTCCACTTTCTACAGTTTTCACATATAATGTAGCCTCACTAGGACTTCTTTGAAATCTTGCAGTTGTGAAATATGAGTTGATTTCTTCATACCAAGCTCTTGGAGCTTGTTTAAGGCCATACAAGGCCTTCTTGAGTCTATGAACTCTATCTTCCTTGTTTTTAATCACAAATCCTGGAGGTTGATCCACATACGCTTCCTCATGTAGCACTCCATTTAAGAATGTCGACTTCACATCTAACTGGAACAGCTTCCACCTTTTCTGTGCAACTAAAGCAATTAATGTTCTTACTGTATCAAGTTGAGCAAATGGTGCAAATGTCTCATTGAAGTCTATTCCGGGCTTTTGAGTTGAACTGACCCATCTAGATTTAGCTTGACTTTATAGATCCATTTGACTCCAACTACAGGCTTATCAGACAGCCTTTTTACCAACTCCCAAGTATCATTCTTCGCAATCATCTCAAGTTCAGTTTCCATGGCCTTTTGCCATGATGCATCTTTGATAGCTTCTTCAAAAGTTTCTAGTTCAATGATACATATATTGCATCTCTCATATACCTCTGTAAGACTTTTGTATTTCAATGGAGTGTGATCAATATCATGTGAGCATATGTCAATTCCTGCAGATTGTTCTTCACTGTCTTCTAATAATACATCATTTGCAACTGAGCTTTCTTCTTGCATCACAGGTGTGTCATTGATCTCTTTCTCCTTTTCAGGCACCATTTCAGTGAGTGGAACTGAAACACTACATTCTTGCTGTGCATTCCAATCCCAACTAGCATCTTCATTAAATACGACATCTCTTGAGATAATCACCTTTCCAGTGATAAGATTGTACATTCTATACCCCTTCTCACAACTGCCATATCCTAGAAACACACACCTTTTGCTTGCCAAGTCCAGTTTCTGCCTTTGTTGGTTTGGGACATGTGCATAACACAGAGAACCAAACACTCTTAAGTGTTTAATTCCTGGCTTTCTTCCACTATAGGCTTCAAATGGTGTTTTCTAGTCCAAGTCTTTAGTTGGACATCTGTTTAGAATGTACACTGTAGTATTGATAGCTTATGCCCAAAACTCAAGTGGCATACTCTTCTCAAATATCATGCACTTAGCCATCTCCACTATCGTCCTATTCTTTCTCTCTACCACACCATTCTGCTGTGATGAATATGCCACTGTAAGTTGCCTTTCCATCCCCATTTCATCACATAATTGGTTAAATTCATTAGAGGTATACTCTCCTCCTCTGTCACTTCTCAATTTCTTAAGCTCATATCCACTTTGCAATTCAACAGTAGCCTTAAACTTCTTAAACACATTGAATACCTCAGATTTGTATATCAGGAAATAGATCCAGCACATTTGAGTACAATCATCTATGAAGGTAAGAAAATACTTGTTTCCTGCTTTTGTAACAGTTTGCATTGGTCCACACACATCAGTGTGTACCAATTCCAGTGGAGTTGTGGCCCTACTTGTTCCTCTTTTGGAAAAGACTTCCTGCAATGTTTTCCAAAAGTACACCCCTCACACACTTCACTTGTATTCTTAATTTCTGGCAGACCAAGTACCATATTCTCATTCTGCAGTAGTTTTAGGATTTTGACATTTAAGTGTCCCATTCTCCTATGCCAAATCAATGTTGATTGACTTATACTTGCTTTTAATGCAAAATGTAAATTTGTTTGAAGTTTCAAAGGAAAACTTCTATTTCCTATCATTTGCACCCTAGCCACCAGATTAGAGAGTGAGCAATCATCATAAATTTCTGCCTTGTTATCTCTAAAAATTAGGAAATATCCATGCTCCATCATCTGTCCAACACTGAGTAAGTTTTCCTTGAGACCAGATACTAGCAGCACCTCCTTAATATATTTTTTTCCCATCTTAGTTTCAACCATCAAGCTTCCTTTTCCAATAACATCGACCAACTGTTCTGTCCCCATTGCAACTTTTGCAATTATGCTTCTATCAATATCAATAAAGACATCTTCTTTGCCAATCATATGGTTACTACAACCACTGTCCAAATACCATACATCTTCCATGGACCTTTTGTCAGCTGCATTATTGACATAGAACATAGTTGGTGTAGAGGTTACCTGAGTAGCATAATGGAGTTGTTGCACCGGTTTCTTACTATAACAGTCTTTTGCAATGTGACCAAACTTGTCACAATTATAGCATTTTGGTTTTCCCTTGAATCGACACTCTCCAAAATGAAATTTCCCACAATGTTTGCAAGAATTTTTAGTTCCATCAGTGGGTTTGTTATCCCACTTTTTACCCTTATCCTTCCAATTCTTCTGATGCTTGCTATTCTGATTTCCAGTGACCTTAGTTGTTTTGGAATCTACACTTAGACTAGCAAAAGCTTTTTCAGTCTTGTTCTCATGATGTCTCTCCAATCTTTGTGCAAAGCTCTTCAATGAGGCAACCACCTCTTGAACCTCAATCGCATCTAGATCCCTCGAATGCTCAATTACAAAACATATAGGATCATACACAGGCAGCAGACTAATTAACATTTTCTGCACAATTCTTTCTCTAGACAACTCTTCTCCATAGCCTCTCATTTGATTTATTAGATCAAACATCTTTGTAAGATAAGCAGATAATGATTCATCCTCTCTCATTCTAGTATATTCAAATTCTCTACGGAGACTTTGTAACTTGACACTCCTTACTTGCTTATCACCATGAAATTCCTGCTTCAAGATATTCCAAGCTCCTTTAGACGATTCTTCATGGGAAATCCTAGGGAAGATCTCATCAGAAACTGCTCCCTGAATCAGGCCCAAAGCCTTAGCATCTTTCATTAGGATCTCTGTGAGAATCATCTTCCCAGCACCACTCGATTCTTCTTTTTCTTTCTTCTTCGCATCAGATTCATCAGCTCCCTTCGAATATGAGCTTTCTATCCCTTTCTCAACAAGTTCTCATAACCCATGAGATTTGAAAATGGTTTTCATTCTTATGCTCCAGAACTCATAGTTCTCACCATTGAAGATCGATGCTCTTAGCTCACCACCTCCAGACCCTGCCATGTTAGACACAGATCTTCAAGAAAACAAGTTCTTCAAATCGCAGTTCACTTTCTTCACAAATTCAATCGCCCAGCTAAACAATCGAACCTGGCTCTGAGGCCATGTTAGAATACTCAGACTATAATATGATTAATTTGAATTATTGGAAGATGGAGCTCTGGATCTTTTTAAGAAAAGAAAACACAGAGAACTTGGAGAAGAAGAAGATAGGAAAATTGAGTATGTTCTCTCACTTACTCACGCACAAGCTGTGCAGCAAAATATAACCGTTGAGAATAGAATATTCCTTTTTTACATCATCCAAATCTAGCCATCAATTTCACTGTCCTATGAGATAGCAACACATGGCAGAATTCGTTACTACAACTAAGAATAAATCTTAGTTGTCCATTGGACTGTGATCCAATGGTTCACAATTAATTCAATACAATTAAATCAAGTAACACAAATACTCAGCTAACACACTTATACTTTAACACTAATCTTGTTTCCACTAAGTGGTCAAGTAATATAGGAATGGAATCAAGATTCTTGAAGGTTGGATTGTGATCCATATCAATCTTATAAAATCTCAGCTGTTGATTTAAAGCCTGCAACTCAATTGTAGTGAAATCTTGAGGATAAAATTTATCAGCAAGAGTGTATAAATCATCAATGTTAAATCGCTTGAAAGCATCATGGGGATCCAATGATGAGCTAAGACGAAGGAGTTCCATAGTTTCATATGGAAATCTAGTATTTAACTCCCCCAACTGATAATCTATTACCTCAATAAATACATCCATATGATAATAATGCTCCACTATGATACAATCTTTTTGTTGAAAAGAACGCCCAGTGCCCATTGTATGACAAGCACCCATATTAGGCATACTAATTTCATGTTTTTCACAAAATGATCGTACACTCTGTATAAAATCATTCCAACCATTGTTTCTCAACTCATCAAGCTCCATTTTTGTACTTGCAACCAAATTCAAAGCACTTACAATGTCTTGACATTTTCTTTGAAGTTCTTGACAAAGAAAATCAGTGAATCTCATAGTTTTGTCCAACAAATTCAAGGCAAAGAAAAAGTCAAAAGACAATATAGAAATTTAAAACCTTCTATTTCCCCACGAAATTGTGAGGTAGGTCCATTATGACTGATATCCTTTAGAAGTGTCTTGGTTGCATCAAATAAATTAATCAAACTCCTAATAGAACTAAAATGTGAGCCCCGATAAGTAGTTCCAGGTCGTGGTAGACATCAAATTTGATTAGCCCATTTACCTGTTCCAAGTCTTCCTACTGCTAATAAGTCTTCAATTTCAGCTTGTCGGGTTAATTTTAACTCAGAATGGTGTTTGACAGAAGCACCAACAAAATTCACTATGTTATTCAACATTGAAAAAAATCTCCAAACAAGTCCTACTCTTTAGCGGCAACATTTAAAGCTAATTGAAGGTGATAAGCAAAGCAATAATATAATATGTATATACACAATCATTGAGAAATAATGCTTGTAAGCCACTCCATTCACCACGCATATTGCTAGCACCATCATATCCTTGACCACGCATATTGCTTACTAAAAGACTATGCTTACTAAACACTTTACAAATATCACTTTTAAGAGTTGAGGAATTAGTGTCATGAACACTCACAATATCAAAAAACCTTTCTTGAATATGCCCATTACAACTAACAAATCTTATGATAATAGCCATTTGTTCGTTCTTAATATCGTCAAGTGCTTCATCAACTAGAATACAAAATTTCCCATCTTCCCCAATTTCATCGCGTATCCTCTTCCTCACTTTGTTAGCATAGATATTTAAGATCTCCTTTCGTATCTTATATGAAATATATTGGGCATTTAAAGGAGCATTTTATAACACAACTTTTTCAACTTCTTCGTTCATTCTTGCAAAAGCCTTTACCAACTCAATAAAATTACCCGGATTAGAGGAGTCATGAGATTCATCATCACCTCTAAAAGCCATTCCTTGATTTGCTAGATACCTAATGGCCTCTATTGTGGTTGTAAGCCTCAACCTATTTTTTGCAACTTCTTATGGGGGTTGCACAACTCTGTCAATATTGTGAGTTGGGTTCTTTAAATCCATCCATTTTTGGATAGCAAAATGATGTGGTGAATTTATAATGCTTACAAGAGTAAGGAAAGCACACTCTTTACCACCAACTCTTCTCCAATTTTTAAATCCATCTACAGTGATGCCTTATGTGAGTGATCAATGTCAAAAAGAAAGCATGGAAAACAAAACACTTTATCTTTATGAACAGAATACTCAAGCCAAGGATATTGGTTATATCAACTACCATTAAATCGACGCTATTGTTTCCCTTTTAAGTGGGATGGATATTCCTTTAGTTTTGGTTCACATGGTCCTAAGAGAATATATGCTCTTCGAACATTATCACGTTGATTAGGCGGAAATGTGCCCATTTGAGGATGTAATCCCGGATCACGCTTAAGAGAATTGGTATCAACTTCTTGATCAAAATTGGCTCTTCGAGACTCAGCTCTTAAACTTTCAGATTCAACTCTTTGAGATTCATAATGAGGTTGCTCCTCACAAATTGGAGGAGGCAGAGAAGGGTTGGAACGCATGCTAGTTGATTCTTCATTATTTATTTTTTTTAAATCCTAAATAGTCTTCTTAGGATTTGGATGATGATCTGACGTCATAAAGTTAAAGTATAACCCATTGAATAAGAAAGAACACCAAAATCAATTACAAATCCTATTTGATAATTCATAACTCATAAATTGAAACTGATAAGCTCCCTAATCGATAAATAAATCATAAGTCTCAATTGCAAATCTGTAATTGATATTAAATAAAATCCAAAAAAAATTCTCAAATTTCAATATCAACAAATTGAGAAAAGCTTGTCGTACCTGACAAATACAGAAGCTTGGTTCGCTTCTTGAATTAAGCCTTGATGGGGAGTGCAACAATAACAAGAATGTTCCTTTATGTGTGCAAGGGTGTAATTATGAGTTTGTTGACAAAGTCAACAACTCTAAGAAACAGTTTAAACAATTTCTCTCTTCTTTACTTTCTTCATCCTTTATCTTTTTTTTTTTTTTTTTTTTTTTTTTTTTTTTTTTTTTTTTTTTTTTTTACTCCTCTACGCTGTATGTGCTGCATCTTTCCTGTTCTCCTTTTTATTCCCCACGTGCAAGGTAGTGCAAGCAAAGGATTCCTAAGAAGGGTAGGATATTCAATTGGATGGCTAGCTGGGCTATAATTATTTTTTGGGCTGGGATTTTAAAAGCCACCTGGGCTGTAGCCTAGGTTAGCCAAAGCTATGTTCCATCCTTGCCCACAAGTTCATTTTGAAAATCCACAAGCTTTAAGTGGATAGTTGGCTGTGTACTCGAAAGTAGACTATCATAATCCTGCCAGGAAACACAAGCATAGTACTCATGCATCATGAGTCATGACCATCATAAAGCAACAATTGAAAAGTTGGATATATGAAACAAAGGGAAGAGAATAAGATCATTACAGCCAAGCAATCAACAAGCCTTTCCATTAGCTCCCACGCAACTTTTAAAGAGGTAGGCTCCTCAACGTTCTACGTCTTTAAAAGAGAAGAGTAATCTGGCAATAGGATGTAGAGGAATTTGTATTTTTTTGAAAACTTAATATGAAGAGTGGTGGGGTGTGTGTGTATAGATATACTAGGGTTAAATATTAAGTTGGATGACCTTTTTTTGTCTTTTTACACAATAATAAAACTTAACAGCTTAATAATTTACGTATTGGGGTGTGCAGGGTTTAAAAAGAAAAACTCTAAAAGTAACATTAAATCATATAAACCACACTAGTTCATATAGCTCCATTGACTAATTTCTATAAGCTTCAACATATTAAATGCAACCAAATAACATGTATTGTCAAAATGAAAATATGACCCTTACAATTTGAGTTCGTTAAAATTTATTGGCATCAACCGAATAAACTTCCCAAATACAAAATGTAAAAACATAAATAATTAACTTTATCATGCATATTAGTTGTAAACACAAGAACGATGAAGTTAGAGCGATATTGTTCGCAAAAGGGTGAATTTTTTTATGCATTTTAAATTCTCTTTTAGTGACAAATCAATGAAAAAAATTTAACTTGAAGAATTTGGTCTAAGGATTTTACCCTTACTATGCATATTGGTGTTGAAAACCCAACACAATCAACCTTTTCAATATCAATTTCTTGATGGTTAATTTGTAGCTTGTTTGTGATACACCCACCTCCCATTACAACCTTCTTCACATCTGATGGCAATCTGTAATTTAAAAGTCAACAAACCAGTGAGACCTTCATCAATGAGAAAATATAGATGGATCTTGGGGTAGCCGCTAAAAGGTTGAGAAGCAAATGGCTGAGAAACAAATCTTGTGATGATTTAACAGTTGAAGGGAGAGAGAGATTGAAGCAACCCCTGGTGCATATCAAAACGAAAACTCGTTTCGGAGGGTGTTATTCTATTTATGGAAGACAAGGAAGCGGAGCAAGCCCCCCGATTGACTATGAAATTTCTACTCTAGTGAAGAATCTAAAGGAGATTTTAAGAGATTCCTCACTTCTTTATTGACAGAAAGGAGCTTACTCCAAGAGAGACTGGGGACCTGTATGAGAGATAGAGAGAGGCGAGCAAGGTACGCGACGTAGGAGTAGGCGACGAGGTTGGTGTGGGCAATTGTTCGTCTCTTGTCTTTTTCAATTTTTTTTAATTTTATTTTAAATGGTAAAAATTAGGTTTCAATTCTAGTTGTATAATAAAGTGTGACTTGTTTAAAAGTATGACACATGACATATTTTGAGTGGAAGTATCATCAGCTGACGTGATGATAACCGTACTATTCTATAATTTCTCGTTTGCATGCAAACAGAGACCCACTTGGACGTGGACTCTTCTTTTCTTTTTTTTTTTTTTTTTTTTTTTTTTTTTTTTTTTTTTTTTTTTTTGTAGTAATATATAATACATATATTAAAAGGAAAACAGAAAACTAGGCCCCTTTGGACAATGGGCCTTGGGCGATCACACTTCCAACTCTTGTCCAGGGCCGGCGCTGCCAAAGACATGGCTGAAAAACAAAAACACATCCCAGTAGGAATTTTGCTGAAAATAACACCAACTAGTTGAGGGATATTAATTCCTTTTTAAATTTATCAATTCAATTTTATTTTCAATCCTAGTAAATTGGAGCGGATGTGGGTTCGAAGTTGGCTAAAACAGTGTGTCTATTCTTTTGTATTCGAGTTTGATCTCCTCTCCGTACATTAGAGTATCGTTTTCTAAGAGAAAAAAAAAACTTGGGAAATGATCTCAAAAGTGAAAAAATAAATTTGCATAGTGAACTGGGCTAAGATGGCCCACTATGTGACCCGTCTCGTAGATACACCAAGCCCAGACTCCAAGCGCAATTCTCAGCCCGTTATCTTTTCTCTTTTGGGCAGAAACGAGGAATCAAAATTTGACGCATACCGTTTTCGTAAGCAGCGATTCCTTTTCCTTCGAGAGACTTCTTCTTTCTTCTGAAGCAGCTATGTTGTTTGCTGGCGTTCCATTCCAGCAACGACTGTAGTTTCATTCCTGTAAAACCTAGACATGCAACTTTCCTCTTTGTTCTTCTAGCTGTTAGTCTCCAACGTCTGGACATCATTTGGTAAGTGTATTATGCTTTATTTACTTTTATTTGCACTTACTGATTCTGAGTCTCATGCTATTTTCTTTCCTTTTTTTTTCTTTTTTTCTTTTTACAATCACTAGAAGTAAATATATTCACTGAACTCAACCATTGATCCCTTTGTAGTGTTTCTTTCCTTAGTATTTAGCTTTTGAAGCTGTCTACATTTTGAATGACGACATTATATGCTTGTGTAAGCATTTGGTGGCCAAATGAATTCACAATGATGGGTGCTATTTTTAACAAAATCTTACTGGATAAATGGGTTAAGGGGGTCTACGGTAGCTTTTGATTGTTGCATGCACGCATTGGATAAATGGGTGTCAAGTGAAATGCACTGATGGCTTTAAAATCTTCCAAAACTCATTGAAAAGGTTGCTATTTTCAATTTTGCATGGTTCAATGGAAGAAAGTTCGGAACTTTCTTTCTTGAAAGTAATTCTGGTTTTATTTTGTGTCTGTGCTTTTATTTGCTTTGAGCTTCTTACAAGGTCTGGTTCTAGACTCGTAGGAAGAAGTACTGCTTATTTTTATCTAGCAGTTAAGAGTTATCTAGCAAGTTGTCCAGAATATATTGTGCAGTGAATTTCAGTTTTGGGTTTAATTTCAACTTTCTACTGTGTAAATGCTACAAGGATACTTTAGCTATTTTCAAAGAGCCAAAGATTCTTTCAAGTTTGAGCCAAACCCTTTTATTGTACTCACTACCTTTGATCAAGCCAGGAAGCTCAGTAAGTTCCTACAGTTGCTAGTCTGCTGAGAACAACAACAAATGGCGTGCAGATAATTATCCTTTCTTGCACTGATTGGGGGTCATGCTCACCTCTTAATTGATGTAAATTTTTTGAGGTTGCTAGTGTAGTAAAACCCAAAGACATGCAGATTCGATGGATTAGTTAACAGAGAACCTTACATCACACCTGGATTGAAGCTTATAATATTGCACTAAAAACTCTGTTTTCACACACTACTTACTTCTTGATGTTGCATTTACAATTTTATTTACAATCTGTCATTAAGAGTTTGTTGGTGTTATTATGATTTCGTTCCTCCCTATCTTTTTCTCCCAAAGATAGTTTAAGGATTTCATTAATTATATTTGTTTTGGTAGGTGAGTAGAGTCATAGAGCTGCATGATGGGACGAAGCAGAAATAGAAGACGGAAGCAGCAGAAGCTTGTTAATCTGGATTGGACAGAGCTGCCTCGTGGTGTCCTTGAGATCATCTTTGAGCGACTGACTGTGACTGATTGTATATCTGTTAGTGATGTTTGCAAAGCCTGGAGACATGTTGTCGCACAAGAACTTGCTGGTTGGCAAAGCCGTGGTGTGCCATGGCTCATGATGCCTGGCAAAGATACGGAGGTAAGAACTTGTATTAGCATACTACAAAAACAACATTGGGACATTGTGCTTCCCGAGGCTTATGGAAGATATTGTTGGGGATCATATCAAGATTGGTTGATTCTAGTAAAACATATTGATTGTTTCTATCTTGAGATTAGCTTGTTGAATCCATTCTCTAGGAACAAAACTGATCTTCCCAAAACATGGAACTTTTATCATAAGATTGTTCTCTCAGGGCTTCCCATCCTTGAAAACTATGTTTGCATGCTTGTTCATAGTCAATGTCGGGAGCTTTCTTTTTGGGTCCCAGGAGCTGAATCATGGCTTAAACATAAACTGGATGGTGAGCCATTTGAGGATGCTGTCTTCTGTGATGGAAGTTTCTATCTTATAAGCAATGATTATAACATTTGGCAGATTAAGTCTGCTAATATCTTTGCTAGCATTAGAACATATGATGCTTATGAGGTAAAAATAGATTGTCATGAGGTAATAATGTCAGAGGAGCAGGAAAATAGTGGTGTGTTGAAGTATCTTGTGGAATCTTGTGGGGAGCTTCTTCTTGTTTGTAGGCTTTATAACACCAAAGCGGAGGCTATTCTTGAAACACATGATTTCAAAGTATATTCATTGGATTTTAGCCTGATGTCCTGGAAGAGGGTACATGATTTGGGGGATAAAATCTTATTTCTAGGCAAATGTTGTTCGCGGTCTGTTTCTTCGACAGAACTTGGTGTTGCGATGAGGAATTGTATCTATTTCTCTAATGATCATGCTGCTCCATGGTGGAACGAATGGGATTCTGATCATCTTTATGGAATTTCAGCCAGGCATAATCTGAACAATGCTGGAAGAAAGGATTGGGGCGTGTTCAGCCTTGGCAATGGAACTCATGAGGATTTTTGCTTTCGTGGCAATCGAGACAGATGGGGACCGATTTGGTTAACTTGCCCCCAATGGTGGTGCTGTAGGAAATTGGCTGTTAACCGATATAGTAACTAGTAAATGTAGCTCATCTATGGGGATCGTGGCATGGCAGGGATTCTCTTTTTGCTATTTTGTTCCACTTAGCATATCACAGGGGAGGAGCTTATTTCAGTGATGATGAGAGTTTGAAGATGCTCCATGTACAAGTTAGACGTGCAGCTTACTAGCAGCATACCGTTTGTTAGTAGAAAAATATCAGACAGATTATATCATAATTAGTGAAACATGTCCCTGCGTGGTCGGTGCTTGCAGTAATTAAATTTTAGAATTTTGGTCGAATGCAAATCCAGCCTACCTTTACATTAACAAAGCTTTCTTTTATTCAAAGTTGTTTGGGCAATACCATCCCCGCCTCATCCCAGTTTAAGAGGTTTTGGGGAATCTTTGTCCCTGTCTCCATGCCCGTAGGGGGGCTATCCCCCATTCTCGCCCCGAATTCCCGATTTTTTGTATAAAAAATATTAATCCTCACATTACATTTCAAAGCAGGACACTATAGAATTGTGAGGGTCAGCAAATCTTGAGGGAGGGTTGTATGACATTCATATTGCTACACAACAGTTGCGGTCCGTTCAGTTTGTTTATGCCCCTCGTGAATGTCAATTCCGGCATAGTCGAGACTATTTATATTTTAGGAGACTAGCTAGTTTAAGCATTGACTGTTTACGTGAATAGTATTTGTCCTAGCAATATTTTCGTTGCTTTTCCACCTATTGCCATGGCAACCAAATGGCAATTACTATTTACATGGGATTAATTTTTTATTTATATGTATGAGTTTCATAATAAAAAACTATTCTGAATTTTTTGGTAATTTTTTAGAATATTTTAAAAAAATTTCTTTGCTGACATCATCGTTCACGAGCTCATCTTGCTTGGGTTGGTGGACTCCGTATCTTGCCAGATCAAAAATTGAGCGTTGGAACCATTATTGGAGGCCTAAGGGACTTTTTGCCTGGGTTGGGCTCCGGAAGTGGAAGTGCTCTATGGGTGTCTTTACACATAATGTCTTCAAGCATGCGAGGTTTTAAAGTCATTGGCCTAACATTTGCTAGATTGCTTATCTAGAAAGCTTAAGGAAGCTAGACATTACATATTTCACATGGCATTAACTAGAGAACAAAAAAATGACAACAACAAAAAAAAGCCTTCTTTTTGTTTTAAGTCAGGTTGGTAATGATTTGGAATTTAAGTAGTGCAACTCAATTGTGTTAGTTCGTAGTGAACAATACATTTCCTCCATACATTTGGATGACCATACAACTCCAATTTGATTGAATTTTCTTACTTTTAATTTTTTTTTATTTATAATAAAGGTGATCTTTAAATGGTGATTTCGTAAATCAACGGTTCTAATTATAATATACGTAAAATGAAGATTCGTTAATCACACAAAGAGACGCAAATATTGCATCTAAAGTATTTTCTTCGGGGAAACTACGGAGAGGCAGAACTAAATTTTGTTCGTATTGAGATAGCTTAAAACGATCACACAACATATAGCAACTTGTACATATATATACAAGGTGAAAATGGAAGCACAACCTAAAACTTGGAAACTTACAAAACACAAGTTAAACAAGAATAAATCACTTGAAAAATCAACCAAGCATAAGCATTTGTAAAAGCTTTAGAAACTACCATTCCACACATTAAGCCATGCAGACTAACTATGGCCTTCCTCTAGGGACGGGTAGTGTCCGAGGCCTGAAAATTCTCTGCATGGACCTTTTTGGTCCTCCCAGGTGCAGAGACTTTGCCCTCCTTTGCTGTACTGCTCTCTCCTTTCCCTCTAGTTTCGTCTTCCTTCTTCTCCATTTTCTCCTTCTGTCGCTTCTGCATCACATAAACCCCAGCATAGCTAGCCCCAATGGAAGACATGGCTAGAGAACAGAAACCCAACTCAAAAAAAGTGAATTGTTGTGGTGGTATGAGATTTCCAAATTAGAGGAGTATTTATAGGGGAACATGTGGTTCTTTTAGCAAGCCATCACTAGCATTTGCATTTCAGAGCTGACTGTTTATGGTATTATCTTAAGAACCAGTGATTAAACTGGTATTATCTTGTTTGTTCCAAGATGGTTAAGAACAGAAATAAAAGGAATAGTGGTGCGCAGACCACATTCTTTCTAACCACAAGAAGCTTAAGTGGATGCATGTTATACCTATAATTAAATTTAAATGTCGGTTAATTAATTATAAATTATAATTAGGATGACACGTTGGCAAAGCCACTAGTGCCATAAGAATGCCACATCAGTTGTGTGCTCATGTTGGGGGAAGAAATGGAGGGTGCCTAGTTGGACATTAAATCTAATGAAGGGTTATCTTAGCTGTCAATTGAAAGCCATGAGATCATACATAAGAGTAAGACTAACGGGCCAATCGACTTTTACTCATGTTGAGCCAAAAGCATATGCTTAAGTGTCAATCATAAGTAAACGAGGTCTAGTACAATGAGAAAAAGGGCCTTCATTTATAGATCAATGGTCTCAGGTTTGAATCTCCATGATACTTTTGTAGTGTGTCCCTCCCCTTATAGTTTAGATTATCGTTTGTATTAAAAAAATATTATAAATTGTAGGAATTCAAATTTGAATCAAACACAAATAGTATGAGAAATATATAGGGGAGTCAATGGGGTCTAGCCTAGTGAAAAAGGACCTTAACTTGCAGATCAATAGTCTCAGGTTCGAATTCCCATAGTGTTAAGATTTCAAAGGGACAGACCCTTGTCTACCACTAGCAACATCGATATTGTCATCAACTTAACCACATGTTTAACAGGTGTGAGGTTTTATACAAAAAGCCTTGATTTTATTAGGAGTTGACCCATTTATTATATGAGACTTTTTATTTTGTTAAGTTTCCGATGTGAGACTGTGTGTATTCAACACTCCTCCCCACATGTGCAACCAATTTCATATCGGTCACCTTTTTTTCTTATATATATATATATATATATATATAATATTTTTTTTCAATTTAGGGTTTGTTTGATTTTGGTTTAATCCGGTTCAGTCAACCGACCCGCTCTAATGTTAAGATTTCAAAAGGACGGACCCTTGGCCCACTATTAGCAACATCGATATTGTCCTCAACTTAAATACCTGTTTAGCAGGTGTGAGGTTTTATACAAAAGGTCTCGATTTTATTAGGAGGGACCCATTCATTATATGAGACTTTCTATTTCGTTAATTTTCTGATGTGGGACTGTGTGTATTCTTCAACACATAACACATTGGTAGTGTGTGTGAGAAACCGCCTCCTCCTTGTAGTTTAAATTATCGCTCATGTTAAACAATACATTCATAGAAAGGAAATAGACACTAGAATTAACATGAAAATCCCTCCAATATGAAGCGAAAAATCATGGGACAAATTCCGAAAATACTTCCACTAATGAAAATGAGATTACAAGTACTAATCTCTCTCTAAATCTTTAGAGGATGACTCAAGAGCACAAACTCTTCTTTAATGAACATTCTCTCTCTTACATTCAGTGGATGCATGTTATACCTCCAATTAAATTTAAATGTCGGTTAATTATTATAAATTATAATTAGGATGACAAGTTGGCAAAGCCACTAGTGCCGTAAGAATGCCACAAACATGCCATATCAGCTGTGTGCTCATGTTGGGGAAGAAATGGAGGGTGCCTGTAGTTGGACATTAAATCTAATGAAGGGTTATCGTAGCTGCCTGAAAGCCATGAGAACATACATAAGACTAACGGGCCAATCGACTTAATATGGAATTACGTTCTCAATTACACTATTACTAATGTTGAGCCAAAAGCAGATGCTTAAGTGTAAATCATAGGTCAACGAGGTTTAGAGACCAGTGAAAAAGGACATTGACTTATATACTAGTAGTTTTAGGTTCGAACCCCCATGATACTTTTGTAATGTGTGTCCCTCTCCTTATAGTTTAGACTATTACTTGTATTAAAAAAAATTATAAATCGTAGGAATTCAAATACGAATCGAACACAAATAGTATGAGAAATATAGAGGGGAGCCAACGGCGAGGTCTAGCCTAGTGAAAAATGGTCTTAACTTGCAAACCAGTGGTCTCAGGTTCGAACCCCCATAGCACCTTGATAGTATGTGTGAGAAACCCCCTCTCCTTTGTAGTTTAAACCATCACTTGTATTACAAAATTTATACATAGAAAGGAAATAGACACTTAATTTAACACGAAAATCCCTCCAATATGAAGCGAAAAACCATGGGACAAATTCCAAAAATACTTCTGCTAATGAAAATGAGATTACAAGTACTAATCTCTCTCTAAATCTTTAGAGGATGACTCAAGAGCACAAACTCTTCTTTAATGAACTTTCTCTTTTACACTAAGAGGAATGACCACGCACCACAAAAAAACCACATGTCATCCCTAATTATACAGCCAGCATTCTTCTAGAGAAGAGAAGAGGAAGGAAATAAACAATCAATACATAATTGAGGTTGCTCATAATACCAATGGCGCGAATTCGTTTTTATTTGGCCTCATACAGAAAAACAGCATCTGTATCAACATAGTTTGTTTACATGACTAGTTTATAGTACTAGTCATCTAAGCCAAGTTTTCCAGCACGAACTTTATAATCTCAGTGGTTAGAGTCTTAATAGCAATCATATACCTCTAGACTTGTTTTTGTAATTCCATGTTCTGATGGTATTAGTGGGATGGGATGGTAATCATGGCTATATATCTTTTTCCAACAAGCCATTACTTGATAGATATTGTCGTGACAGACTACAAAAGTGAACTCATAACAAGGGACAAAATAGAAAAAGAATGTCATACACCCGCCTAGAGCATATCCAAAAGGAATTTGGAGATGTTAAATTGTCACGAAGATATGAAATGGCAAAAGTTGAAGGAAAAAATTACTTAGTAACTTTAACCGAATAGTCAAATCTTATATAAATTTGAAGGCTAGAAGAAATATGTCAAAAATGACATCTCATCAAGTGTGATGCCTAATATATTTTAATATTTTTTCAATCGTGAGCACCACTATTATATTTATTTTCTTTTATAGGTTTATTGATTGTATTAAAAAATATAATAAAATAATATGAAATCTGGGATTTCGCTTGAAGTTCAAAGTTTTACTAAATTTCAAATTGCCACATAAGTTATTAAATTCAAATTTAACATTTTGCATGAAGGAAGATGCTCTTAGCAGCACTACAAAATGGGTCATTTACGGCGGATAGAAAGCATCGCATAAGGCACCAACATCAACACCGTCGTTAAAACCCATATGTGATGGCATTGCGACGGAACTTTACACGTCGCAACTTCTTCAGAAACTCACAGAGCAAAGCTTCTTCCACTTTTACTTGTAATAGATATACAAATTGAGAACAAGCATAACCTAAAACTTGGAAGCTTATAAAACCTAAATGTTTAGAGAATTAATTACAATTACAATAGTACACAGAAATAACCAGCAACAGTAGTGTAAATAAACCCAGCACCATGATCACTTACAAGTTGAGAAACTCACAACCCACAGAATTAGCCACATTAATTATGTTTGGCCTCCACCGGACTATTGTTCGGGGACTGAAAAGTCCCCGGATAAACCTTCTTGTTCCTCCCATGTGCAGAGACTTTGGTGTCTTGTACAGTACTGCTCTGTCCTGATCTCCCTCCCATTTGCTCTTGCTTCTTCTCCATTACCTCCTTCTGTCGCTTCTGCATCACATAAACTGTTGCATAAGTTGCTCCAATGGAAGACATGGTTGGAAAACGAGAAACCAATAACTTAAAAAAATGATTGTGGGTTGGATTGGATTGGTTTGGTGGTTTTAGAGGCTCCAAAATTAGGAGACTATTTATAGGAGGAGGAGTATGTGGTGGCCTGTTGAGCAAGGCATCATCACTAATATGTTTGTGCCTCAAACAGATAGAGCTGACTGGTTTTGGTATTAATTTAAGAACCAGTAATTAAACTGGTATTATCTTATTTGTCCGAAGATGGTTAAGAAACAGGGAATTCTGGTGCGCAGGCCACATTCTTGTAATTCTAACCACCACAAGGTCAAGTGGATGCATCTTATCTATAAAATTAAATTTAAATGTCATTAATTATAATTACTCTCTCGTGGCAAAGCCACTAGTGCCACATCAGCTGTGTACTCATTTGAGGGAAGAAATGGAGGGTACCTAGTTGTACATTAAATATAATGAATTATACTAGTTATCTTAGCTTCCATAAGACTAATCGGCCAATATACTTATTAAGATCAAGTGTAGCATGTTTGGAATTAAAAAAATCTTAGCCGCCGCCCCTTTTTGAGGTTGGCGCCCTCCTTCCCTACCTCTTCCTTTCTCATTTCATCTCTTTTTTCCTCAAAATTGTTAGTTTATTTTGTGATGTGAAAGAGTCGCCATAATATAGTCACCGTATTTTGGCCCACATAAACAAGGAGTTGGCTCCCTTCAACATGGTTTGGATCTTTAAAGAGGGGAAGATGTCTAGTTGCGTTGAGTTTGGGTTTAGCCAATGCGGAACTATGGGTTTAGTCGATATGGTGCTATAATTTTCTTCGGGCTGCCCGAAAGATGTGGAGCGGTGGTCATGTTTCTCACTTGCTTTGTACTTTTGTTTGCTCACATCAATAATATATCATCGTTTATTATTATTATTATTATTATTTTTAAAGAATAGATTGGAATTATTCTCTATTCCTACTCTAAGATAGGGATATTGAAATTATTTCAATTCATGACTTCCCATGCATTTAACGTACATAAAGAATAAAAAATTTACATGCTAATATCTGTAATTTCAATACCCTCAAAATTATAACCCAATCAACTAGAGATAGTAGATCCAATTCACATTCTTAAGTTTCCCGGTTCATTACTTCCCCTATTCATATAATAAGTAATTCTTTTAATCTAGTTATATTTTACTTTTTTAATATTAGAATATATCTCGAATTCGAGTGTTCATCTCCATTCCACTAAAAGAAGAATATTTTATTATTGTTTTAGAAAAACCTATCTTTATTAATCGTGTATTAAGGGGAAACTCAGTGCTCTAGAATCTTAATATAAATCATACCTTTCAGACTTATTTTTGGAATTCCATGTTCTGATGATAAATATTCAGTGGGTGGCACTGGCAATCATGGCTATCTCGTTCCAACAACCCATTTTTGTCCTAAAAAAAGGCCTTACAATGTTCACATAAAGTGTCTGAATTTTGTTTCTCTATGCATATAACATGGGTCATCCAAAAGTGGAGTTGGCGTAGGCCAATTTATGTGCCCCTACCAGTTGACAAACCTGGACATGGAGGCCTCCAAAAGGAGAAATTGGAATATAGCTAAAAGTGTTTGTGAGTCATAAAAGCGTTTTATGAAGCGCATTTTTATAAATTACTTTTCAAGTTTTTTTCAGTTGTTATTTTTAGAAAGTTTAAAAAATTTTTTTTTTTTTTTTTTTTTTTTTTTTTTTTTTTTTTTTTTATATACTTCTAATAAATAAAAAAATGCTTACAAACGTAAGCGCTTCCTATATAAGCAACAATTTCAAATGATTAAATACTCTCGATGCAAGCCGAGAAAATTAGATGAGGTTCTAGGTCAAACAAGTATTTTAGTCAAATTTGACATATTAAATTTACAATAATACTACAGGCACCAACTTGTATACCAATTTTTACATACCACATGATAAGACAGTTCATGTCATATGCCACATCAGTTGGTACAAAAAAGTTGATATACAAGTTGGTGTCACTAATGTTAAATTTAGAGTGCTGCTAAACGAACCCTAAAATTAACTGAGTACACCCTACTACCAAAGTATTTATTGAATTCCTAATTTACCCTAATATAAAATGACCAAAAAAGATATATTGAATTGGGAAACAAATGTAATTTTTCCTTGGGGTTGCCTTGAGTGTTGATAGTTTATGGTGGCTATTTGGTGGTGCTTGTGCTTTTCTGTGGTTTTTGTTGCTATGTTGTTTTTAATTTTGTTAGTTTTTATCAATTTTTAGTTTTGTTTATCTGCTGATATCATTATCTGGGATAGTCTATTACTTCCGTTCATCTGATATTACAAATTAGATTTTTACTTCCTTGTATTGTTGTATTTGTACCATCCTCTTAGTTGAGTTTTTTGTAATGAAATTTCATCATTCGAACAAAAAAACACACATATAAAGCCTGAATGGAATTTGATGAAACAAATCATATACGTCTTGAATTCAATGACTTTTTCTATTCATACCATAAAGAAAAGAAAAGTAGCAATACCACCACGGTCTTCTCGTGATAGCATTAAAAATTTTGTGCTGAAAAAGATTTAAGAAGAATCATCATCATCTGGGTCATATTTATGACCTATCTTTCAGTTTCAGTGGGGTTCATTTCATAAAATGGGGCTTTACTTTAATTGACCTATCTATTGTCATCATCATATGAATTTGGTGTTGTGTGATAAAGTGTATTAGGGTGTACTATGATTATTTTTGATAGTTGAATAGAGTGTACTTAATTAATTTTATATTTTGATTAAAATATTAAAGTGTACTTAAATCATATGATATACTCAGTTAATTTTAGAGTTCGTTTAAAGCTTTGAATTTGTGTAGTCATTTATAATCTCGAACTGCGGGTTATGTCAGGAGACAAATGATATATCATTATTAAAATAGTGATGGCTTTTGGGCTTACTCACAAGCAATTGCAAGCTGTTCGCTTAAATTAGTTGGATCGTCAAGTGTTGTGTTTAGATTGGAAGGAGCTTAACCCTAATTAGCTCATCAAGTCAAGCGCATGAAATACCAAGGCTTCTGCAAACTACTAATCAAGAACAAATTTCAGTCAGCATGTCGTTTTAGATCGAAACCGCAAAATTTTTGTTTTTTATATTTTCAATCCCATTTTTTTCTTTTGAATACAATTTCTTAGTTTAAGAAAATTATATATTGTCTTTTTACTAATCTAAAAATGTTTTATGACTTTTTCTACCATAATTTAAACACATGGACGAAATTGGCGAAAGAAAAACACAACAACCGATTAAATTTACCAATCCAGTAGAATACGCAGGCTATTTAGGTATTTAATTGCATGTTATTTATTGAAGTGATAAAATTGAAATGTTGGTACAGGTAAGAACAACATTATTGTTAGAGTAAACTACAAATTAGTTTAACAACTTCATTTAAAGACGAGTAATTTTCTAGTCTCTTCCTTTTAAACATTATTATTTGTTTTGCGACTAAATATACATGTTTTATGGAGAATACAAAGTTGGTAACTTTCCTCGTATAAAAAAAAAGGTTGGTAACTTCTTCCGCACAGGAGAGAGAAAATAATATTACATCAATACTCAACATTTAAACAAATTCTAGCTCTTGATACTTACGAAATAATGATATTGAATAAATCATACTAGTACGGCTGCATTCCCGTCAAACCACAGTTGGCTTGGGAATTTGAATTTGATATCTCTTTCAACATTTTGAAGAGAAAATACCAGGAGATCAAAGAGTTAGTTGGAACCTCTTTTAGCATTTAGTTGTACGGTTATAAATTTGGTGTTAATTTTGGCAAAAGTTTACTTTTAGTCCTTGTAGTTTGTCAGTTTTACCACTTTAATCCATGTAGTTTCAATTTTGTCAATTTTATTCTTATAGTTTAAATTTTATCAATTTTATCCTTATAGTTTCAATTTTGAGCAATTCAAGGACCCATTTCAATTTCCGTCAAAATTCCTCTACCTCTACCATTGACGTGAGTCATCATATATCCCTCTGTAACAAAGATTGCCGTTGGGCTCTCTGTCCACCAATTTAGAGCCCCATATGCAAACAGACCACCATTAGACTTGCCCTCTTTCTTTTATTTTTTTATTTTTTTATTTTTTATTTTTTTTCTTTTCAAGGTGTAATTGAGTTTTTATCGTTTGGTTTAATGAGTGTTGCCCTTTAATTTGGCTAAAATGTATAACTTGTCCTCCATATGTGATCTGGGTGAAGGAAAGCCATATTAATATATATATGTTAGCTCCTCCCTTAAACATGGATGCTGCTCTCTTCGGAGTGTTGTTATGTCTGCCATCTCCAGATTTTTGTAAAGCTTCAACTGTTTTCAGGTTATGATCAGCATTCAAAAAAGTGGAAATGCACAGGATGTGGTTATATAAATTATTTCCAGTATTAATCAGAAGAAATATGATGAAAGAAAACAATTGTTACGTAGTATGGTTTAATTTATTACATTTTCAGTCTCATACAAATTGATTCTTTTTCCCCTTGATAATTGTTTGTAACCATCAAGAAACCTAGCTTCTGCAACTTTTGCAAGAAGTGTAAGTGAGCAGATTGATACGAACAGTCCACGCGTCATTAGCATGGCGGAAGATCCTTAGGCGGAGGCAGAACAGAGTGATCTGATCCTGGTCCATCTTCTACGACGAATGCTGTTTTCAATCCCCACCCGGTATGAAGCTCCAAATGACAGTGCATGAACCAAACGCCTAGACATTCAAACAAAGGAAGCAAAGCTTATAATAAGTAAATAACCCACAAGCCTGTCATTATTATGTATGAGTGAATTCTAACTTCTACCTATGATAGATATGACAGTTTTTTTTTTTTTTTTTTTTTTTTTTTTTTTTTTTTTTTTTTTTTTCTACCCTCGTGAGTAAATGTGGTACATGTAACATTACTCGAGATGAATGTTGCAATTATTATCATACCTGGATTATCAGCTCTAAAACGAATGGCGGTCCAACCACCGGTGGGAACTCCAACTGTGTTTCTCTCAACAGGATCAACCAAGTTGTATTTAGCAGGGTCCTTGGCAGGATCAAAATTCCCAATCCCGGTTCCAACAACAAAGAAGTTGTATCCATGGAGATGGAAGGGATGTGACTCAACCGTTAGAAGATTAGTGTCCTGCAACACCAGCTCAACTGTAGAGTTGAAGGCAATCTTGCTCAGCCTAGTCCCTGTGGAAGTCCCAAGATTGGCAGTAAGTGGTGCACCAGTGTAATTGAAAGGAGTTTGTGGCCTATCAGGGAAGTCAGTTTTAAAAACCCCTTTGAGATTGAAGTAATGGGCTTGTAGAAGCCCAACCTGAGGCATCTCAAAAGAGATATTGTTCAAGGAAGCAACAAATCTTGTTCCATTAAGGCAAGTTGGGCATGATTCTTTTCCAAAACCAATGGTGTAAAAGAGCTTTCTGTCAACTTTGAGAGGAACATTTGCTGGAAAATTTGGAGTGTTTAAGCTCTTGAGTTTCTTGTTGTAGCTTAGAGCAAAGGCTGTGTCATTAGAGGCAGGCAGTTGAGGAAGGCTTGGTAGAACTGTGTTGGGGATGCCTCTGTATTGGAATATTCCTGTGGCTGTCTTGTTGTCTATGGCAACTGGAGCATCCATGAAAGGCCTAGCAGCGATGAAGTATCTGCCTGAAGCTTGATTGGCTTGGACCAAAACATTTGTGGTCTGGCCAGGTGCAATTAGTATGGCTTCAGTAGTGAATGGTTTTGTGTACACTGCATCAACCTCCACCACTGTCAAGTTGTGACCGGCAATGCCAAAGAAAAGTTCATCGTTGAGAGCAGCATTGATAATTCTCAGGAGATAGGTCTTCCCTTGCTCAACCTCCATAACAAAAGTATCTAAAACAAGAAAAACAGAACAGAATTGAAATTAGAACTTTATGAAAATTGCATGGCAACCACCTTTCGGGTTTGGACTTAATCCCAAAATGTCATATACTTGTATTTTCTGTGATTATGTTGTGCTTACGTTTCTCATAGCAAGGAAACAATGGCCCTGGCTTCCCATTGATTGTGTGTGCATCCGAGGAGTTTGGTGGCAATCCCAAGTTGTTTGCTTTGTTGACAAACTCTTCCACATTGCCATTCCACCATTCTCCGAGTATAATTTCAGCTTCCCTGTATGGTTGTGGGAAGGGAAACGGGGTGCCTTGTTTAGGCAGGATGACAATTGCACCATAGACAGTAGCCCTCAGCCAAAGAATGTGTGCATGCCACCATAGAGTTCCTCTTTGGCCTGTTACATTAAAGTCGTAAGTGTAGCTACTTCCAGTCTGAATTGGACATTGTGTTACATAAGCTGGTCCGTCTGCCCAACCGTTTCGATATTGCTTCAGTCCATGCCTGTAAGAACATATATAACTGAATCAGCTATAAGTTATGACATTTTGCTATATTTACCTAATTTTGATTTGATCACTTGTTTGTTTGGTTAATTTAGTTTAACTCTTACCAGTGAATAGACATGTTGTATTGAGCATGGTTGGTAACATTGATGAGAACTCTGTCTCCTTCCCTGACATAGATTGTAGGCCCCGGAAACCTTCCATTTATAGTAACAATGGGTTTTGCATGGCACAATCTACTCACATTCTTCACTTGGACCTGTGAGAACACAGAGGATGTTATAACTGGAATCCATGCACGAAGCACAAATTTTTTCTTTCTTTTTTCTTCTTCCTTTTTCATTTTTCAATTTGTTGTTTCAAAGTTGTGTGTGCATGTAAATGATATTAAAGCATTTGAAACAACTCACATCAAATTGGTATTTCTTTATGGCAGCTTCTGCTGGAGAAGTGATGAAGCCCAGAAACCCAAAGCAAAGAAACAGCAACCCAGAGAAGAGTCTGTTCCGGCAACTGCTAGCCATTTTTTTCTCCCTGGTGATCACAATTTCACTTGTGGTGTGCTTATGTGATGAGGCAATGAGGCAATGAGGGACGAAGACGAAGATGCCAAATATATATATGAATGTGTAGAGGCAAATATGCGCATTCCTTTTTAGTTTGTTCAAGGATTGTGTGGCTCATTAATTAGGTAGGAATTTTGAAGGGGTTGTACATGAAACCTTGTAAGCAAAATACTGATAAGGACTTCGCATTGCCTTTGACTGACTTAAAGGCTGGGATTGCTAAACCAAGGACAGGATTTCAGAAACCTCATATTTTTAAAATGGGCCAAGGAGAAGATTTCAGAAACCTCATATTTGAAAGGTACATTTTTTTTTATATACGCACCACCAACCAAACCGAAACCCCAAATGCAGAGCTATAAGCCCTGCTGAGCTTTACCTTCAAGGCAAAGTAAAAGCTTTAAGAATTTGGGACCGCCCAAAGGTTCTCTTTGTCATCCAAGTCATATAGTTCTTGCAAAGTGTTATCTATGCAATGCAAATGCTTCACTACTCCTATGCTTCTGTGGGTCAAACGTCGTTTTCCAGAGGATAGCTAGGGTGCTTTCTACTAATCATATGGGCCTCTGGTATATGAGAACCTATTTTTTATACATATTATATATATATATATATATATATATATATTGTATGCTTATATCACTATTTTCTTAATCATGTATGTGAATGTATAAATAATTGAGTCAGAGAAAGAGCTTACTTGTAAGCTTCCTTGGTGTTTCTTTGATATCAGATTTATGGTTGTTCTTGCTTCTTTTGGGGCTGTTTTTATTAAGGCGCTTTGGAAAGAGGCTTCCTCTTGCTTCTAGCCAACTCCACAAGGCAAAAACAAATGGAACAAATACATACAAATATATATATATATATATATATATATATATATAAGTGAGCTTCGGTTGTGGGATCCATCAAATAAGTTTATTTGAGGGACACCTTTGTAGGGCCCACCATACATTATATTTCATTAATCCACAAGTCTATTTTATAGATATTCATTCGAAGATCATCTTTACAAAAAAATCACTTGAATCCGATATCATTTGACTCTTCAATTGAATTATTGAAATTTTAGTACTTTCTTGAAGCATTCATTGTGTTCATTGATTTTTTAGGACACAATTAGATGTCGTAACAGTTTCCGATTTGTCTAATTTTTTGCAAGGATGATCTATGAAAGTAGACTTCAAATTAGATTATTTGGATCGTTGAGAAAAAATTTGCAGTAGACCCTAAAGGGTGTCTCTCAAATAAAATTAAGTCTACATTCATATATATATATATATATATAGAGAGAGAGAGAGAGAGAGAGAGAGAGAGAGAGAGAGAGAAACTAATTAATTCATGTAAAATTGCAGAGGATTTGACCAGAATGAAATTGGCAACGCCTCATCAAGTAAGCATGGTTGAGCAGCCTCCATAAACTGCTGAGGAACATTATAATTCACTCTGTTTTGTGTCACCACATGACCAAAGGTCTGTGCTTTTCTCAATGCCATTGATTTATGTTGGTCGAAAATTGTTTCTCCACTTCTCCGTTCCCATCGAAGCAACATTTTCTTCTGTACCAAAACCTGAGACTGCATTCCCCATTCACCAGTTGAACTAGAATAATCACTTATCCCAGCTGACACAATTTGGTCAGCTAACCCTGTCATGGTGCCATTGTTGGAGCAATTTGCAAAGCCTAGTTGAAAACTATATCACGAAGTTCATAATTTTTCCATGGCCAAGTTCCATTGTTTGAGTAGCCTGCATTGAACACATGAGGGATTAATGGCTGGTGTAGTTCCTTGTGAAGCAAGTAATCACAATTATTTATGCTCTGCCCAACATTTCTCTCTCCTTCATAGAGCATATCAGCAATAGGTTTTCTTTGTATCATCCAATTTTTGTAACTTGCTCTCCAAGAAAGTCGATAAACACATCAGTGACTCCCCAGACAACTTGTCCAATTCCTTGTTATCAGCCCTCATCTTTTGTTCGAGCTCCTTTATCTTCCTTTCCACCAACCCACAGAGGTTAACCTTTTGAATTTTGGGCATGCCTTTGTACTTGAGAACTGCTTCTTTGTACTAGCAGATTATGGCTTTGGCCATGTCTTGATCTTCTGGCCAGACCTTAACTTTGGCATTTGGCCCATTATAAGCAACCACACACACTTGAGAGCTTTGCAGAGCTTAGCAAGATGAGCTGTTTTCCTCATCACGGTTGATAATATCTGGTTGAAGGTTTACTTTGTTCAGACTGCTGCATCAATTTTCTCTTTTTAGCCAGCCTTATTCGGTTTGCCGTTTTCTCTAGCCTGTCATACTAAGTTCCCCATACTTGAGTCCCAAACAATTAGCACCAGAGACCAGAGGAGGGAGGCATACACTAACACTCAAAAACAGAGAAATTAAAGAGAAAGAGATGGGTGAAACTAGCAAAAACGCATATAGAGCTTATAGAAGTCCTGATCTGTGCTGCTGATTTTTAAAAGCTATCCTATTCTCTATTGGATTTTCAGAAGATAATGGAAAGATTTCCTCTTTCTTTTTTTAGTAATTTGGCTTACCCCCTCCAAATTGAATTTTCCTTAACTGCAATCCATCACTTTTTGTTCCTATGATTAAAACCCATTTTTTAGTATGCTGCTAAACGAACCCTAAAATTAACTGAGTACACCCTACTACAAAACTATTTATTGAATTACTAATTTACCCTAATATAAAATGACTAAAAAGGATATACTGAATTGTGAAACAAATGTAATTTTAATAAGTGCATCTTACTCACCATATCCAACCCTAATCAAATGCAAGCGAAAGCCACCAAAGGTTAAAGAGGTGTTCAGCCGAAAGCCACCGAAGGGTTAAAGAGGTAATTTGAAAGAGGCTGCTTTGAAAATGGTTTCAGGAAAAAGAACATAAAGAATCTATTAAAAATATTAGACATTTAAAAAGTGGGAAAGGTGAAATTGGTACTTAGGTAGTGAGGAGTAAATTTAAATGATATTCAAACAAGACACAACAAACTTCATACACTATAGACCTTGACAAAATACTCTTATGACTAGTCAACTGTCAGACATGAATTACCACAACCAAGAACATACACACAGCATACTAAGATGTACTTGCAAGCCTAGAGAATTACTAGTGACAACCTAGACACTCAGAAGGACTCGTCAATCTAGGCATCCCCTGTGCTAGCAACAACTATGGTGAAAGTGTGTGAAGACAACATAATTAAGTAAACATCAAACAACAAAAAATGATGACTAGTCAACCGCAAGAACACAAACCCAGAAATCCATGAACATCATGCGATGACTAGTCAACTATCAAGAACACAAACCCAGAAAATTACAGAGATGCAAACAGAAATTGTTCACCCAGAAACCCACCATTAGGAAAAACTGGGGATCATCAACCGACCAGACAATCCACTAAACAAAAAGATTCTTACAAAGAAACACTAGCAAGCTCAAGAAATCCTAGGTCTATTTAGGAAGATGAGCTATACCTCCTTTGTGCAATCTTCTTCTCCAGCTTAGCAAAACTAGCAGCTTAATCCTTCATGGCAATGATAGCTCTTTCTTCAGCTTTTTCATCCCATGGCACCAGCTAGCTAGCTCCAACTCAGAAAAAAATGAAATTTGGATTCATGGAGAAAATGACCAATTTCTTTAAGAAACCATACTCTTGAAGAAATCAATCTTGAATCTGACGTAGATATAGAGAGTGTTTGATCTAGCAAGATGAAGTTTTCATATTTCAAATGCAGTTTTCGAAAAATCAATTTGGAAAACTCAAAGATGAAAAATATGAAGCTTACTCTTGAGGAAGAAGAAGAGAAAGTTTGTAAAGAAACTTTTTCAAAACTTACCCACAAAAGAGACAACTGCCAAATGAGGAATTCTTTGGCTTTTACCCAAAAATTTCTATGTTAGAATAGACACATGGCAATTGAGAAATTCGTAGAATTGATGGATTCTGAAGCAACTCAGAGCTGTGGAGAACTTTGATGAAAAATTAAAGTGAAAGGAATCCACATGGATATGGTTATAAATGCTCAAAACCAACAAAATGGGAAAGGAATATGTTATCCCAATATTCACTCACAACAAAGATGAAGATGAAAAAGATGAAAAATAGTGTATTCGGCAGCAAGGTCGGTTTGGTGGTCTAATAGTGTTTGGCAGCCAGCTCTTGAATGGTATTAGGGTGTTATGTAATAGTGCATTAGGGTGTACCAGAGGTATTTTTGGTAGCTAAATAGGGTGTACTTAGTTAACTTTACATTTTGATTAAAATACTATGATGTACTTAGATTATAGGGTGTACTCAGTTAATTTTAGGGTTCATTTAGCTGCACTCTTTTTTATAAGTAAAAACCTATGACTAGGATCCACCTCATTAAGTTACCTTATCAAGCTCAAGATTTGATTTATTGTAATTTTCTGATTCCCAAAATACCCCTATGTATTTGCAATTGTTGTTTTCTCCATTGATTGTGCTGAATATACTTTGAACATATTTGCTGCAATTCAATGTCATTAATATTCAAATGATGTTTTTTTTAGATAGGAAAATGGTGTTTTAAAGTGGCTTAAATTTAGGAAGTTTTAGGGTAAGTTTTTTTTCTCTTTTAAAAAAATAATATTCAGTATCTAAAAAAGTCACATTTAGGGCCTATTGAATTTATGAAGAAACATTAATATACCTATAACGTTTTAGTATAAAATAAGAGTGCTGTTAAACGAACCCTAAAATTAACTGAGTACACCCTACTACCAAACTATTTATTGAATTACTAATTTACCCTAATATAAAATGACCAAAAAAGATATATTGAATTGTGAAACAAATATAATTTTAATAAGTACACCCTACTTGCCACATATTCAATCATAATCAAATAGCTAGCATTGGGGGAGGGGCAAGGAGGTGTCGTTGAATGTTCGCAGGTCCTACGTTGAACTTGAATTGATTCTTGCATTGAATTATTGTCTTGCCTTGAAACTTGTAAGAGGCTATTTCTCTGTTCTATTTATCTGCTAAACTTTGAATTATTGTCTTGCTTCCTTATTGTAGATGATGGTCGGAAACATATTGAAAATAAAGACAAGGATACTGATGATGTTGTACAAGAAACATGAAGATGATTTTCTAGAGACATGGTTGTGGTTGCAATTGAGGTGATATTTTGTTTGGTTCAGTTAATTTTGTGGTTTTTTTTGCAGGTAAGACTTTGGCATTTGAGGTATACAATCTATTAGCTGAATGAAACACTTGGCATTTGGTTCCTTTCACTTTGTGGTTGTGGGAGGAACCACTATTAGTGGGATACGTTTCTCTTTTTTCTTTCCAAAGGCTTTCGATTTTGTTTCTTTACTTTGTGTGATAGAGTGTATTACAATGTACCAAGGATATTTTTGGTAATTACATAGGGTGTACTTAGTTAATTTTATATTTTGATTAAAATATTAGGGTGTACTCAGTTAATTTTAAGATTCATTTAGCAACACTCTAAAATAATGTACCTATTTTTTCCACCCTTTTTTGTTATGAATACTATACCTATTTTTTACATATCTTTTGTAAATATCCCTATTTTGTGTACCTATAAATAACACACCTATTTTTTAAAAAATTAAAAATGTACATATTTTTAATTTATGAAAAATGTGCAGAAATTTCAATTACACAACATATTTATTTTCTGACAAAAAAAAAAGTTTTTTTTTTTTGTAAATAATGTACCTATTTTTAATTTATAAAAATATTTACAAAAATTTCAATTATAAAGTAACGGATCCTTTTTTATATAAATAAAGTACCTATATTATATACATATTTATATTTTTTTTAAAGTACATTATTTATTGGATATGTAATTTAGGGATTTTCTGTTTGTTTATTTTAGGGATTGGCGATGTGTAGAGGGAATGCCAACCAAAATAAATGGGGTGATTGATATGCTATTACTAGGGAGTATTAATTATAATTAAGGTGATTAATGACATGCTTGAAAATAAATTATAAATTAAATATGAAGGTTGGTGGCATATAATGTAATTTAGTTAATAATATTAGGACAAATCTAACTCACATGGCAACCTTTTTTAAATTTGGGTTTTCAATAAAGATTTAAAAGTAGGTGGGTATATGATTAGGATATAGTAGTTGTAAGGGTCTATATTGGAAGAACTCTTCTTTTTTGTTTAAGGAGATGTATGATTTATTTTTCTTTCAGGGGAAGAAGAAAATAGAGAACTTGAGAACCAAGTGAAGAATAATAATGAAAAGAAAAGGTTGAAGAAGAATTAGAAGAAGAAAAACATAGCATGTGGAGTCATGATATTAAGGAGGAGGGAACCAAACCTATTCGGGTACATGAATAAATGTTCTTAACCACTTGAGTTATAAACCCTTTCAAACCATTCTTACACTTTTGAAAAAGTGGAAATAATAGGTTAAAAATTAGATTATATCAAATGTTCGATCCTCTTTCATTGTAACAAGTGAACGCGTTGAAATGTTTTTTCATTTTTTATCTTTTCCAAGACGTGCAAAGCAGTAAGACAGTTCCGTTTAAAAAGGTTTTGAATATGGTCCGTGCCGTGATCAGACGGGAGAGAGAGAGAGAGAGAGAGAGCATTGGCTAAAATTGTCAATTTGACAATCATTTGGCTTCTTTCAATTTCTTTGTGCAAAAATTAAAAAGAAAGAAAACAGTGAAAGCAACAAAAGGAGGCAGCTGTGCCGGCCCACCCATGAACGCCATACCCATTACATGACAAACGTAACGACATGTCCTAATCTTACCTGCCCTTCACGTTCATTTCCCTCTCCACCAGTGCAACGATTTGAATTACGTCACCCTAAACTTAACCAAATCATAATAATAATGGTGTGATAATGGTGGTGTTACCACTTTGTTCATTTAAATTGTAAAACGTACGAGGTACTATTTTATATCTTAGGATATAGAATCAATGCGTATACACGTAGACTCTGTTTGGTTCATGGGAAAAGAGGTTTGAAGATGGGAAATTAATTGCTTTATCATGTTTGATAACTTCAAGCAGGAGAAATGGTTACCTAGTACATGGGAAAGAGAGGTGCGAGGGTGGGGACCTCCTCCCCCCTTGGCCCTGTTTTGTTTTCCCTCATTGTGAAAAAGTTTGGGAAAATGAGTCAACATTAAATACACATTTTTCATGACTATTTGTCCCCATTAATAATTTAGAATTATAATATTGCATTTAATGCATTCTTTTTTTATTTGATTTCATATAGGTATAATTGAAAAATTAAACAAACTTTGTTTTACATTCCTATGCAAACCAAACATGTGAAAGGAAATAAAGTGGTATTTCATGGTAACTTACCCAGCATTACCAAATATGGGAAAGAAATCGTCCATTTCTCATCATTTGGGAAAGACATGATAAATTATTTCCCATCAAATCTTTTCCATGAACCAAACATGACCATAATATAATTTGAGTGAGTTGGCCACCGCCACATAAAAGCAAAAATTTTATCAAATTCAAATTACATTTTCTTTTTTTTTTTTTTTTTTTTGTTTTTCCAAAGTTAGGAAGGGGGAGCAGGGTTTCTCATATACACACTCTAGACTCCATAAAAATGTTATAGGAGTTCAAACTTAAGACAACTAGTTTGCAAACCAGTGCCATTTTCCACTGGACTAGACTTCGTTGACAAGGATTGTTACTTCTTCTTCTTCTTTAATTAGAAGCACGTGGTTCTTTTTATATTAAATCATGATTGTTGGGTTTTTTATTTATAGGAGTGATATTGTGGGAGGAGAGAATTAAACCAGCACAAACAAATGCTCTTAATTATATGAACTACAAGTCCTTGTTGATTGCTTGTTAGATATTCACTTTGTTCGTCGTCAAATCAATCAAATTTCCATGTAGATTACTGACTGGCATGGTTTGTGAAAGAATCATTGCTTTTCTTATAAGCATGACATGTGACACCACATGTGCAAAAACATAATACATTTCATGCATTTTAGAGGGTATTGTTATATAATTAAGCCAAAAATGAATGCTTTTATAGTGATATTACATTCTTTCTTTTCTATCCACATGTCACAACTTGACTATGGTTGCACCAAAATCCCATAACCCTCGAATCCAAAACACGACGATCCTAAAAATTCTGTAAGATATTTAAAGATGTGACAACACAAGGGCACTGCACTTGCCCACATTCGCTGTTATATCCAAAAAAAGGCAAAAAGTCTCATTGTATTAACTTGACCTCACCCTCCATCTTCATTTCATTAGTCTTCGGCAGCCATGGGAGCTCTCTCTCAATTCTTCTCCCACCTCTACACCATAACCCTAATCTTCTTCACTCTCCTCATCCTCGAAATCGTAATTCTCGTCCGTTCGATTGCCGGTCTCAATCCGAATTCGAGCAAACGTGTGATCACTACCACACAATACCTCAAGCTCATAGAGCAAAAAAATCCAACAACGTGTTACACACAAAAATTGAGGAGCGTGAGGCCAGAGGCAACAGAATGCTCAGTTTGCTTATCAGAGTTTGAGGAAGGTGACAAGATTAGGCAGCTCAAATGTAAGCACACATTCCACCAGAATTGCCTTGACAGGTGGCTCCAACAGTATTGGGCCACGTGTCCTCTTTGCCGGACTAAGGTCTTGTCGGACGATGTTGTGGCTAGCTATCACCGGCTGAGAAATCAGGTACAATATGATGGCAGCGATGAGGAGCTTATTTTCTTGTTATCTTCGTTACAGGGTAACAGCTTACATAGATTTTTCTAATCAGAGTTTCTCGTGTAAGAATTAGTATGCCTTTTTTTTTCTTTTTTTCTTTTTTTCTTCTTCCTTTTTGTTCCCTAGCTATGTGCGTACATAAAATGTCAAAGCATGAATTTTACTGTTCCCTTCCTGTTTTTTATCTTCTATTCATGGCCCATAGATTAGCTTGTTTTGCTTTATCATTGTGTGTTGAGTCCAATTGATATCGGAACTTAAATATCATTCGGGATGTGCTTTTTTCAGATTTTTGTAAGGTGTTTTTGGTTCTATAAAATCATTTCTTTACAACAACAAAAAATACAATAATTTTTTTATGTAGCCTTTTACGGAGCATATTTTGTAAATTTTTTGTTCGTAATAGTGTTGTTAAAAACATATAAAAATTTCACAAAGCTACTAGTTTGGTAGCTGAATAATTGCATTTAAATCTTCTGTCACATGATTAGGTCTGCTTGCCTCCTAGTTGGCTGCTCCCAACACTTGAGAAAGATGTAAACCTTTATTTCAATGAATGAATTTCCATTATCTTCCCTAGAAAAACTAAACTAAACTAAACAAAACAAAAGTGCTTAAGCACATGTCAACATTACAGCATTTCGTATGAGAGGTGCTTTCTCCAAAAGCACTAAATGTGCAAGTTACTTTTATCTATTGCAATAAAATTGTATATAGAAAGCACATTGAATTATCCAAAAGCAGTTTGAGTACAAGATTTTCTGAGATGAATATCTTATCCGAAGTGATCTTTCGATTGTGACACTGTCTTGAATCCTTGTGTTTCTATAGACCCCACGCATTTGTTCACGCATTTCAAGTGGGGTTAAGCTGGGGCCAATAACTTCTTGCTTTCATTTGATATTTTCTTGCATATTCACTGCTTGCACTATAACTTTAATTTTGGAACCTTGCATGAAGTTTTGTTGTAATATCTTTGCTAGGTTAAAGTATTTGGCTTGGATTCAAAATAGATGTCCAAAACTTAGGGAGTTGGGTTTGGTTGGAGATAACTGGTAAGCTTTGGCATGCCCGGAGGGTCAAACAAAGTGGATATTTGGTGAACTAAATTGGAGTGACCAAACCAGATGTTAGTGTATACTTACTAAAGTTTACAATGATAGTTCCTCAAATAATTATATAAAATATTTGTAGGTAAATTTGATGGTATATATTTGATGGAGTTCTACACCTAATACAATAATGTTAACCTACTATTTGCACTGTTTTCAACCGCAATTTATTAATTGTACAAATGTATTCACAAATACTCTTGTTTTCTGCAATCTTCTTAATTAGCGATCCTTCCTGATAAAGTTAGTAAATCCATTACTGCCATTTCCACTTGAGTTATTAGCAGATGAACAACTTGTGCGTTGTCCATTGGGACACTCATGATATATTAACACGAAAGATAATGGTGAGCCAGTTAAAACAGAGTAGGTGGATTCATTGTCGTGTGTATATATATATAAGTTCACCTTTGCTAAGATTTAGACGTTATTATTGTGCGAACGCTATGTATTTTCTACTACACCTCTTTTCTTTTCTTCCTATTTAAAATGACATAACGTGCAAACATATAGTTATTCTCTTATACAGGCGTCCGCACATTATTATCGTGCGAACGATAATAACGTCCGCACGTTTGCATAGGAGAATTTCTATGTATATATATATATATATATATATATATTCAGTTGAAGGATTCCTCAAATAAGTATTTGAGGGACACCCTTATGGGCCCATTCCACAATGAATTTCAATGATCCAAACTGTCTATCTTTTATGTATTTATTCAAATACCATGCAAAAAAAAAAAAAAAAAAAAAAAAAAAAAAATCACTGAAATCCGAAATCATTTGACCACTCAATTAATTGTTGTCATTGAAGTGCTTTTTGAAAGTACCATGTTCGTCTATTTTGTTGGTTACAATTAGATGTCTTAATAGTTCCCGATTTGTCTAATTTTTTGCAAAAATGATCTATGAACGAAGATTTGAAAAATAGACATTTGGATTGTTGAAAAGTATTCATATTGGACCCCAAAGGGTGTTCCTCAAATAATTTTATTTGAGGAATCCCTTTATGAAAGGAGACTAATATAATAACGTCCATTCACTAGCAATCACACTGTTTTTTTTGTCCTCATTGTAGCTGATATACTGAATATAGTAACGAAAATCACGACAATCTTGAGTAGCTGAATTTGTGCTTCTGTATTTCTATGTTGTGAGGGATTTTTGGTTTTACTGGTAGAATTTTTTTTTACTGCAATGTATTTCTATGTGGTGGGAGCTTCTCCCCTTAACCTCTGTGATGACTAGGAGTGGTGCCACAACCTTATATCGCTTGAGTGAGGGAAAGTTAAGTGCATTATATGTTCAGAGTCCGTCTCCCTTAGTACAACGCTTTTGGGCTTGAAGGCCCTAGAACAAATCTATGTGGGCGAGGCCCAAAGTGGACAATATATGCTCAGAGAGTTGGCTCTTCCTAACAGGGATATCGGGTCTCCAAGGAGAGGAGTGGTGCCACAATCCCACATTACTTGGGTGAGGGAAAGTTAAGTGTCTGATATGTGGTGGTGCTTTTGTTAGGCACACTTTATGTGAATGGAGGAACTGCCCCTTTATGTTTTTGAACCTTACCTTTTTCGTAAGTGCACCCTATTATAATCTTTCCTAAGTAATGAAATTTGCTTGTGACGGAAAAAAAAAAACGAAAAAGGTTAAAGCTCCACCAAAATTAAGGGCACTCATTTATTTGGCCCAAGAATGAACTCAAGAAATTTAGAAGACTAGAGAATATGATGTTGTAATATAGACCATGTGTGTAGAAAGATGTTGAAAAGGCAATATTTATAGCCTCATACCAAGTTCAGATGGGTTAATCATTTTATTAGTTCCTAAATTTAGACCCGATTTGTATTTTAGTCCCTCACTTTCCAAAATCATTCCCGTGCTCTTTTAACTTCACTTTTGTTAGGACAAATGGTCCTGTTGTCAATTTTGTTAACTTTTTCTGTTAAATGCAGGGGCAAAATGGTATTTTTATATTAAAGTTTAAAAAAAGAATTAAAAAATCATATCTTTAAAATAACAAAAAAGAAAATCAAATAAAAAACCAACAACAAAAAATTAAAGTTTGGAGGGAGTAGAAATCGGGATAGATGGGGAAAGAGATAGAGAGTTTAATTTTAATTTTTTATTCATATTTTAATCAATTTTGATACAAAAAGAACATTTTGCCCCTACATTCAACAAAAAAGTTAACAAAATTAACAGCAGAACCATTTGTCCTAACGAAATTGAAGTTGAAGGACCACGGGGACGATTTTGGAAATTAAGGAACTCAAATACAAATTGAGTCTAAGTTCAGGGACTAATAAAATGATCTTGACCAAATTTCTCTATTCCCTAGCTAATTTGTTGATACTAGACACTAACTTAACTCTACTTTGACATGTTAAGTAAAAAAATAAAATAAAAAACAGAAAAATTAGAAAAAGATATGTTTTTCTTTCCCATGAAGATATTGCCTATTTCTTGACTCTAACGACCCTTCTCTTTAGGGGAATGAAGAGAAGTTTTGTCTACGTGAATTAGGTATAGTAGATATGGAGGAATTCTCCTTCACTTGGTTCGCTATTGCCGCCGTTGCCGCCACCTCGTCGTCCATCACTATGCTGAATGTTGATGCCTTTATTTCTTCACATGCTTCTGGTTCTACTTCACCTACTGCTTCTCCTACCCCTATTGTGATGGTTCATACTGAATTGTCCACCAACCTACTCTTGGGATTCAAATTGAATGGATCCAACTGAGCTGGGGTAGGACACAAAACTGGCAAGTCAGAGGGTTGTAGACGACGAGTGACTTGGTGGACTCAGGCAAGTTGGGCAATTCGCCGTAGAGGTCGTAGCCGAGGGAGGAGGCCATGGGGTGGGGGGAGCAAAATGGAGAAAATCTAAGGTGAATCTAAGCCATTGGTTGTCATTGGGGTCGAACACGTGGAGGCAGGAAGGGGAAGACAGGAGCTAATTGGAGAATTTGAAGAGTGAGCGACAGATCATGACTTGACGGAGGGGAAGGCTCGAGAAGATCTGGTGAAGCGTGTCTTGCAGGACAACGTCCATGGCTATGCGGTGGAGCGTGTCTTGCGGAAGACTAGGATTATATGCTGGGTCAATTTTCTGATGTTGATGAAGACTAGGATGAGGGACTAGGAGGAGGTGGTGGGTTGTTGTCAGGGTTGTGGTTGTTAGGATTTTTGTTTCTTTTTCATTTTTTATATATAAATTTTTTTACGTAACAGTGTTCAATTAGAGTTAAAGTAGTGTCCAGGTGTCAACAAATTAGCTATGGTACAAAGAAATTGGGCCTAAATGATCTGAACTCTCTCCTACAGCCTCTTCAAACTAATTAGATGAAAGACCAAGAGCCAAAGGTTGCATGAAACGAAGAGCCACAAACTTCCAAACATCACAAAGTCCTTCACAATTTAATGAAATAAAATGAATAAAGTTTGTTATGAAGTATATGGAGATGTCAAATATCAAACATGGTTTATGTGGCAATTTGGAATAGAATAGGGTTTTATATTCCACCCCACATGTCAAATTAAAATATTATTTTATTACATAGTTTTTAGGGAGCTTTAGTTTTAAACCATAATATAGTTTACTAATTTAGTAGAAAGAAATACAATTTAGTCTAATTAGCAAAAGGCCAAAAACCAAAATGTAACAAAAATACCATTACAAAATATGAAAATTACAACATATGCCATTTTCAGTATTTAGTTTGAAACCAAAGCTGAAAAACGACATCAAACCAAAACTGAACCAAAACGACATCAACCGAAACCAAAATTGAATCACAACCCATTCGCGAGACCTTTCAACTTCACCTCCAGAAACCTCTTCAACTTCACCTCCAGAAACCTCCAGACCACCAACGATCATCGAAGACCACCAACGATCGTCGAAGACCACCAACCCATTCGCACGACCATCATCGAAGACCACCAACGATCGAAGCCGATTCTTCATCTCAGTTTCTGGTTTTGGTTTTCTGCATCTCAGTTTCTGGTTTTGGTTTTCTGCAGTTTTCTGCATCTCAGTTTCTGGTTTTGGTTTTCTGCATCTCAGTTTCTGGTTTTGGTTTTCTACATCTCAGTTTTTGGTTTTGGTTTTGGTTTTGGTTTTCCTCATCTGGGTAGCCTTTACTCTTCAAATTGGTGAGGTTGAAGGCGAAGGAAAGAACAAAAATCAAATTGTAATTAAATAAAAACTGCAATGCAGTTTCCAGTTTCTAAAAGTCCAATTTTGAGTTCCCTTTCTCTTGGGTAGTTCTACTCTTCTCTTGCCCACCCAATTCCTCATCTGGGTAGCCTTTACTCTTCAAATTGGTAAGGTTGAAGGCAAAGGAAAGAACAAAAATCAAATTGTAATTAAATAAAAACTGCAATGCAATTGCAATGCAGTTTCCAGTTTCTAAAAGTCCAATTTTGAGTTCCCTTTCTCTTGGGTAGTTCTACTCTTCTCTTGCCCACCTAATTCCTCATCTGGGTAGCCTCTACTCTTCAAATTGGTGAGGTTGAAGGCCAAGGAAAGAGCAAAAATCCAATTATAATTACCAAAACTGCAATGTAGTTTCCAAAACTGCGCAATGTATAACCTGTATAAAATTTCACCTACTGAAAAATAAAGAAATATAATGTTGTAAGCATAAATTGAGATACGTTGCCCTCCATGAATTCAAAGACAAGGGAAGCCGTGCCATCAACTTCCATGAAAGCTTGTTTCAAATTGACAATATTCGGGTGGTTCTTCAACTGAGACAGAGACTCAACTTCCGCCATTTGGAGAAACTCCTCCCATGAAGTCAACCTCGATACCTCATTCTTCAGTTGCTTAATTGCAACAATCTCACCAGTCACCTTGTGCAAAGCCTTCCATACAACCCCAAAACTTCCTTCACCGAGCGGCTTAAGGAACCAATAATTATCTATTCAAACTATCTCAAGAAAACAACACAGACCCAACAAAACTCTCTCTTTGTTACTGGAAACTCAAGAGCTTTCGTCAAATATGGAAATTGACGTTTGCCCAGAAGCAAAACCTAGTTGATTTCCTACTGGCTTGCTCACTCACTCAAGGTAGAAAATAAAAGGTGCCCGGCTATTATTTATAGCCTAAATCTTTCTTAATCCTATAAGGAAAAGGGGTAAATCTTTCTCAATCCTATAAGGAAAAGGAGTTTTCGTAATTGAAGCTGTTCTATTTTACTTGGGCCCAAAGTTTTTCTACGGTCAACATTTTTATTTAGAAGACCTTGGAGTTACCGGTGAAGGCCGAAAGGATGAGCAGCTTGAGAATTCCATCCCAGCCGCAAGTGAAGGCTGTGGTCGTCGTTGCTGCGGAGAGAGAGAGAGAGAGATAGATCTAATCTGATCAAAAAGGGAGACCAATAAATATTTTAATAAAAATGGTATAATTGTCTTTTCAATGATTAATATAAGGTGGGCCAACGAATCTGAGCCTCCTCTTTGACCTAATCCAAAATACATATTCTTTTATGGGTATTAAAACCCAAACCAAAATACCTAATGTCTCAAATCCAAATTACTAAAATTAATTATTAGTTTTTTACTTTCTAGGTACATTAATTGAAAAGAAATAATAAAATAACATCGTAAGACCTAGATTTTTTCGCCCATGGGCTTAAAAGGAGTAGGCCTTCAGAGGAAATGAAGAAGCATGCTTTAGGCCTAAGAAAAGACTTATGAGCCCGCACGAGTGGCCTGAATGAGGAAAGAAGTCGAGGTCTTCAAATCAAGAAAAGGTTTGCCTCACCGAGAGAACAAACAAAGGGAAGCTTGCTTAGTTGGTACTTGCATTTTGAAAGAATTGAGCTCGACCACAAAAGGAGATAGTCTACTCTTGCAGACCAATTGTTTGCCTCACCCGAGAGAACAAATGGCAAAGGCCAAAATAATTTTGACCATAGAAGTACTTGCCTCACCGAGAGAGCAACAACGGGAGGCCGAACCAAGGTCAGGGATCCACATTTGAAGATGTCAGAATCAAGCCAAAGGTTATCATGTAGTTCATAATTTTTAATGCTTTTCCTTAAGATTTAGTGTAACTCTCATTAAAACGAACTCAGCCACCGTTCTTTGTTCTTGGGCATTCCCCATTTCGATCATTCATTCAATATATCAACAAGAAGTTCTTAAGATACCCACAATTCTTGAGCTATTTCTTGAGCACCATCTAATCCATCCAAATTTCTTAGGATACCTGCATTTCTTAAGCTATCTGAAACCATTGAGCTATCGAGCTTAGTGCCACCACCAAGCTACTGAGCTCGGTGACACCATCCAACCATTTGCTCATTCTAAAGGCCTTGTGGTAGAGGCCTAGAACCTGATGGCCAAGAATTTGTTCCTATCCCGGCCATAATCGCTCATACCCAATGCCACTTGTGGTTGTGGTACTTGCACGCCATGCACACTCGCACCAAAAATAACGTCTTTGTTACCACTTCCGCTCAGCCCAATCAATTATTCTATTCGAATAAATTGACCAAGTTGGCCGAAAAGGATCATAGGTCAACATAATGTAGTCCTTTTTATTGTACCAAAAAACATATCATATTTCTTGATTTCTAAGAAAAAAAAAAAAAAAAAAAAAAAAAAAAAAAGAGATATGAAATTGAACAAGGATGATTGTTATTATTTTTTTGGTAATGTTTGCTAAGCAACAAGATTTCTTTCTCTCTTTTTTTAGTACAAGTGATTAATGAAATGTTTACACAAATATTCATTGAGTATTTGGAGTTTCAAACCTCTGATCACGTAAATAAAGGTGGAAGAGATTTCTTACTTTAGATCTTTTGTTTTGTACAACTAAAATATTAATTAAAAGAACGAGTTAACTTTTGTGTCGTGGAAGTATCTTTAGAAGCATTTTCTGAATCGTTATTTCTTTAAAAAAAAATGCCAATAGCAGCAAGATAAACTTTCCGCATGATGTATGACGTATTTGTTCACGCCTAGCAATGTAACATTGAAGAAACATTTTAAAATTAATAAAAAAATAAAAGTCCAAATTACATCTGCTTTGGGAATTTTGAATATTATAATTATCTTTTGACTAAATTACACTTTTGAGTTCATGTAGTATGTTTGCATTTTCAATTTCATCTCTATAGTTTAAAAAACCACATCTATACCTTATATTTCAATTTACGTTACATCTTTTTCGAGTGTCGGCAGCAGCGGCAAACCATCCCAATCGCAAGGTTTAAAATTGAAATTTCCACAAAATTCACACTCTATATAATTTTCATTTCCATTTTTTATTTTTTTTTTTTTTTTTTTTTTTTTTCCTTTTGTTTTATTTATAGCAATATTGGAGTTTAAATCTCACTTTGTGATCAGAAATAAACCGAATCTGAACTGGGATTAATCTCAACTTTCGAGTGTGGAGAAACCTTATGATATTTACCAAAAAAGAAAATGCGATAAATAAAGAATCATATTCATTCAGAACATTTTAAATAAAAAGATAAATATGTACAGATTATCTGAATTATAAAAAAAAGATAAAATGAAAACGAAAGAAAAGCTGGATAAATCAAGTTACATGTTACAAGAAAAGAAAAAAAAAAAAAAAAGATCCCCAAAAAAAAAAAAAAAAAAAAAAAAAAAAAAAGGCAAAGAAAATTCAAGCAGAGAAGAAGCCATTGGAGGCCTCAAGACCAATCTGGCTCTTGGGCTCCATAACCCACTTGACAAACTCCATCTTTTCTTGTCCAATCTTCTTGTGGAGGGAGTGAGCCATAACTGAAACGCAGGAAAACAAGTCAGTCTCCAGCTGATGATCTCCTAAAGCAGACCCAGCCTTCCTTGCATTCTTCACCCTCCTCTCATACTCTTCAGCTACCAAAATTGCAATATCTGCCATCTCTCTCTCTCTCTCTCTCTCTCTTCTGTAACTTGCTTTCAAAATGGTTTGCTTTCAAAGTGGTTTGCTTTCAAAATGGTTTTGCACAGACTGAATTTGATGGAGAAGGCGGTCATGTTGGGACAAATATTTATAGGAAGATGAGATGCAGAAGTGGCAGTTAAACAGATGAAGAAGTGGATAAGGATTAGAGGTAAGTGGGCTAATATTCCGACACCTTTATTTTATTTTATGTTATTTTATTTTTATAATGCGGGTGGCGTTGTTGGTTTGGTGGTTTTGAACATGGCTTTACTGGTTCTTCCCTGGTTTGGTTTCATGTGGACTTTTTATATATAGTATTTTTGCCATTGGGTTCCCACCCACAGGTACCTTTGTGTTGATTGTTTAATGGTAGAGCGCCTGTTGAAATAAAAGCTGAAAGTGAAAGGCGCCAACACTCTCACCTCTGGAGTGCCAACACCTGTCTCATATATTAATTTATCTACAACCGACTTCTTTCCAATTAAATTATGCAGAAGAATGAAAGTAAATTTTTAGGAAGTATCGAACGCATCATAAATATATATATATTATTAACGTCGTATTCGAAGAAGACAAGTACCACTAAACTAAAACCTAGTTGATTTTGAAAGTGGATTTATTGACCATTTGAGACAGAATAAATCCATTGCACCGAATATTCGGTGGATTTAGAAGGCATTGATTGAAAAATAATATGGATGTACTAAGAATCTAGCCCAACTATTGAAAGATAAAACAAGCCTAAAACCATAGGTTAAGGAAACCACACCTCGAACCTTCCTATGTCGGTCTTTTGATTCTTCTTTTTTCCGTTTCCCTCTTTGGTCAATCTGCTTTGTATTTTTCTTTCGGCTTGCTTTCTATTTTTCAGTATTTTCCTAGAGGTTACGGTAAGTTATCTGTATTAGGCTGTTCAGTTATTTAGGCGATGTGTTTTCAGTACTCAAATGCGCGCATATTATACTCAAATGTGTGCATATTATTTCGAGGGCTTAATTATAGCAATGGGCTCGGAGTTGTATTTTGGTCTTCGAATTCAAATATTAGCTCATGTAGCGCTCAAATTAAGTCTAGCATTGCACGGTTGGTGACAACGGGGTTTGTGTAAGTTTTTCGTGAGTTTTTGTAAGGGTTTGTAGGGTTTCAAAGATCGAGTACCAATTTAAAATCACCCCAAAGTTTAGGGTGTTTAATGTAGTTAACCCTTTTTTTCTCTCTTGAACAGACTTATGCACCATATACCATCTGTTAGGCTAAGTCCTGATAATGATAATAATTAAATGAATATAAAAAGATTATATTGAAGCACATATAAAGACCAACCTTATCTTTGCCCCCTCATTTGTTTGATTAGAGAAATCATACTGTCATACAATAGCTATACACGTCAGACTTCTTATTGATGTTGCTTTCCCAACAAAAAAAAATAATACAAATACAAAGATAGCAGAAACGGTGTTATGTTTACTACCAAGGGAATATTCAGTCATTCCCCAAAACTAAGAAATGCAAAAGAGTTGTCTAGTAGCAATTTATGGATTGAAAGCATCATTGATATACATGTTAGTTATTTGATATATCCTATTCTTGATTTCTTACACTAATAGAGAGAGGGGGAGAGAGAGAGAGGCAACACTTTTTCACAAATTCACGTACAAAATTTTACAAATATAACTCAACCAGGAAGAAATGACTTTGGGATATTTCCAGAAACCATATACTCATTTTAGATTAAAGCGAATGAGACTCAGAAGACCATAGCAAAGACTGACCCCACCAAATAGAAGGGCAGTCCATCTCAATATCATGTTATTTTGGTGAAAAGTAAGAATACCCCTTCAAATCTATAGCAGGCCAAGCGTTTTCAGCTGCTGAATATGCTCAGGTGGGAGAAGTGGTGGAGACCAATCACATCCAGTCATCTCACCATCAACATCCTCGACAACATATTCCTACGAGTAAATAAATTTTCAAATAAATATCTGGTAACATATGCAGTAATGACATGATCCAGAAGTGTTAAAACATCCAGAAATGATAAATTGTTGATCTAGTGTATGCAAAAATCTGTTTAGCCATTCAGTACGGACTTCAGTAAACCCACTAATTCGTCAGAAACAACTCACAGATCCAAGTTAAGTAGAGGACATAAGATCCTGAAGTTAAATGTTTGGGAGTTTCACTAAAACACCCAAAATGGGGGTTGAAATTATAAAAAAACCCAAGCACTATTTAAACATATAAACACACCCAAAACCCATCATTACATACACTCAAAACCCATTTATAAACACACCCAAAAAGTTGACTTTAGGGTTAATTTTGGGTGTATTTCTATGTTTAAATAGTGCTTGGGTTTTTTTATAAATACATGTCTAGAATTGGGTTTATTTATAAATTTGTATAAATGTTTCTTGTTCCGTAAATGGGACAAGAAGACATGATTAACATCTTATAATACAATGGAGGGGCCTTGGAAACGCATCTTAATCCAATGGAGGGAACAAGAAGACAAAATGTTTTCTTTTTGTGGCCATCTTGGCCGCCACTGTATTTTATTGTTATAAGCAATAAAATTTTGTTTCTTTTTCAAAAAACGAAAAAGAAAAAAAATGCATGTCAGTTGGTAAAGAAAGGACAGCCTCATAGAAGCAGGTAGATTCAAAGTTTAATCATCTTTCGCTTTAGAGAATACATCTTTAACTAAACTATTTCTCATCAATCACATGTTTGATCATGTATGCTTAGTCTGCAAGAGGTGTCCCCTCTACTGAATTCGGCTACAATTTAGGCCCTAGTAGTTAGGACAAAACTTTGTTCAGTTGTTGAGCTTCACTTGTTGACTTAGTGCTCGATAAAATGGTAATTTATAGTGTTGCAGCGTGCAGACAATATAAAAGCATGGCAAAAAAATATTTAATTAAAAAAAAATGATAGAAGATGTCCCTAACTCACTTTTGTCAGCATCCTTTTTGCAAGTATATGGTAATGCCGCTGCCAAATCCGTTGTCCAACCATTGTAGCTACCAGCACACTGTAGAATATGCCAATCACTGTAAAAAGTCCCAGCACAATCAGAGCCATTATAAATAGTATTGGCAGCCCTGCTTCACCAGCACCTCCCAAGCAACCGCATTCACCTGCCATACTTGCACAGCTACCCCAGCACGTGGTACAGTCAGTCCACATACAAAGTGTGCCTGGTAAATGACAGTCTGCGCAGACACTGCAGGAATTGTGTAAAAATGAATGACCTTGTAAACACTGATTTCATTAATACACCCTCATTGTCATACGAACCAATGAATGGACATTATCTCCTGCTAAGCAGATAAATGGAGCGGATGGATGTAGCACAAACTATTAAGTATTTGGGTTGTGGTAGATAATACAACATCCAACTCTTCAGGCAGTTAACCAAAAAAACAAAACAAAGAAACAAACACAAGACTTAAGTTCATGTCATCAGGTGTCAACTCACATTTCCAAACTTCCAGAGAGTTCATATTAATAATAATATAGTATTAATAATAATATAGTATTGAGCAGTAATTAAATATTTAATGCATCATGTTGTGCATGAACCAAACTCACCTCCACAATAAGATTTTGAGCACAAAGGAAGAAAGTTGGAAAACGTAATTAATTAAAAAAGTGAATACCTAATACATCATTTGAATCATGATGATTACAAGTAGAAAGTTTGGTCTAAGATAATATGTATGAACCCTATCTGCAGTAAATAGCAAGCCAACAGAAAGTGGTACTACCATGATTTTTTATGAAAAAATATGCAAAATAACCATATTAGTATACCGTTGAATATGTCAGGAAAACACATTTCCTGATCTGCCAATGAAGCAGTTAAATGATAAAAGGTAACGGATATGCTTTTGGTCTTAAGAATGCTGGTTTTAATAATGAGTGATTGCCCTTCTCCGACCCTTACTGCCAACCTGAAAGCGGACAGCTAATGCAGTCCACTTATTGAACAGGGTTCTATGGTGCGAAAATTGTCAAATAAAATTTAATAAGCTTGACAGAAATAGATAACAAAAAATGTCACAAAATAACACAGTGCTGAATGGACATTCATGCAAATCAGAACCTATCAAATTGTTTTGGCCTCTCAAAGATAAAGGTTGTTGAAAAAATTTCTTCCAAGAGTGCCTTTGGTTTTAATTCGGTGCTATCAATCTATAGGTCTATATCGTAGAAACACTCCCTTGTAAATATACAGGATTAATTAATCCATTCCATTTAGAGGTGATAATATGATGATCAGGTAAACAGTCAGAAGAATCAAATCATGTGTAGACATGTGTAACAACTAGGTCAAAGATTTCCAAATGTAGACTTATACCCAGGCTGACAGCAACAAAGGCATAATTCTCGACAAGGCTGAGCCAAATCATTGCGCACTCTTCGGTCATAACAAGTAATGAAGCACCCAGACAACCCAAGCAAAGCGAAAAACAACAGAGCTCCTGTATTCAACAATAGAAGTACGTAAATTACCAAAACCGAAAAAGCAAAGATGTATTACTGCAGAGAACAAAGGAGCAAGCATGTGCCCTAACATTAGAGTAAATTTATATTACAAAGTTTTCATCAACTAATTCCCAAGCAAAAAAACTGAAAATTTATAACAAGCAGCTACAGCCAAGATTTCATCATTGTCAAAGGAAACATAAATTTTCTTGATTTTCAACCATAAGAAATAAAAAGATCTCCACCAGCAACCACTTAAAACAAGGTACTACTTGTACTCAAAGTTAGCAATGACACTCCACCCAAAGAAATTTCTACTACAAGAAGACGAGAGTTTCCACAAGAAAACAGAGTAAAATGTAAAAATAATATACATAACGCATACAACAAGTTGTAAGAGATAAATACAAATCATTAAAGAAAAATTTATCTAATTATACAAAATTGTAACTATCTTCAAAATGTTGTTATTTTGTGCAAAATAATAAAGTGCCAATGTGATTATCTAACAACATGGTGTTCATCATGATCTTCCATAACAAATCTGTAACCCAGTCTGATGTAGTACAGCCCGTAGGTATTAGATTAAGCACTCAAACAATAGAATAGAGAAGAATATAAGAGACCAAGGAGAAGAAATAGAGATCGAAAAGACGAGATAAAGGACAGAAACAGTAGAAGAAAGAAGAATATCGGAGATCGAGGAGAAGAAATATAGATCGAAGGGACGAAATCAGAGAGTTCTAGGAAAAGGTTTACTCAACATTCAAATCTGAATTTTAAAGAACTACATGGGGGTATTTATAGCAAACTAAAACCTAGACAAAATAGGATAAAAATCCCTTGCTTAAACCGAAATCATAACCCAAATAAAATAGGAAACTTAAAACTAGAAATCTGGAAATCTGGAAAAGTAAAAATCCTACTAGAATTTGGAAAACTAGAGAATCTAGGAAACTAACAAATACATTAGGAAACTAATAAATTTAGGTCCTATGCGTCCTGCATCATTCTCCTCCGCCGAAAAGAACTTGACTCCGACGAGTAAACAGGGACAAAATCGAAATCCCAAGGAAATGTGAAGAGGCATGTGGCGTTCTGTAGTTCTTCAAGATCAGCATCATATTTGCCACCTTGAAACCAGCCGTTCCGCATGCATGGAACATTAGTCCTTGAAAGAATGGCAAATAGAGAACAACATTTTGTCCTTTATTCTTCTTTCTTCTACTGTTTCTGTCCTTTATCTCGTCTTTTCAATCTCTATTTCTTCTCCTTGGTCTCTTATATTCTTCTCTATTCTATTGTTTGAGTGCTTAATCTAATACCTACAGGCTGCACTACATCACAGTCACACCATGCAGGTCACCTCCCTCTCTGATTTTTTACCGTTTTATTCTTTGGGGTAAAGGATTATCTGGTTTCAACATAGCTACAGAAAGTATTACTAGACTGTATTTCCACATCCTTATTATATATTTCCTAAACTTTGACCGTCGTAAACTGCTTCTTTAATTTCAGAAAGGTGACAAACACAAACTTATTTCATAAACAGTCGACCATGATAAGATCATGACTTTGGCGAAACCACCTTATCAGAATTTTGAAAACATAAAAGCGAGTGAAACAAACCCATGTGCTCGCTTGGGAACTAAAAATATTCACCACTTCCATACATAAATGGCAATTCTTTCAATCAGCATCCTTCAACACATAAAAACAATAAGTTCCAAAGAATCCAGCTGGTTAATTTTTAAAAGCCATATCCAGTCTCCATTTTTTCCACCTCCTATTTTACTGATCAATTAGACATCTTAAAATGTAATGATCTTATTTCCAAACTTATCTAATATGACCAGTCCTTGATCAGTGTTTAAATACCCAAACAGGACCCACTGATTCTATGGCCCTCACTGGTCTAATACTGGTAGCAATACTGTAGTGGGCCATGAGGTCCAAAAGTTCTTATAAAAATTGAACCACGACCTCGCTAACAGGTATGTTAGAACCCAGGACCACAAAGTGGTAGCAATACAGAGGTCCCTGCCATGGCAATTAAGGATAGAGTTGAAAACAAAAAAAAAATTTGATACATTTATACCCTCCTGAAAACATGATGTAAGGATACATACATGCATATACAGACCAATATATATTCTTTATTCTTCTTATTCTTTCTCTTTTCTAACTAGCTTACTTGCTTACTCGGTTTTTTTTTATCCTTCTCTTTTACTGTGTTTGGATGCATATTCTCATTCACATGCTGACTCAATAGCATGTTACTAAATCTTCATATTTTTTAATTTTGACTATGTCATTTTCAATTTAATTTTTAATTAAATAAGGACATGAAAATGAACCAAAGATGTTTTAAAAGTGTAAAATAAGTGTATTAATGCAATCAAATCTAAATATCTAACAGTATCTTAGAAGTGTGATCTTCCTGTTTTTCTTTTGCTGGACAATCTGATGAACATAAGAATCTCAAAAACCTTTATCACAATCACAGTGATAAAGTTCTGAGCAGACATCGGTCACCAAACAGAGGGAATTCGGGCTAAGATGCCATGCATATAATACCACAACAAATATATGGTAACCAACACGGGCGACAAGACACACGTATAACAACATTGAATACTATTTATTTTTCTAGTACAAGCATTCAGATAAGAACTTGAGGTTTTACCAGATATATAGTAGAAACTAAGCTCACTGTCAAAACCCCATGCAAGACGAAGCCAGAATTGCTGGAAACCATCTATTAGATACACCAAATATGCCAATGAAGCAATCACCTGCATAAATTAATAGAAATGTTTCAAAATGCACATCCAATGCCAGCTATCAAAGTGAAGAAAGCAACTAAAGTAAATTACTAATGACCTACAAGCTGAACAGCCAGAAATATAAAAATAATGTCTCTAGTGACAAAGAATCGGAATTTCAAGGTTCGCCATTTTCTATCAGCAATAACATGAACTCTCAAATGGTAAGGAGCCTTGCAGGTTGTGCAATGAGCAAATGCAAACCCTTCCTGAAAAAATTAAAGCAAGATAGTCAGATACAGATGGGAAACCACTAACGAGCAGCAAAACCTGAACATGTGTATATATGCTGTTAGTTTGTCTTAATCAGCTAAATCCTACACCTTATTCAAAGACCATTAAAAGCCCATTTCTGAGTTCTCCAAAGATGACCTTACTGCAATACACTAAAAGTCTAAAACTTAGTGAATTAGTCGTGTAACAAGGAAAGAAAAACTAATTTGCTACCTGTTCCTACACCTGCGAGACACACTGTTGTAAATATCCTCTTAACACAACAGGAGATAAACGAATCATGACATTGCAACCCATCAATATGTCGATTCCATTTCATTACGCTAGAGACATTGGTGTTGAAGGAACTTCACTTCAATAAACTTCATTTCATATTTTAACTGCAACAAGCACATTTTAATGTGCATAAATGACACATCATTCTAGATTCCTAATAGCAACTATGTGCATTCAGATTTTTTTATAATTTACAGAGAAAATTTTTTTCTTTTCTTTTTGTAAAAGAAACAAATGCACAGACACGATTCTCTCTCTGTCTCTCTCAATAAATTCAAATTACACCCATGCTATAAGTTCAAACATAAGGACATCACCTTAGAATCAAGGGGATGGTTAGATGACAGCGAACACAGGATCTCAGAATCACTCTGTCTCTCTCAATAAATTCAAATTACACCAATACTAGAAGTTCAAAGACAAGGACAGTGTCCCAGAATCAAAAGGGATAGTTAGATGACAGCTAAAAGTGGGTTTCAGTGAATTCCAGAACATCCCATGCACCATGGCTTTGTTTAGTAATAACAGCAAGAAGCAATCAGAAACGATATAGTAGATGGATGGGATCACTAAGCTTGCATGCCAAACTATAATAGTATACATTACTAATTTTGGAAAAGAAAAAGAAGCAAAAATATAGATGGCAACCAAACCTTTACAGCTCTCCAATGATCCAAACATTCCCGGTGAACATACTTTGAAGTCCCTTTGCATTTGCAAGGAGCAATGAAGTCCCTACCTGAGTGAAAAATAGAAAGCAAAAAACCCACTGATAAGCTACATTACTTTACTCAACACTTAGCATTTAAAAGGAACAAAATAAGTACAACTTTACACCTTTACCCTAAAATTAACAATAAATTTTAACTATGTACATGAACCATCACTCTGAAAAGCGTTCTGCAACATTGCCATTTGCAAGACTAATTGGTTAGTTGACTTGAAAAGAGAAATGACAATTTTCCAAAATCCAAGCCAACAGAAATACATGAACTCAAATTTACAAATTCTACACTCCTCCTTAATCTTTTTATCAGACACCAAACACCCAATTGAGCGAATTGTCAAAACCTAATAAAACATAAGTAAATTGGATGAGACATACCATCACTTTCAAGGCAAATTCGGCATTGGATTTGTTCACCAGGGCCCGCTTCCAGGTCGATCTCGCTGGGCTCGGCGACCGGCGCCGGAGCGATGAGAGGCGAAGCGTCTGAGTGATCCACCATTGAATTACGGGCGAGTGAACCAAACAGTGAAATTGCTCAAGGGTTTAGATTTAGAGAAATGGGACTTTTAATTTCGAATGATTGCATTAAGCAAAAAACCTAATTCCCCCAATTCTACCTCTGTTACTCGTTTGTTGAATGGTCTTATGACAACTGGGGGAAACAAAAAGAAAAGAGCAGAAGCAAAAAGTCTCTGTCTGTGAATGGTGGTCCTAGTTTGGTGCGCTTCCTAAAAATGACCATTGCTTTCTTCTTCTTCTTTAATTTTTAATTTTTTTATTTTGAAGGAGGGTTCATCATTTGGTCCACCGTGCACTCGGGTCAAAGTGAGTAGCCCGAAGCTCGACAGGCCAAAGTCTAATGAGTGCTTCTATAGTGAGTGGAAAGTTATAAGGGGTTTTTTTGAGGGGTATGTAAGAGCCGTTGGATTTCATCCAACGGTGAGTTTTTAAAAGAGGGTGCATGTAGAACCGGGTTGAAATCTGACCCGTTTGGAGACCCAACTTCAGCTGAAGATTTTTCCCTCTCTGTGAAAAACTCAAGAACACAATCCTCTCTTTTTTAATGTAATGCAAATCCACAATTAGAAAGATCCAAAGCTCCCAAACTCTATAATCGCTCCATTGTCATCAGCTCCTTGGGAGGCCTGCGATCTATGGTATCCTCGGTATGATGATTAATGGCTTTTACCTAGCTATTGCCCTGTTTTGATTCTATGATTGAAGTGAAAACCCCTTCTCTTTTTCGTTCAGCAGAAGAGATTCCAGATGAAAGCAAAGTAGCATATCTCTTTTTCGTGCTGCTGCAGTTGTTCCTGGATTTTGGTAGAGATGGAGTCTCCACTACGAAAGAATCCTCTCTAATGTCCACCACATTCTTTGAAGCTGACTGAGTTCGGAGCTCCCGATTGACTTTGAGAGGTAAGTTCACTCTTGCTGGATTGATTTTGTTGGGTTTGATTTGTTTTTTGTGAGGGTGAGAAATTTGTCATTTGTGGCATCAATAATGCGTCATTTGCTCTGCTATCAATAATGCGTCATTTGACTTTGAGAGGTAAGTTCACTCTTGCTGGATTGATTTTGCTGGGTTTGATTTGTTTTTTGTGAGGGTGAGAAATTTGTCATTTGTGGCATCAATAATGCGTCATTTGCTCTGCTATCAATAATGCGTCATTTCCTTATGAATATTCAATATACTTAGTTGATTATTTTTGTTTGGAGGGGGGTTGGAAAATTATGAAATGTAGGTAAAAGATCCTAAACTTAGGCTTAATGGCATTAGAAGTAAGCATTTGGAGAGGATATTGGGTGAAGTTCTGTAATTGCTGGTTTGAATTACATTTGAGTTCTTAGTTGAACATGTTGGTTCTAATGTTATTTTTTCCAGATTATTTCACAAGAGATGACGTAACTAGTATTAAATTTTGCTTGTGTTTTGTGTAATCAGAATCCAACAAGCTAGGCTATGCGTGTATTGTGTCAATTTGGGCAATGTTTTGTGTAAGTGGAATGCATTGCTAAGTTGTGATGCAGTAATGATTGATTAATGAATTAACATTTGCTATGCAGTAATATAGAAGTAGATCAATAATATACGTGGATAAAATGTCTGGGGGCTCAGAGAGTGACGACTCTGTAACAGCTAATGGGAGGGTTTACATTCCTGAAGTAAGAAATGAGGAAACACCAGCAGTTGGGATGAAGTTCGACTCGCTTGACCTCGTTTATAATTTCTATAATAGATATGCATTCTTGGCTGGCTTTGGTATTCGACTTCATTCCAGCTTTTGGGGGAAAAATAAGAAAGAGATTCTGAGAAAAGAATTTGTATGTTGCAAACAAGGTGCATACCGGAATGATGAAACTCGGGAGAGAAAAAGACAACGGGGAATAAGTAGATGCAATTGCAAAGCTAAGATTGTGGTTGTGAAGACACATGGGAGCAAGAAGTATACCATCTCTCTTTTTGCAGAGGGACACAATCATAAGATGACACCCTCAGGAAGAATGCATTTACTGAGATCACACCGTCGTATTTCAGATTCTACAAAAGTACTTACAAAACAGTTGGGTTCGGTTAATATTCCCATTAATCAGAAGGTAAGTATTTTCGAGGTGCAATCCGGAGGAATGGATAAAATCGGTTTTATGAAAAAGGATATGTACAATCTTGAATGTAGTGTGAATGAGAAGCTGAGGAACCACGATGTTGAACTAGTGACCGAGTATTTTATGGCTGAACAGAAAAAAAATGAGGCTTTTTATTTCAAGATTGAGGGAGATGGCGATAACAGGTTTAGTCGATGTTTTTGGGCAGATGCAACTTCTAGACGGGCGTACGGGTTTTATGGAGATGTTGTTGTATTCGATACCACATTCAACACGAATAGATACGACTTGACATTTGCACCAATGTTGGGAGTTAATAACCATGGTCAAACAATTGTCCTAGCATGCGCATTTTTGAGCAAGGAAACGACTGAGTCGTTTATTTGGATGTTTGAGGAGTTTAAGAAAGCCATGCCAGGTGGCGAACCTAAAACGATCATCACAGATCAAGATGCGGCAATGAGCAGAGCGATTTCAATAGCCTTCCCGACTACATTTCATCGACTTTGCATATGGCACATCACATCAAAGTTCTCTGTTAAGTTACCACATTCTGCTTATAAGGAGTATTGGGGTGAATTCCAGAAAGCCATATGGGATACTGACAATAAGGATGAGTTTGATGCAAAATGGAATTGTGGTTACAAAGGCTGGTTTGACTGACCATCCATGGCTAAGTTCAATGTTTGATTTAAGGGAATCTTGGGTTCCAGCCTACGCACGACACTTTTTTGCCGCTGGAATGTCAAGCAGCCAAAGAGCGAATGTTCTCATGGTTTCTTCAAGCAATACATATCAAGGAAAAATTCGTTGATGGATTTCATAATAAGATTTGAGAGGGCACTTTCTCATCAACGTCAAAAAGAGTTAGTTGCTGATCACGTAGATGCATTTGAAGTGGCTCAATGTATTCTACCGATGCCAATGAACAAACAAATGGCTACCTTGTACACAAGGACAATGTTTCAAAAGTTTGAGCAAGAACTAATACAAAGTACAGCATGTTTCCTAGAGCTGAAAACAGAGGATGCTTCTAAAGTTGTCTTTAATGTGAGCGAAAGGAAAAATTGGGAAACAAGAGTGGCAGAAGTCGTATATGTCAAAGATTCTGACCACGCATCGTGTAGCTGCAAAAGATTTGAATTTGTTGGAATTATTTGCAAGCACATCCTAGCATTGTTCAGAAGGGACCAGATTGAATATATGCCCGATAAATACATTTTGAAGAGGTGGAAGAAAACTGCGAAATTTGGATTGGTGTCAGATGCAAATGGCAACGAAATTAAAGACTCTGCAGATCCTGGTCTTTTAATAAAGCGGAGTACAATGTCCCGACTTGCTTCAGATGTGGTTGAGGATGCATTAATGTGTGAAGAAGGATGTGAGCTACTGTCAGAGACTCTAAAAAGTTTGCAGGTGAAGTTGAAGTTGTTGAAGGATGGACCAAGTAATAACGAAGTTGGAGGGTCCAGCTCTCAAACACAATATATGAAAGACCCTAAGAGAGTAAGGTGCAATGGAGGGTCGAAACGAGTAACGGGAGCAAAGGAAAAGGCAATGAAGCGAGGGATTAGACACTGTCGGGAGTGTGGACACATTGGTCATGATAGAAGACAATGCCCAAGAAATTTGAACACACCGTAAGATGTTAACACTATTTATAATAAGACCTAAAATTTGAATAGGTAAAGTTCTTATGTGCTTCTGTTTGATGTTTATGCAGGACATCACCGTCGAACAATGACGAATCAACTCCAATAGATCTTAGTGACCCATTATTTGACGAATTTTACAGGATGCACGGACCAACTCAATGATTTAGGTTTCTATTATACGAAGCCCGGTTATTATGAAGACTAATGATCAGGTGAAGTTTTCTAGATGCAGTTTTATTATTATTATTTTTTGTTCATGTCCACCGATGAGCTCTGACTATGTCCATTGATAATTGAAATGAAAATTTGCTTGGTTTCATTCTTGCATGAAATTTGGACACATGTTAATTTTACGTCTTCTCCCTATTTAGAAATTTTCATAGACATTAGATAAAGCATCAAATTTTGATTTATGTGAACAAGCAATGACTTTTACCTTGTAAAATGGGTAGTTTATGGTGAATTATGTTTGAATAGAGATTTATTGATTATATGACAGGCTAATGCAGCATTTCCAGCAGCCAGCTATTGTTTCCATTACCAGTAATGATTTCCAGCAGCACGCATCATTTGTAGCAGCACCCACTTTTTGCGAATGTTATGTTCTAGTGTTTTACTGGTGATTAAGATCTGAGCTGGACTGGTTTATTAGGTGCACGATTTTGCAAACATTCGTAGCTGAAGGATACTTGAAGCACTTTGTTGGAACAGAAAGATTAGAAAGCAACGTGTAAAAAAGTACATTGCAGCTAATCACATTTCGAATGGTTGGGTAATATTAAAGGGTACACTAACATTTGAACTACTCATAATTCCACACACAAAAGAAAATTTGATTGCAAAGCATTTTATGTGCTCCCTCTTAGCAATACCACGATCTCCCCAATAAACTGAACAACGGTAGCCACAATCACTAGGTCGTATTGGTCAGCTTCTTCTTAGCAGGTCTCACGTGCTTATGGTCACTCATGTCCCCAGTGATTTAGACAAAATAAATATTCAGCAATATTTGGAATTTTATTATATATACATAAACCATAAACCATTCACTACACAATGTATAGCACATGGCATTTTACTTATGACTCACGTGTCATGATAATGGGGCTTTACTGATTACCCAGTGTGTGTGATATTGACTGCTTATTGAATAATATTTCCATAGTTGCAAAATATAATGTTAGACAGAAGGAACACATGATGACTTGCAAGACATAGTCCCAATAATTATATATGAAGCAAATGAAACTGATATTTGTATTATTTTATATTAGATAATGACATTAAGGGAATATAGTTCTAATTTGTGCAATACCACGATCACCCCCAACCAACAGAAACAGCTGTAGCCGCAATCACTTAGTCGTATCGGTCGGCTTCTTCCGAGCAGCTTTGACGTGCTTATGCTCATTCATGTCACCACCATCGTCTAGTATCTCTCTCACAGCATCAGGGGACACATAGTCCCAATTATAACTTGTATGAGTAGTTGCCGCGAATGCTCGGAATTTTTCGAATCCTTCGTTGAATGCCAACTCCAGTTCACTGTGGTGCTCTTCGCATCGCATATGGTTCATCAAACAACCTTTAATTTCATCATTCATTACTGCATCCAACTCCTCAGCTTTCAGCTTCCTTTTATGACTCAGCTTCAAGTACTTGTTCTTTTGGGAGAACGCTTTGTTCACTCTAATGTTAAGATCAGCCAAAATGGCCTCGTCTTCAACACATTTCTCGTGCCATGAATTGATCAGTCTGGAATTATAATCCAGCTTGGTACTGACTGCATCTATTGCCTCTAATGGATCATCGGAGTCCCCCTCACTCCCAAATGATGTTGAAAATGGAAAGGGGTCGGCGAGTACAACGTGGAAACGGAACCTGCGACTCCAATTTTTCATCTTCGATTGTGTTGTTGGCGCCTAAAGAGGTTGACATACTTGAATAATCCTATTTGTTTTGGAGGATGAGGATTGCAGATGCAATTTCGTTTGAGAAATGGAACATAGCTTTATAGACCAACATACCAAAGCTTGCGTGTAGTCAACATATCTACTTTATTTCAATTTTAAAAAAACAGGTGTCAGGTTTTGCTTTTCAAGCATGTCAACCTCACACTCTCCTTACACCACTGTTAGTGGTTGAAAGAAACTCAATGGAAGTGACATCTAGTTAGTGAACCCAACCAAACTAAACAAACTAGTTAGGATTAAACTTAGCTTGTATGAGACCTTTTTTCATTTATACATTGTCAACCAAATGTTTTTTTTTGGCGGGAACCCTTTTTTATTGGTATTACTATCACCCCCTTCATAAAAATTCTCCCTCCACAAAAAACTCACTCCTCCACCGAATGTGTCTCCATCTACTGAAACTCTCTCCTCCACAGAAACTCTCTCCCCCCATTGAATGGATTTACTAACCAAGTTTGATGTGAGCGTAATAAACACCCCTCCAAACAAAGACCGCCTTCGAAACGCAAGTGAGTCACCAGACAAGCAATGTCACTTTCCTAGACAGAATGACCATTTTGTTGGAAGTTTTGAGTCTGAAAGAGTTCTTGCTTTCTGGAAGGAGAGGCATCTTCAACTTGGTGATGAAATCCAAAGGGCAAGGGTACGTTTGGAATTTGTTGAAGGCCAAATTGAAGATGACAAAAGGCAGGCCAATCTGGATAGGGCGAAGTTGCAGCGCTTGAAGCGTAGACACAAACGACTTCGGAGTGTAGCTGTTTCAAAAATACAAGAACTCATCTAATGCAAAGGAGTCAAAGAAGCGTGTGATGCAAGCTGGATTCGACTACTTCCGGTCCTATGCAAAACTCGTCGTACCCGGGTTTGATTGGTCATCTATTACCGTTTCCGACGTTAACAAATATACTCAGCAAAGGAAGTGACCATTTTGGTTATCGTGTTTGAGTAGAGGCAAATCAGAGGAACTGGAATTTTCGTTAAAGCTCTGCTTCAAACCTATTTTGATGCTTACTACTATAGAAGATTTCAACCTTCATATTTTCATGTCTTTAATTACGATAACACGATGCAAAGTGCCCATCTACTTCAGTCATATGTTGCTGCCATGTCCATTTTTTTGTGATCACGTATCAGATTTGGACATGGTTGCATCATATGCAATGTTGCCTTTATGTATTATATGTTAGGGTAAGGTTTATGGAAAAGCATGTGTGACTGGTTTTGTGACAAGGTTATGGCATTATTTTGTACCAGTTATATATTGTTTTTTGTACTGGTTCATCTCCTACTATTGCTTTATTTCTTTATATTATATGTTTATGCGATTGGACATGATAGAAAATATATTACGGATTCCCAATGCGGCGTCATAAGGACAACTTATTGAATACCGCCGACGTGTTGAAAACTCTAGGTGCAGGTGCATATGGACAACTTATTGACTATCTCTGACGTCTTCAAAGCTCTAGGCGCATGCGCAGTTCCAATTATGGCTTCCAAGTAGTGGTGCATTTATTATATATGTACATTATTATAACCAAAACAGATAATTTTACATCCTTATATATGAAAGGAAACTAATTCTTGTATTAGTACAAATTATATAACGAATATTAAGGAAATATACTTGTTAAAGTGAACAACATATATACTTAGGGTTAAGAGGAAAGTGAGTTATGTAAATCATTTTTGAATTTTTAATTGCGAAATGGATGATCTATGGGTTCCCCTCGTTTTATAACGTCACACGGAGGCCGGAGTATTTTTCGGGGCATTTTTAGGATTTTTCTACTATTTATTGCATTTTTTCAAAGATTTTTGCACTAAAAAAGCCAAAATAATTGCCAAATGGACACCTGGCGCGATCTCAGCCCCCTCACCTTTCACCCCTTGACAGTGTGCGTCAGTCAACATGGCCACATCCTTACCTTTTACCCTAAATTATTATTTTATGACTTTTTCTTAGAAAATTCATAACTAAATACACAAAAATCAGAAAAATGATCCGAAAATTGCTACGACCTCATTGACACTCCATCTCCCTTGCTGAATTCCCCGATTAGTGGTTACGCATTTTAAAAAACAATTCCGAACATTAACGGGAGATGCTTGTTGAAGTAGGTTATTGAAGTTAAAGTGAACAACATATATACTTAGGGTTAAGAGGAAAGTGAGTTATGTAAATCATTTTTGAATTTTTAATTGCGAAATGGATGATCTATGGGTTCCCCTCGTTTTATAACGTCACACGGAGGCCGGAGTATTTTTCGGGGCATTTTTAGGATTTTTCTACTATTTATTGCATTTTTTCAAAGATTTTTGCACTAAAAAAAGCCAAAATAATTGCCACATGGACACCTGGCGCGATCTCAGCCCCTCACCTTTCACCCCTTGACAAGTGTGCGTCAGTCAACATGGCCACATCCTTACCTTTTACCCTAAATTATTATTTTATGACTTTTTCTTAGAAAATTCATAACTAAATACACAAAAATCACAATAATGTTCCGAAAATTGCTACGACCTCATTGAGACTTCATCTTCCTCCTGAATTCCCTGTTTCATGGTTACGCTACATTAGTATTTTATTATTATTTATCCAAAATTATTTTTATTATTATTGTTATATTACTTGTTAGCTTGTACATTTGTTAATTATATTTACTCCAAATTTTTATTTTATTTTTATTTTCCGTGTGAATAGACCATTTCTGGTGCTAATCAGTTTCTCTCTTCTTCAATTTGTTAATGTTTTTTCTTTTTTAGGTGTAAGGGTGTTTTCAAACATAAAATGGAAATATACAAGCCATCCATTCTACAACATCAGGAAATAATTATTCAAAGTCTTTCACTGTTCAAGTTTTGCTTAAGAAACGTGTAACCCAATCATTTGGGATATGCTAAGTGGGAAAATGTCATTCCCAAGAACCGGTGAAAAGACACATACTCACTTCATGCATGCGTTTTCGTTTACCAAATATTAAGATTGCAGTTGTGCAAAATATCTGTGTCAGTAAAATGTCATTCGTAACCGTCAATTATGTCAGTAATAATTCCACTATATAACAAATATTATACATTTATATATAAAACGGTCTAGGACAGCACAAACACCAGACAAAATAGATTAAAACATGAAATAGAAAACAACATGTGTAGAACATAGACACGCATAAAAACCATAGAAACATACTCCAACTAATTATAAGGGTATGGATTCCCTGGCACAACATACACACGCATCACCTTGAACCAAAAAACACTCTCACGGTGCCATTTGCATCGATTGCAACAAGTCCAGAAGGCAGGATTGATCTTTTCTTCACTAGGCCAGCCTGGAATAACAAAACACCAGTCGTTGTTGTTACAAGCGCTGCACTGATTGAACTTAATCTTCCCATAGTGAAAACATATCTACGATATGTCTTCCAACAGAGAAAATTCCGCTTAATCGTCGTCTCAAAGCATCCCTGGTTCCTTTCATATCAATGTTGTTACGTTGATTCAAAGAACACAAGAATTCCAATGCATCCTCTTTTGACTGACCAATTCCGGACATGCCAAGTAGTCCAACTAGATATGACGCTTCCATATGGCCTGCCGTGGCTGCAACGCGCATCCCAGACAATGCTTCCACATTACCCTGCCTGAAAAACATGTCGAACGCTTCTCTAAATATCGCCTCAGGGTTCTGGCAAGCCCTGCATTGGTCCACGAAATGCCGGACCTGCGTTGCGGCATAGTACCAGTTAGGATGGTCTCGGTACTTTTCCATTGAAATTGTGTTCCACACTTGTGGAGTGTTTGCCAACGTATTGAACAATCGGGCACACACATGCCATACGAAAGAGATCTTCCGAGGATTGGGTTGCCACGTATAACATCACTTTAAACCAAGCTAATTCCGGGATGAAGGCTTGAGGCACATCCAGATCGCGATGCTTCCTTCTCTTTCCTCCGACTGTAGTGTAATGTTTGGAATTCATTGAAATATTTTTGGAATGGAACGATTTGAGGACTGCAAGAGGGGAGAAATGAGAATATACGGGGTTTTGGGTTTGTTTTAGCCTCTGGTTTGCACTGTTCTGAAAAGGTGTTTCCTTGGGGTTTTTACCAAGTTGACACTTTTTAAAGAAACTGAACTCAACACCCAAAACATAAGACAGGCGAAGGGAAAACGTCATCAAAATGCAAAGGGAGTCAGACCGTCCAAAAGTCAATTAATAACCTATTTCCATAGCCATTGTTAGGCTTTTCCCGCCATTAAATTCATTGATACAAATGTGATGGATTACTGACTAGTGACAGAAGGTCCCATCAGATACTTTTTCATTTTCCCACACCACACTACCCCTATTAAATGACGGATTCTTATCCAACTAGTTGCCTTAATGCAATATAAAGAAAATAATATATTTAAAGCAGTGTCCCCTCAATTGTAAGATTAATTTGTTTGTGAAATAGTATATCGCTTATCGGAGTAAAATGTGTCACAATTCTGACGGTACAGGTGTCCAGATCGTGACCAACCCACCCACACACAGAAAAGAAGGATATAATTCGATTTGGGCAGAGATGAGAGAGAGCTGAGTGAGAAGTTTAGGGTTATGACTTATGAGTGAAGGGGTATAACTCAGAAGGTATGAGTCCGAAGAGGTTTTAGTGAGAAGATCTGAGTGAGAAGAGGTACAAGTGATAAGATTCAACATGTCTTCGTCTTCATCTCCCGCTCAAACAAAGAGGTGTCAGTATTGTGGAGCTGCAATGGTGCTTCGGGTTTCAAAATCAGATAAAAATCGCGGGAAGCCATTTTGGAAGTGTCTAACCTCCTATGTAAGTTCTCATTTCCAGAATATGTATGTGGGTGAAAAAAAAACCTAGGTCTAACTCTGACAGAATTATTTTGCATATATGATGCCTGCAATTAGGGAGCCACCAGTTGCAATGGATTCGAATGGGTTGATGTAACCTCCGCTGAAGCAGATCAGCAAGCTGACACGTATGATGCTACAGTGCTTAATATGCTGAAGTCCATTAAGGACTTGGTATTAGTTTTATTAGTTGTATCAATTGTCATATTATTTGTTCTTTTAATGACCAATTAAGTGCACGGTTTCAAGGATTGTAAAAGTTCTCCCCAAAAACACATGTTGCACGCACCACCAATGACTTTTCAAACCCAATTTGTAATTTTTGTTATTGAAATAGGTGGATTAGCATTGAGTTTAAATTATTGTTTGAAACAAAAGCATTTACTTTGTCAGAAACCCAGTAAAAACTTTCCTACAGTTACTTTACAAAAATAAAGTCAGACGAAGACGATAAAATGACAATACAGGGCCAATACGATGCAATAATAAGACAATACCTTTTTTTTAAGATTGCATAATTATTCAGTGTATATAGATTGTTTATTGATTGTTTACTGCATGTAAATCGCATGATATTGACTGTTTATTGAAGGTTCATTAACTGCATGTATTTCGCATGTTATTACTCCGATATTGAGTGTTTATTGAAGGTTTATTGATTGTTTACATGTTTCGTGAAGGTTTCATGATTGTTAACTGCATGTATTTCACATGTTATTGAACCGATATTGAAGGTTTATTGAAAGTTGATTGAGTGTTTACTGCATGTATATCGCATGTTATTGCTCCAATATTGCAAGTTTATTGGGGGCAAAAGTAGGACTCCAGTTAGATTTAAGGGGGGAAACGGTCCTTATTCTTTGTTTTCGTAGGAAGAACAACTTAAGTAGAATTTCCTATTCAATACGACTTCCTTATGGTTGATGTAATTGGGGACTGATGTATATTGCATGTCTATTGCGTGTATATTTCATATCTATTGCGTGTATATTGCTTGTCTGTTGCCTGTGTATTGTTATTTATTTCCGTCGTAAGCAATACAAATCAATACAGACGCAATAAATGTAAAGATATGCACGCAATAGACAAGCAATATAGACCCAACAGACATGCAATATAGACGCACCAATATACATTACTGTTATGTTACTCAGCTGCCCAAAACCAATAAAATAAAGAAAATCAACCAATTTATTAACCGATTATAAAGGAGAGAGGGATTCAAACCCGAGGGGCAGTGCGGAACCAATAGGGAGTTTTTAGAGCATTGCACCTGGGGACATTTTTTCATGTGTTTCTATAAGGAGGGCATGGTTGAATAAAATATTGGAGGCGAGGCCATAGCAGCCTATTCCCCCTTACAGAATTACCTTAAGATGCAACCCATTGCGATTAAGTCAAGGCATGTTGAACGGCTTAAAGATTGGGATCTGATATTTGGAATGGTGGCTTGGATAAATGATGACATATCACTTTGCAATGATGTAATACACTTAAAAAGCCATCAGTCCCGTATGTGAATATGCATTCTTCAAATCCCAATTCACATATGCAGTCTTCAAATCCCAATTCAATGCAGTTTGGTTGAGGTTAGGTAAATGTCGTGAAGGAGTTAGGCCAATATTACACCGATGTTTGTTTCATTACATCAAAAAAAACTTTACACTCCATATGCACATTCTATGTATGGGAATGGCATGTGTCTAACTTCAAAAACGCATCTGCCTATCCATTTAGATTGCCCACGTGCAATAGATTTACAGATCCATTTACTTTTCTCCTCTCCAACCCTCAGCATCTCCATTTCAGAGTCTTCATTTTTCTATGCTCTGCAACCAGCTCCATATACATTTTGCACAATATGAGAATACACATAGCGTAATATCACACTAATCAAAATGAAAGCATGCATCCGCTATAATATTTGCCACTATTTTGGTTCTAATTGTTATTGTCCAGTAACTTAAATCTAAATTTCTGTACACAAATACACTAAGATTGAGAAAGACGAAGAAGAATTCAGGAGCAGAGGTGGAATTCGAAAAGGACCCATGGGTCTCTATTGTGTATTTACATGACTTTGAAATTTGACATTCCCAAAACCTATTTCATCATCATGTGCCTAAACCAAGTTCAACCGATATCATGGCATGTAAGCATCTCCCCGTGCAATTTCTGCAGCCAACTTCAACCGAAAAATGGCATGTTCTGCGAGGTGCAAGTAGCTAAGGAAATCTCAGCACTCAACAGCTCAATGTACTTCAACACGAACATACCACAATCGCCTCTGAAGCAAAACAAGAACTCGATCAATTCAACTAATGACATTCTAACATAATTGACAAATTAAAGTAATAAAATTAAATAAAAAGTTGTGCTCACTGATTAGCCTGTTGTGGAACATCCACACGATGTATTGGCCATGGACACCACCAATCTCGGGTGCACTCGTTCGCGTAAACACCTTCTTCATAAAAGTCGAGGGTGTGCAGAAGATTTGGAATCGTAATTGACAGGGGGCCGAGTTCTTCCTTTAAGCTCTGATCTGGAATGAGTGAAACCATTGAATCGTAGACTTTGATTTCACACTGAATCAGATCAATCTCTAGAGCCACCCAATGCTTATATTTTTGCAACATACAAGGTACATACACCTTATACGTGTTCTGCCAATCCAATCCACAAGCCGGAACCTTGCCATTTACAACGTTCACTAAACTGGTTCTAATTTTCCACCCAACTTGCTCTTTTTTCCTTTTATTATCCGCAAAGCAAGTATGGATGTGATTCTGTGAAATAGAAAACAATCAATGGTTAAACAACTCCACAAAGCAAGTATGGATAATTTGTAATTATTAACTGCACTTGGTCAAGGCCTATGCCATACTGATGTAGCACAGCCCTGGGTGTGTTAGTTTAAACACTTAGAGCAATAAGACATAACAGATAAGAAAAGCTGAAGGGAAGAAAAGGTAGAAGGCAGGCAGAAATCAGAGAGTTTAAAGGAATGTTTAATCAATATTCAAATCTGAATTGTAAAGAACTACACAGGGGTATTTATAGCAAACTAAAACCTAGAGAGAATAGAATTAAAATCCCCAGGTAAAACAGAAATCCTATTCCTAATAAAATAGGAAACTTAGAAATCCTAATAGGATTTGGAAAACTAACTTAGAAATCCTACTAGGATTTGGAAAACTAAAGAATATAGGAAACCAATAAATTAGGAAACTAAACATTTAGGTCCTATGCATCCTGCATCACATACCATAAAAATACATCGGTCGTTGTCCAATCCGATATTTCTACTTCCTCCAACTGTTGTTGTCGCTTCCGGATGAGATACAAGCCCAAATCAATGTGCTGCACATGTTTTCCTTGTCAATCTCATTATCTATGCACATTCAAACAAATGCATAATCAATTAAACTTACATCTCCTTTCAGCCAGCCGTCAGCTTTGACGAGGGAAGCGAAGAATTCAATCTCAGCTTCCACGTTGCCAAATTGCATCACCAAACTATGAATATAAAAAAGTTTTAGAACACAACAATTACAAAATATATACACTCATGCCTTCTATCTCAAAAAACAAAGGACTTACTTTGGGTTATGGCGCCATTCCGAACAAAGTTTCAGCAATTTCACCATATCATCATGCGGAATCGCCTTCATTGGGTCTAACGTCCGAAGTCCGGTTGTCTTTGGCAAATTTTTTTAACCACTTCACTAGCTTCAACGATCTTCCACATAGGAATAATCCTCTTCCTCTTCCGTAATTGGACCCCTCGTTCCACACCTTGACCTTCATCATTCAACCAAACGTTCAACTGAGATAACACAGCTCTAGGTTGATCCAAATCAATGTCCCCGACAGTAACCTCAACCTTTGTCCCCTCCGTGCT